ACTTGCTTAGCCCGGGTAGCACGTAAAATTTTAAAATTGGGGTTAAACAAAGGGGCCCTTTCCCAACTTGGGGCCCCCTTTCCCCTTTTTTGAGCAATTGGTTTTTTCTTTCTCCCCCCCCATGATTTTACTAAGGGCCCTTACTTTTTGGGGGTTTTTGAGGGGAAAGACCCCTTAAAATCTTTTATTTCAAAATTTATTTTTTGAAATTTTCTTTTTGAAAATTTTCCCGGGGGATGTGTATAAACCCCAGCAACCTTTTTGAAAATTTTTTTGGGGGAATAAATTCCTTTTTCGAAAGCCAGTTTCATTTAACTTAATAATTTGTTTTACTGTTTTAATTTTTATTCCCCTGGGCAAATTTAAAATATTGCTCCTTTAAATTCGCTATTACTACAAAAGTACTCTGGTTATCTAATGTAAATACACTATCCTATTACCTCATGGGGTATTAGGGAAATTTCATCTTTGGGCTGAGAACCAATGGGTTTTCCTTTTTATTTGACCTTTTGAATGCCTTTGCCCAATACAGAACCTGTTGCAACTTTTCTTGCACTATTGTCTTTTGCCTAATGTTAGGCCCCAAAATAGAAATTTTTGTGCCCTGCGGAAGGCAACGTTCTCACCTTGTGGTGACCTTTTTTGTAGCAAATTTTAACATTTCAGATCTTAGACACTAGGAATTATCAATCTTTGACGCTTTTGTAAGAAATATTATCTACCAACAGTGAGTTCTCTCTAAATTCCAGTATTCTTAGAACTTGAGAAAATTCAATTTTTTGCGTTTTTCAGGCCAGCCTTGAAGAATCTGATTTGTTTTTAAGGTCATGAAGTGTTTTGGATCTGATCCAAATTTTTGACCTTTTTCACAAGTTTTTTATCTGTGTAAAGGGAAGTTTTTTGTTATGAAGTGAACATCATAGGTATTTTGGAAATTTCCCGGGGGGGTAAAAAATTTTGGAAAATATTTCCCCAGACCCAAATTTTTGTCAAAAAGGGGATTTGGGCCTGCTTTTGTTTTTGCAACTCAAATTAAACCATTAAAGCTAAATTTTAAAATCCCTTTTAATTCTTGCAGGTGGCACTTTTTATTTTGGGGTTTTTTTTTAAAAAAAACCTGATCAAGGGGAAAAAAATCTTTTCTAATTATTGTCTACCCTAAATTTTATTTTCTGAATTTTTTCAGCCAAATTTTCTTTTTGGCAAGAATTCTTTTTTCAATCCCAAAGGGCCCAAAGACCTTTTGAGTTGGGCAAAGGGTTTGCTTGCAAAAAGGGTTTTAGGTTTTTTCCCTTTGGGCAAATTTAAAGTAGAAACACAGCCATGTTTGAGCAAACTTCATTTATCTTTGAAAGTACTAAGATGCCTTATTTTTGGAATCAAAATTAAGATAACACTGGGCCCTGGGACATCAGTAAGTAATGTTCTTTGACTTTCTGAAATCTCGAACTTGAGGAGCATCCCAGGTGAAAAATGAACATCTTTCCTTTTAATATTTCTATGTGGGATGAATGATCTCCCGGCCAAAGTTTTGCGGGCATATTCTAAGATAGATAATTATCAGCCCAAGTTTTGTCCTAAAGCTCAACTTGTCTTTAAAGGCGCTTCCATTCTCTTGGATAGCCCTACATTTTTTCGGGGTCTTTGGTTTCAAATCCATCAGCTGAGAGATTGTGACCAAGAATACTTAACCTCCGAGACGCAAAACCCAACCCAAGTTTGTTCTCGTTTAACCTAATGCCCCCTTTTGGCGGCACCTATCAATAAATTTTTTAGGTTTATGTATGTCTTCTTCGATTGAACCATAAACAAGAAGTCATAACAAATGAAATCACCAATTAAACCTTCTAAGCCCCTCATCTCCCCTTTTTTCTGGGAAAAATCTTTGGGTGGGATTTCCCGTCCCATGGGACTCTTTGATACCTTAATTTAAAGACCTTGGGGGGGTGTTTGAATGTGGGTTTGATATGATGATTTTATCATCCCAAAAAAACGGGCAGTAACCTGAAATTTTCAAATCCCAAATTTTGTGAAATATTTTGCAGAATTTTTTAAATGCGGCAAAATATCATCTAAGGGTTTTTTTTAGGGTAAAAAGGGGGCCTATGGATTGCCTTATTAAAAGGGCTTTTGGGGCAATTAAAAATTCAACTTTTTCAAATGTGGGTTAAATTTACTCGACATTTCCCATTCACCCCCCTTTTTTTGGTGTGGTTTACCTTGGGCTATTATTCCAGGGCCCTTTTTCCCCTAAGCATTAAGTTCCTTTTTAACCTTTCTCGAAAGCTACAGGAAGCCCTCGGGGAAAGGGTTAATTAACTGGGGACTTTTGGGGTCTACTTTTATCGAACAAGGGAAACCGGTTTAAATTTTTTCCCAAAACCCTTTAAAAAAAATTCAGGAAAGTCCCCCAAGGGCAGAATTTTTTTTTCATTTTTCTCCTTCTGCTACGGGCATTTTCAATTTTGAATTAAATTGAAGTCAAGGCAGATTTTTAAACCAGGATTGAGGGTTTTTTGTTCTCAAACAAAAAAAATTTTACAAGTTTTGTGCATTTCTTTTGTAGCGCATGAGAAACTACCACTTCCCGAAACCCTTAAAATTTCAAGTGCCCTTTAGTAAGCCCTGATTTTGGGCAGTTGGCTTCTTTTTAAGGGGGGATTGACCTTGAGGGATTTGGGAAAACTGCCCCCAGAAAGAATGTTACAGCATTGCCCCTGTGTCAAGTTTTTAAACTGTTTAAAATGACCTTTAAGAGCCCACCTGTAAATCAACAAATACCTGTCCCTTTGAATGGGAATTTCAACTGTGCACCAATAAAAAAATTCCCTGTTCAACTTGTTACTGTCACTGTATTTTTTTGGGGTTCGATTTCATTCAACTTTTTTGTTTTGACCTCGCACACAAACTGCAAATTAGGATTCCATTTTATGGCAGTTCTTGTATAGTTTTTTCCTCTTGCCGGACTTATCTTTGCTGTGATGGTGACTGTTTCCACAAATTTTTCCACATTTTGGTTTATCTGTTTTGGTTGTGTTCATAAATCTTTGAAATGTTGATTCGTTTCTTTCCCAGCCCTCGTTTTTGGTGTTTTTGACGTGGAATATCGTTTTGCTGAAATTAATGTCATCGATGCTTTTTTGGAAATTATTCCATATCACGTAGTTGAGCCCTGGTGGCGTGAATTCATCGTGTGACTTGTGATATCCCTGACTGCTTTTTCAAGAGTCATGCTTCGGGCCTTTCCCGTGATTAGTTTTTTTCACGAACCCTTTTTCCGATTGGGGTGATTCCAATAAATATCTGATCTCGTAATGACATCATCTCTGTCCTGCATCAAAAAGGCGCAAATCATGTTTGCTTTAATGTTTTTAGACGTGTGATGAATTGTTTTTAATCGTAACTGTTTTCCCTGGTTTTTCAAATTGGGGGATTTTTGGTATCTGCCTAAATACCAGGATTGTTGATTTTGGTTGTAGATGTTTTGAATTGCATCCGAAAATTGGGCCTTATATTGGATTTCCTTTTGGGAGCTCAGGGTTAATGTAAGAGTAAATTATATATATCTGGCGGCCTTCTATCACCAAATCCATAGTAAATAAGTAATAACTTGTACTTCTTCTTCTTTTTCTCTTAACGGCGCGAACCTAAAATATAAAGTTTCTGCATGCTGCCTTGAACTTTTTGACTCCCTCCATAGGGTTTTGACTATCCACCCAGTTTGGGTTGGTAATGGGTACACCATTTAAATGCCATTGTAAGCTGTAAATTAAAATTGAGATTCCTCTAAAGAAAGTTAAATGTTTGTGATGCGCACAATTTAATTTCTTTCCAGAATGCTTGTTAAATCCGATTCCAAATAATTTTTAATTAAATTCCTTTTATTACAATATTGTTCCTTTAATTTACTTCTGACACCATGTTATGTTGTATGGATGTTGTTAAGACCAGAGCTCAAGTGAGAATGACCCAGGTATCAGAGAAGCATGATCATATATATAACATAGCATTAATGAATATCAAGTAAAGAGAAGTAATCCTATTAACACTGTACAACTAAACATGTAAAGAGTTATCTAATCTTGATATCATAACACTAACCAAACTTGACACTAGTACTACCGGCGACGTTCTGTCACAAACTTGCCGATAGACGCCATTCTTGCTCTTTGGAGGAAAACTTGTCAATGTTACTGCTAGCAGGCCATCACTTAAGTGTCAGAATTCCGTGCATTTTATAACAAAGTAAGCTTAATTACAAAAAAATAATGTACGGAATTTCGAAAACTACATAACACCCTGATTATGACCCATACCTTACAACCTTTTTGTAACATACAAATAATTTTGTTCCCTTCATATAACGTCTTTACTCCAAAGAACACATTTTCAACATAATGTAAAGATATGTTTTGTATAAAATGCTGTTTTTGCACGTGCACAAAGACCTGTTTAAAGAAATATGCTCTTATATGCAAAACACCTATGATATTTGATATTACAAAAATAAGACAATAATTATTTAAGTTAGTATGTATATACAATATATATTATGCAATATCAAGTTTTAGTCCAGGAAGTAAATGTGTACACATTTGAAATCGGAGTCCTGAAAATACATGCATGCATTTGCTAAAATTTAGCCTTGAAACCGATAAAAATTAATTGGTAAACATTATACAAATCTGATTGCGACTTGCATGTGTTAAGCATAGGCGATACTTTCTGGTTCTTCGGGGTCATTGTTTCCAATAATTTAATGTGTTGAAAATTGAATAGTTTTAGATGCATCTGTTGTAAGGGGTCGTGAGAAATGTTCTTGGTTTTATTTCATAAACAGACACAATCACGCAATCCAGTCTGCAATTTTCATCTCGGGGGCTGTTCCTTACCTTACTTTTTATATTTTCTTATCATTTCATATTTGTATATCTTTTAAGTCTCGTATTGAAACTAGAAATTTTATTTGCTGGCACAATAACGATGTTTCTTTATTGCAGTCATTGTTTTGGGAAAATGTGTATCCTTTTGTAATTCGATATAGCAACCGCGGAAGGAGATTCTACGCCCTCTCTGACACATTGCCTGGTAAATGTTTAATTCAATTACACAATAATAAACATGTTTTCTTACCTTTTCTCATTCAATGCGTTTATTTTTTTTCTAATAGACTTATAACTTATATGGTGGGAAAGACGAGGTAGGAGGAAGAAACTTGGATGAAAAATTGTCTCAAGACATTTGCTTCTCTTTTCTGCATTAAGGTAGACCACGGGTAATGCATTACCTCCACTTTGAAGAGTATTCAAATAGGCTAAAATGGCTTGCAAACTACATTGAAATTGAAGGGCGTGGGTTCAAACCCCAGAAGGGGCAACTTTTTTTTTCTTTCTTTTTTTTCTTTTTAACATTATTTATGTATCTCTCAGATCCATTATGGAAGAAAAAAAGGTTTTATTTAAATTGTATAAATTTTTAGGTATTTATTTGCTAAATAATGCCAAAATTTATAGTAAATATGATACCAGGTATATTCAATAGTTTAATAAAATAAAAACTTACACGGTAAAAGTATTTTATATTTTGCATGATCAACAATATTACCTTTAAGAAAATTTTGGCAAACTTTGAAAACATCCCCTCATTATGGAAAATTTTTGGAATATTTTGAATAAGGCATTTTTAGATCAGGAATTGATTAACATTAGTGTTTTAAAGTGGGTGGGGTGGGGTAACATTTTTATGTATATTAAGAACACATTTTTAGAAATAAAATTTTGCTTGTGAAATTTGTTACCTGATTGTTATTTTTATTTCTTAGCAATTGGCAATAGAAAAACATTTTTTTATAATGATAATATTACAGATTAATTAGAGTTTCCTAATTTCTGAAAATAGGCCCTTGTAATGGCAAAGTCTTAGTTTAGAAATATATCCATAAACTCATAAACCACACACGGTAAATTTATTTAAATTTTGCATACATGGTGCCCTTGAAGACATATAACTGTCCTATGTTGTCAATTTTACAGTTCCTTATGGTTCCCATTACCCATGGTCTACCTTAATGCATAATATATCGTGATATCAACACAATTACAATCAATACCAGTTGCATGTTAACAAATCTACAAAAAACATTCAATATTATGTTAGTTTTAAAAAAAAACAAAGAAAAATGTCAAATAACAAAAATGTATCCACCAAGTTAAACACATTCTGTTCCACATTATGTTAACATTAACAACAAATCATTTTAGGTTATATTGCCAATGGACCACAGTGGTGTAGCAATGAGAGTGATACAACAGGTATGTCTCCACCGGGCACACTTTGTCCTGGGTGGGAAGCTACGCCCGACTGTCCACAGGGAGCGCAGAGGGCATTTTGGATTGCTGCTTCCATAAACTATGGCAGCCGAGCGAGTGGGGAAATTTTCATCTTTGCTCAATGCAACGTCGGATCCCTATTATTTTTCTAATAACACGTATGTAATGAATTACGTATGCAATATGAAATGTTTCGATGGCATAATTATATAAACCATTAAATTCATTGCATATACTTCTTAATGATATTATGTTTGTATTATAAAAGCAAAGATTTTACTTTAAAAAAATAGAGATGAAGTTTTCCATATTTGCAGGTACAATGCTATGTACGAATTACCCAGCTTGAGAGAAAACGTTGTTACAAAAGCTACAGTTTTGCTTCTGAACGAACATCCTATTCAAGGCCAGTACGTATGAACATATTAAATTTCAATCAATTTTTAGACAAATGTTATCAACATAGTTTTAGTAATGGCTCATGTTTTTTAAAAAAATATATTATATGTGAATAAAACATGGTCACAGTCCATAACAGAATTATTAAGATGCTTGTATGAAATTCAAAAAATGTTAAATTGTCATGGATTATCCTCGAGAATTGCTTCAAAAGGTACAAAAGTATATATCAATAACACGCTATAGAGACAGTATTCGTCAATTTGATCCAAATATTGGATATGTTTTTATTTTGTTACCACATTCACTAACATCTTTAGTGTTCTGTTTAGGCCCATTATGGTCAGAAATGCGATTAATTTTAGTTTGCTATCTTTTCACAGTTTCTAAAAAAATACACATTTGCAATATAGATGATCTACCTGATGCTCTGTGGCAATTTGTAAAAATATAGTGAATAAGGATTTTATATAGAAGTCAAAATACAAAATGTACTACTTTATTTACATTTTGCTACCTTCACGACCCATTAAATTATTTAATAATACAGTTTAAACACATGGCTTGTATTTCTAATGAATTAGAAAATATGGATTTCTGAGACATAACGTACCTATTATCTTTATCAGGAAATGCATAACAAAATCTTTATACAAATGCATTTTACCGACTAAGCTGGATTTCAACAATATTTCAAACACTTGTTGATTTTGCAACGTTTTGACTACAATTTCAGATGTTTTGCAAATTTCAAAAAGAAATATCTTTTAATAAGTCGAGTTTGAAAAGTAATTTACAATCTTTTTATTCTTTCGATGTTATTTCAAATATCTTTTACATATTGTAAATTGAAAACAAATTTAGTCGAAAACTATTTGGTGTGCATGAAAAAATGCAAGATACGGCCTAGTAATCATTGATTGCCTAGCGATCATATAATTTATATTCATGCGCACGGGGAATGTTTCAATAATTGCCCGGTAGAAAGTAGATATTTTACTGTAATGACGGTTATCCAATATTTTGATATCATTACCAAACAAACGCCCGATTCTATAAACTATTGCATGTGGGGGAGTTATACAGATAGCTTAGGTGCTCGCTTGTGCCTGAAAAAATGCAAGGTCTTCTGAGGTCGTAATCCGCCAGTGAAGTTGGAAAGTCAACATTTGAAGTGTTGCTGCAATGTTGCACTTATTCATTATTCCCCATTTACTGACTCAATCAAACCGAGTCTGCAATTTCCATGTAATTTTGCTGAGTTTATGCTTCCGAGGGCTCATTTTGTTTCCAGATTTTTATTCAACCAAACAAACAAACAAACAAAATCAGGTCCTGAAAATAATATTTGATAGTCACACAGCTGTACATCCAATTATTCTTCTTTCAGAACGAAATGTGGTGATCCAACCCTTGATATCATATCAAGTAAAGTGAAAGCAAAACGAATAAAATATGATTGTATCGAAAATAGAAGGTAAGTTGGCATATACATTAATGCCATTTTAAAATATTACACTGTCATGTGCCCACCTCTCTTATTATGCAGCATGCAACAGTGATCGCGAGAACTACACAATGATGTTAGAAGACGGACGATGGGGCTTCTTGTCTTACTTTCATCTTTCAGACTATTTTAGAATAAAATATAGCAAATATTGTCTTCTAAACATAATTGCCTTAATTACACGAGGTGCATTTAACTAACCCATTTTGCTACATCACCTTTTTATGCTCCCCGAAAAATTTCGGGGGAGCATATAGTCGTCGGGTTGTCAGTCCGTCCGTCAGTCCGTCCGTCCGTCCGTCCGTACGTCCCAACTCGTGTCCGGCCCATAACTTAGTTATTTGAAGTCGGATTTTAAAACTATTTCACAGAAATGATCACCATATTGAGACGACGTGTCGCGCGCAACATTTGGGTCGCTACCTTGAAGGTCAAGGTCACAGCATGACCTTGCAGCAAAATCGTATCCGGCCAATAACTTCATTATTTGAAGTCGGATTTTAAACTATTTCTCCGGAAATGATCACCATATTGAGACGACTTGTCGCTTGCAACATTTGGGTCACTACCTTGAAGAGTCAAGTCAGGTCAGCATGACCTTGCATCAAAATCGTGTCCGGTCCATAACTTCTTTATTTGAAGTCGGATTTAAAAACTATTTCACAGAAATGATCACCATATGAGACGACGTGTCGCGCGCAAACATTTGGGTCACTACCTTGAAGGTCAAGGTCATAGCATGACCTTGCATCAAAATCGTGTCCGGTCCATAACTCTTTATTTGAAGTCGGATTTTAAAACTATTTCACAGAAATGATCACCATATTTAAGACTTCGTGTTGCGCCCAACATTTGGGTCGCTACTTTGAAGGTCAAGTCACAGCATGACCTTGCAGCAAAATCCTGTCCAGCCCATAACTTCGTTATTTGAAGTCAGATTTAAAACTATTCACAGAAATGATCACCATATTAAGACAACGTGTCGCGCCAACATTTGGGTCGCTACCTTGAAGGTCAAGGTCACAGCATGACCTTGCATCAAAATCGTGTCCGGTCCATAACTTCTTTATTTGAAGGGTCGGATTTTTAAAACTATTTCACAGAAATGATCACCATATTTGAGACGACGTGTCGCGCGCAACATTTGGGTCACTACCTTGAAGGTCAAGGTCACAGCATGACCTTGCATCAAAATCGTGTCCGGTCCATAACTTCTTTATTTGAAGTCGGATTTTTTAAAACTATTTCACAGAAATGATCACCATATTAAGACTACGTGTTGCGCCCAACATTTGGGTCGCTACTTTGAAGGTCAAGGTCACAGCATGACCTTGCAGCAAAATCCTGTCCAGCCATAACTTCGTTATTTGAAGTCAGATTTTAAAACTATTTCACAGAAATGATCAACCATAATTAAGACAACGTGTTGTGCCCAACGGCATTTGGGTCGCTACTTTGAAGGTCAACAAGGTCACAGCATGACCTTGCAGCAAAATCTTGTCCGGCCCATAACTTTGTTATTTGAATTTAGATTTTAAAAAATATTTTACAGAAATGATCACAATATTGAGAATGACGTGTCTTCGCGCGCCAACATTTGGGTCGCTATCTTGAAGGTCAAGGTCACATGACCTTGCAGCAAAATCGTGTTCGGCCAGTAACTTCGTTCCTTGAAGTCGGATTTAACAACTATTTCACAGGGATGATCACCATATTGAAATCGACGTGTCACATGCAACATTTGGGTCGCTACCTTGAAAGGTCAAGGTCGCAGCATGACCTGCAGCAAAATCATGTCTAGCCCATAACTTCCTTATTTGAAGTCTGATTTTTACAACTATTTCACAGAAATGATCACCATATTGAGACAATGTGTCGTGCACAACATTTGGGTTGTTTTTACACTTTGAACTTTGCCTGTGACATAACTCTGACACTAAAAGAGGTATACCTACCTGTGTCCAAAACCTATTCGGGGAGCATCACCCGGTTCAACCGGCTCTTGTTTTGTTATGTCAACAGCCGAGTCTCTTTCCATAACCTAATTTTAGGCAATTTTTCGTTGTTCGTCTACACTATCAAGTTAGCCCAAACTTTTTACTAAACGCTTGTCGATACATGTTTTGTTTTTTCTTCAGAGATTTGGTAGAAACATTCTGCTTTGATTACCCGACGGCTGATGTTTGCAAGATTTTTGATACAACAAGTTCGTCATCTTTACCAGCCTCTGTTTTATCAACAACCCTTGTGTCTGTGTTTATATCGCGTGTTATATTTATAGAATAGCCCGTGCAAAGTGAAAGACATGATGAAATGAAATAAAATAATAATATATCACCCATACAGTCTGATTAAAGTTCAGATCTACTTATTTCTTACTACCTGATGCGTAGCGTTATTTAGAGACTGATTTTAATCGGATTGATCACCCATATGAACATATACATGAAATGTTAACTAGACTTTCTAATGATTTAATACAAGCTCTCCGTGATACTTCATTTTTTCTTAATTATGAGTAAAAATGTCCTCTTGGCAAAATATCTTGGAATTTTAGTCTTTAGTATATGGACTTTTTAAGAAACAAAAAAAAATTTTTAAAAAAAAACATGATGATAGATGTGATATTGTCATTGTTTTTTAAATATTATTCGTAAAAAACATTATCATTTGATCGTGTTAATTATGATAATGTACAAAAAAGTCAGTTGGTTCACTCCAAAATTTCATTTTACCATGAAGTGTGTGTATTCTCACCAGGACGCCAATATGCTACTCGGAAACTTTGGCTGAAATAAAAGGAACGATTGTTTTACCAACAGCAAAACAGGATTAAATCAATTTCAACTTGAAAAAAATCCACAGAGTTAACTATTAAACTATATATTTAAAACATTTTTGACACGATCTTTCTGTTGGAAAAGGAATGTATTCTTTCCAAAATTATTCAAAATAATCACGCTATTATACATGTGTTTTAACAAATTTGTGCATTTAAACGAAAATAACAAACAAGTCTACTTATTTGTAATTTAATGGCACTTACACTTTAAAAGAAGCTGGTGCCTTAGGCAAGAAAAAACCCTCCACTCTTTTTATAAACAACACCGTCCCCTTTCATTTGGGAATCTTCCAAGAATCTAAGTAGAAAAAGCTATATGCAATAAAAGAGTTTTTAGTGGAAAACTTCAATAAAAAGCCCGAGGTGGGGAACCGCCCTGAAAGAACCTTTTTTTTCTTTTTATCAAAGAATGACTCGTTTAAGCATTTCTAAAAATAATTCACACAAAAAGTGTTAATTATTTTATAAATCGACGTTCAAAACATTAAATACATCAATCTTTCCAAGTTTATACAAAAGGTATTATAGGGGGGAAAAAAATAACTTTTTGGTGGAAAATGAAAAAAGATTTTTTTGCTTTTTTTATTTTTTGGTTGCTAATTTGTTACGCTTACAAATCCAGATAAAAAGTATACTTTACTTGAGAATTTATCAATAAAGTTATAATAAGTGGTAATTAGCATTTTAAGTTAATAAACAGCTTTAACAAAACATACTTAGCAACCATTTCTTCTCCCTTTGGCCCCAGGTAAGATAATGCCAAGTGGAGACCATCTTTGCCAGGCATTTTATCAAGAACATCGTTAAGGACTGTTGGTTTCTGGAGGTCATACATTGTTCCTGATACATTAGATATCGTTCCTGAAACAAATTCCCAAAAATAACATAATTTTCTCATTATCCTGTGACAAACCTGACCAATGCCAAAATGAATGTTAAATGCGTTTCATCTTTAAAGTTCTTGTAAAGATTTAAACATATATATTATAGTTTATAAAAGATATAGTGGCATCAATTAACTATATAAGCAATATATACAATAACTTTAAAAGTGTGTGTTGTTTGTAAAACCTACCTGTTGGTATAAATTTTTCATTGAATTCCAGATATTGAGATGCATTCATGTTCACTACATGATCACCAATATATCCACCATCCTGTAATACATTTAATAATTTCTGTAGTTTGTAAAGTTTTAATCACTAAAAAAACTTTTTTTTTAAATGGGGAACATGTTTCTCTCAAGAAAATTGCAAAAACTAGCGATGAACCATATACTTAAAAAAATTGTTGCTTATTGTTTTATAAAAAAATATTTTCCATTGGTTTAACTAGCCTTATTCCAGCTTAGATTTTAAATCCTTTTTCATCCAACGTTACTTAAATATCATGCCAGACTTTATAAAGATAAGCACGGTGCCTATACCCATTGACATTTAATGATTAAAAACCCAAAATACTAAAACGGTCTAGATTTTATTTGTTCTACCATAACAAATTTTTCTTTTTTATATATAGATTGAAGAAGTGTCGAGTCCGTCAAAAGTTCTAGTGAGGAACCCTTATCATGTTCTAACCTAAACTAAAAGTGAAAGTATGTTGTTCAAACATTACGGTTTCACTTTCTGTAAAAGAAATACATTTTTGTTTAAATTTACAATTTATCCAATTAAATATAAGGAACAATTAAAAAAGGTAACTGAAGAAAACAAAAACAAACAAAAAACAGACAAACAAACTCTGGGTGTATTAATTGTATTGTTTTTGTTTTTTTTGCCCCGCGCAAATCACAAAAAGCCACTGACCAGTGAATACAGTATTAAACATTTTCAGAATAGGTATTGTTTTTTTAGAAATAAACAATTAAGGATTATTTCACTTATCATACAGCATCGTTTGTATCATTTCAATGAGGATGTCGATAATTAATATTTTTAATCTTACAATGTCGGAAAGGTTTTTAACCATGAAATGGTTTGATATATCTACAGAGGTGTGGGCTTGTTAGTTGTTGCCTTGTATCAATCATGAGACCGGGACTCTTCAGTTAGTTCATACGTCACGGTGATAGTTTACATCTCCAAAGGAAAAATCACCTCCGAACAATCCGTGTTTCAACGTACTGGAGGCGGGTTTTTTGTACCGTCTTATTGTCCCAATCAAAGTATCTCTTTGAATTTTAAAATAATTACACAATGCATATGCTATGATGAGTTGAAGGTTATTTCTGTACTTATCCTAATGGGTTTCAAATCAAAGAAAATGATGCAATATCTTGATTTATCACACACCCGTGACGATTTTGCGACTCCGTAAATATGGTATTGCACGGCCGTCAATTTAAACGGTCTTTATTTTGGGTATGTGATAAATATAATATTAAATTCATGTAAGTTCCATACTGAATTTATTGCACTCGTTGAATAAAATAGTATTATGCTCGCCAGAGGCTCGCATATTATAATTTTATTCAACTCGTGCAATAAATTCAGTATTGAACTTACACTCATTCAATATACTCTATTTAAAACAAAATTTTTAGTCTGTATATGAGTGTTCTGTATTACAATACCGTTAGTCAGTTTTTTTATAATAAACTATCTCCGGAATTAAGAATATTTGCGGTTTTCCCAGCTACTAGGGTTTTCCCAGCTACTAGACTAATGAATCGCATGTTTAATGCTACTAATGTCATTTCTTTATTCACAAAAAAATTCATATAAATTAAAATCAAGTGTTCCCTCTTAGCTCCACAGTCAAAGCATTGGAGAAGTAATTTCCTCTTGAACATTGGGTTTAATGGTCATTTGTCAAAATTGAGGTGAGATTAATAGTTGGTCGTTTGTGTAGAAATTGGTAATTACGGATAAGTTATCCAGGACAGCCAGTTAGGTTGGTCGGCCGCCGAGATCGATATGTCCAAAATATTTTTTTGTTTCAAAACTGGCGTATAAACCAGGAAAAAAACAAGCAAAGAAATGAAATCATGCAAATATATTTCACAAACCCTTGTTAGACCTGTGAAACCCCCATGACACATATTGTTTCCTAGCGGATCATTCTTTGAAACATCATACTTAGTACCGTCAAGTTCAAATGTCGCACCATCTATACGGTTAGCTACTCTACCACATATGGCGCCCATAAATGCTGGATTCGTTTCGTATCCTAAAATTTGAATTTGTGTAAAGTACATTTTTTAATGATGAATAGAATACAAAGTGTTATTTTCATACTGATTTTGACTAAGAACGATTATGTAGCTTACTATATATATATACTAGTATTTTGCATGCATACTTAACTTCATCTAGAGTATCAGCATCTGGATATGAGGCTATTCCTTGCCATTTTAATGTTCAAGCATAAAAGATAAAAGATCTTGATAACGCATCAATATAATATTATTATTATTATTATTCTAATGGCATTCTTAAATTATTTTTCTTAGATAGATCTAAAGTTGTGATGCAAGTAGCTCAAAGTTGTTGGAGACGGGTGACCAAATTTGGACAATTGATAAATACAAGCAACTAAATACTTCACCATCAAAGTTGTCATATCCAAGGCATACATCTACTACTTTTCCATTTCTATCTGGTACCAATATATCTTTTAACTACACGCCAAAGTTAAGAATATTCACTGATATTTTTCCTGCTTTCAATGTGAACCTGTAAAGAATCAACACGCCTGTAAAATCTTGCTAACAGGCATATATGATATGTGTATGAACTATCGCTATTTACATATTATATTTAACTACTTACAATTAAATTATATGTTATATTTATGTAAAGTCTATACAATATTTTTATGCTATGTAAACTGAAAGCACGCATGAATAGTTAAATAGGTTGAATAGTCTGACTCACTTGTAAACATCTTTTCCATCTTTTCTGTCGTTCCAAATTTCTCTTTAACAATATCGTGTGCAGATGACATAGTGACAGTAATTTTTAACGGTTAACCTTCAAATCCTCCCGCATGCGTTTGTTTAAATTGTAAAACTAGTTTATCTTAATGGGGAGAAAAATAACGGTATCTTATCAGAGAGTTCATTGTCGGTCTGCTTCGGTCAGGTAAATGTCGATTATCAAATACATACACTCTGTAATTGTAGACTTGATACAACATGTCAAACCATTACTTGATATATAAAGATGATTAGTGAATAACTATAAAGAATAAATAAATTGTTTTGCTTACCCTACTTTTAAAGTTATAAAACTAGTTTTGTCAATTCATTTAAGTATGTAAATATTGTCGTTATGAAATGTGGTCAGCCATGTATTCGCCTGTCTAAAATGAAACATCCATAAAGTACTGAACGATTCTAACTGAGATGAAGTTGAAAAGATTCCTAAGTAAACTTTAAAAAGACGTTTAATTTAGAATTCCCCGTCAAGTAAAATTTAAACCTTTTTTAAATTAAAAAAACATTGCCAAAACTCCGTTTCCAATTTTTTCATTGGACCTTCCCAAAATGGTTGGCAAACGACCCTAGATAGAAAGCTACTGAAATTTAAAATTTTCAGCCAATTGTTAAAAAACGATGGTTAAAAAATTTTCCACGGTTAGTTAAATTTCCGCCCGGGATATATTGTGGTTAGGTTAAACCGGGGCGGTTTTTTTCCCTTTGTTTTAAAAAAATTTTAAACCCCCAAAAGGTTTCCTAACCAGCAAAACTGAAAAATTTAAACCCTGGGAATAAATTAAACCCAAAGATTGCACCAGGGGTGTGGTAATTTTGCGGGCCCAAATTTAGACCCTTCGTTTTTCTTGTTGAATAGTGCTTTTTTTATTGTCCCCTGCTTGACTTTTATATTATGAATTAAATTCTTTTGCTTTATTTACTGCTAGATAATGATGAGATGGAACAAAAATGATTAAATTCTAATTTATTTTATCATTGGCCTAAAATGTGAAAAGATATACCGCGGGAAATTTAAAAAACAAACAATTAAGCCATACTGTAGGCCTACATTATTTAAATAAATAAAAAATATGCTGTAGATCTAGATCTACTGAACAAGTTACATAATTATTCAATACCTGTATGTCATATATGTATGTATGCTCTGCAGAGATCGTGTGCTTGTTGAACAATAATTATGGCGAAACCTGTCTTCCATACACAAAGCTGTGATGTAATCAATATTATTGATGTCATCGTGTACAGTACACTATGACGTAGAAACTTCATTCAAGTTTACAATGTAGTTTATACATTGACTAATATAAATATAAAAAAGAGATTGTGGATAATGTTTTGATATATTACATTTATTTGTGGCTTGTCTCATAAAGGAGTGAATCCGAGGGATATTATTAATCTATACATGTACTGTAGATAGAATAAACTTTTGCAGAGACAGGTAAGATCTTTCTAAAACATGTAGACTGTACATAGATCATAAATATGCAGTTGTTGAAATGCATTGTGATCACAAGCTGCCCGAAAATTAATGCTGTGTTTAACAATAGCTGCTTTGTCTGGTTGTCCTTGCGATTGTATTTTTACATGTGTGTCATCATAGATGCAGATGAAAAACCGCGTATTGTGTAATTAAATCCACAATGATTAAAAATAGTCGTGGTATCAGCGCTTGGTTCCGTCGTGTATTTCTTTCCAAAAGAACGGTCAAAGAAGTCTAACATGTTTTTTTAATGTTGTCTGCAGGAAATCTATATCTTTTCTGTAACTCCTTGTCTGTCAAATCAGTCAACTATCTGTCAATTCGTCCGAATTGTGGGGTTGTCTGTGCTTACACGTAAAATGTCCGCCATTTTTGTTTTGGTTACCGTGCAGTTACCAAGCTTCAGTACCTTGGTTAAATTTAACCGTGGTTAAAGCGCGGTTACTGCTTTTGATGTTTTTTATACAATCGCTTACCGCGAGGTTACCGGGCTGGTCACCGTAACTGTGTGGTAACCGCGCGGTTAAATTGTTTATACAATTGGCTGCTGAGTGTTTATAATGACATCACGGATAAGCTATATTATAAATCTATTTAGTCATGACTTTTTTCAAACCCTTATCATTGACATACATATATACGTGCATATATGCACTACATTTGCATTAAACATGTCTGATTCGAGAGAGATAAATAAAAAAAAAAATTTATTAAACAGTCTGTTGTAAGAAGGATACACATATAACTTATGTGTCCAATAGGAACAGAACAGATCAGAACATATCTTTTATTAGATTTTAGATTTAAACATAGTTTATCATCTATACATGCATTACATTGAATATAAAGGTCATGTCAAATAAATAATAAAATTAATATGAATATAAATATTATTTACGTAAATGAAGGTATGTGTTGACAAGCAAATTAATTAACTCATTAAACAGTCGGCAATAAATTTAAATATAAAGTTTATGATAAGTCACTTTGTCGTAGCATATTCTCTCGAATTTTAAGTGCTCATTTGATGAACATCACCAAATTTGTCATTGTCTTGTGATTCACAGATCTTAGCTAGCAGTTCAATTAGCTTAAACATACTTGGTCGAAGTGTAAAATATTCATTAATATATCGTTTTCTAATGACTCTGTATCTCGCACATTTAAGCTTAAAGTGATATTCGTCCTCTATCTCGCCATTTTCACAAATTTGACACAGTCTATATTCCCTGTCTATTCTATTATTTCCATAACGCCCGGTTTCTATGCGTAAACAGTGCGCAGATGTTCTCATTCGTGTTATGAAAAGTCTCTATGATTTGTTCAACAAGTCAGTCTAAATAATTAAGGTTCATATTCGAAATTCTCTTAAACATGTTTATATACCAATAATACAGGTTTGCTATCAATATCACTTCTCCATTCCTGAAGTAAACAGTCAATCACTCTTTAATCAAACTTGTACCGTCAATAATACTGTCCTGTATTTCCCAAAGATATCCATATCCATAGTTTTCTAATAAAACTTTTAACTTATATGCCCAGTTCTTTTTACCATGAATAGCATCATTTAACAGCTCCTAATAAACGTTTTTAATGATACAATTATTGGAATTTAAAACTTTAATCAAGAACTTGAATATCTTAACAAAACGATTTATATAAAGCGGATAGCGCCCTAGCTCTCCATATACAGACACATTACTTACTGACATTTTAACATTAAGAAGTCTTTTACAAAACTTTAACTGCACTCGTTCAATTTCTTTAGCTTTTGAATTACCCCACACTTCTGCTGCATAACTTAGTATAGATGTTACAAATGAATCAAACAGCTGACATTGAACTTTTAGAGTAAAATCAAATTCACGGATATTATAGTTTAACAAATTCATAGCTTTCATTGCTTTACCAATTAACAATTGTTGATTGCAGTTAAAATTACCATTTGAACCAAATACAGTTCCAAGATAATTAAATGTATCTACAATATCCAACGTTTTCCCGTCATACTCCCATTTCTCATCGTCTCTCAATGCACCTTTACGTCTAAATACCATTTTGTTTTCTCTTCATTAATCTTTAAACCCCAACGATCACAATAAATTCGTAGATTGTCTAAATCGCCATATTAAAGCAGAAAGGTACCAAGTGACATTTTTATGTTTTCGAGCAAATCGCGTTTAAAGATTTGAAGTTCCATATCAAATCAGGTTTTTACAACATGGCAAAGAAACTTTATATTTAGATAATATTTGAATGTACATGCTCAAAAAGTTGGAAAGCTTATATATTACTAATAAGTGATAATTAATCAATTAAAGGAAATGGTTCCTTTTTGCACTAATAAATATTTTGACCGACAAGTGCAAGAAGGTACCATATGATCGCTTTTTGCATTGTATTATTTTTAACGTTTGCTGTCGAATATATCAAAAAAGGTACCATAATTATGGCAGTTGGCACCTTTTTGTCCCAACAATATTAACAAAAAGCATCATTTGTTTACAGTTTTATTCTACAATGATGCAAATAAAAATATTAAATTCTTGTGTTTTCAGTAAATGTCTGATACAACTATCACACTGCATGTTTTGAAAGTCTTCCTCTGTGATAAATCTCAATGCATATGTCAAAATCTCTTACATTGTTAGTCAAAATCAGAATCATTCTCATCCGATTCCATCGTGACATAACCCTTTTCTTTCCTGTATGTTGGCTAAGTGGCATTATAATTATGGAACTCTTTTGGGATAATTTCCTTTGCACACAAAGTAACCAAGTCATTTTTCTTTTGAAAAGAAACTGGCGGTTTGGTATCATAACTTCATATCTTGTTCACCATTTGTCCACTGATACTTTCTTTCTGTCTAGATTCTGTATTCTGAACTTCTATTTCCATAAAATCTTCAGCATTGAAGCTGTAATTTACAAATACTGACTTTGGGTTATCCTTTGGTACCTGTATCCATTTCACATGTAGCCGGTTTACTCTTTGTCCGTCAATGGATGTTTAGAGTCTCGGACACTGTTTTAATGAAGTATTTGAAATCAAAAACATGGTTATATTTCATTTCCACATCAATGTATAGCTGTGATTTTCTGGCCAGTGATATAAGAGAACACAACTGAATGAAACATAATTATACAGGAATTATTTTCTTTGCCCCTTCAAGAGTCAAATTGTCACTCAATCTGTGAGTGACCCGATACAAGAAATTTGTGATGATCAATCTTAAACTTGGAACTTGTGATAATATAAAAGAAGAGGCGCAGCTATGAACCAATTTCTGTTTTGTCCCCCGTATGAATCTGAAAAATATATTACTTATTTGACATTACCACTCTGGCAGGAAGCTATTTCACATGCCTCTCTTTGCAGTTGGTTTTATCCCATACATGACATACAACATTTTTGTCTCATAAGGAATATACTGTCAAGTTGTGTAGCAACAGAGTTTTATTGAATAGTAAAGCTCACTCACTAATGAGCAAGGGGTTGGTACAACGGCCTTGAGATCAAAACATGCAACATAAACGCATGTGTCACCTTTTGCCCCAACTTTATTTTTAACCTTTTCTTCTTGTGAATTTTCTTTCTGTTTTTGATGTTCAATATATTGTTCCTTGATCGTGCCATCTAGTGTGCCTACTGCCTTCCTATACGTATGTTGCTTAACAGATTTTATTTCCTTTTTTGACTGTCAATAGTTTACAGTTTCAACATCTTTTTAATGTTTAAGTCATAGTCATGAGATAGGTATTGTTTCTTTCAGTTTTTTTCTTGTATAATGAGATTTCATTTTAGGAAATTACTCTATGCTGTTTCACCAATTAAACTGTATCATAATCTAGTTTATTTGTAGATGTACGCTTCCCTATCATACTTCTCCTTCCATATATCCCATGTATCTTGTTGGCAAGAGTATAGTCAATTACTTTTCTTTTTACGTCTACGTTTTTGTGAAGAAGTCATTTATACACTATCACTATCTTCACATTGTTATCATTCCTCAATTTAAAACAGAAACAATACTCTGGGATATATTGTTATATTTGGTGTCCTTATCAACATCTAGATTGTGTATTCATTAAAAAGCTAAAAGGTACCAAGCAAACAATTTAATATATAAAATAATCTTAAGGGTCGTAAATTCTTTGTGTGCAGAAAGGGACCATATGACACATGGTTCCTTTTTGCATTAAAAGTGCTCAAAACTTATAATAGTCATTCAATGAAAAAAGGTACTTTGTGACACTTGGTACCTTTTTGCTCAAACTGGTATACATATGGTACCTTTTTGCATTACTAAATGGGAAAATATTTACATTGTACCTTTTTACATAACCTTATATGTCTGTAAATAAACATGATACTACAGAGATATTACAGATTAAAGATAACATTAAAACAAAATGAAAAATGTTAAAAAGTCATTTTTGGCCAAAATGTTGCTTGGTACCTTTTGCTTTAATGGGGCGAAATGTGACTGCAAACCCTGAACTGTTTCAGACAGTAGAATCATATCATCAGCGTATAAAAGCAATATAAGTGTCAAGTCTGCTATATTTACACTACTATCAATATTTGAACCTAAATACAATTCTAAATCTTCGATGAAAATTGACCACAGCAGTGGCGAACATATCTCTCCTTGCTTTAGACCTACCGCTACTTCAATGAATTCAGAAAACGTATTACAGTGACGAACTTGACTTTTCACGTGCTCATACATCGACCTCACTACACGTAACATTTTTCCAGAAATTCCAAGGCCATAACGCGTTCCTATAAACGCTGTCGAAACATTTGCTCATATCAAGGAACGCAGCATACAAACGAGAGCCATTTCCAAGACATTTTTGTATTAATCCGTTTAAACAAAATATAGCATCGACTGTGGAAAACCTTTTTTAAATCCAAACTGAGCGTCGGAAATAATTTTTTTTTCAAACGCTTATTTAACACAGATGTAAACAGCTTTGCTAGGACGCTGATCAATGTTATTACACGATAATTGTTCACATCATTTTCGTTTCCTTTTTTGAATAATGGAATAATTATACCTTACGACCATTTATCCGGGCAAAAAACCGGTATCGATTATAAGATTAAAAAGATCTGTTAAATGGCCTGTTAATATATCCCCAGATTCAATGAACAATTCATTGATTAAGTTATCAGTAGAGCCTACCTTTCCACATTTTAAAGTTTTCAAAGCCGCTAAAACTTCTGTCTCTGATATAGTATTATCTAGTTCTGAGAAGATAGGATTATCCGAATTAATGCCTTCCGACGCAAACCGTTCGCTTTCAACCTCAGTTGTGATATTAATTTCATTACTCAAGTTTATAAAATACTGGTAGAAATCACTTGTTGACAAGGAATTTCCGCGCATCCCTTTGTTTTTTTAAAAAGTACTTCCAAAAGTCTCGAGGCTTTTTCTTGCGCAAACCTTCTATCTCCTTTGATTTCGTGCTTTTATAAGCTAGTTTCTTACGATTTACGAGTCGCTTATATTCCCTTTTAAAAGTTAATAACGTTAATAATTTACAATCCAATTTTCCTGCAACAATTGATCTCGGACATTGAACATTACTGGTGAGTAATCAATCAAAACAACAGATCGCTTGTGATTATGTATCAAAACTATCTTAGTTGTTTCAAACATTTCACTCATCATACATATTCTTTTATTGTTTACATTTTGGGCTAGGCTTAACGAAATGGAGTTATATATCTATTTCCACTTTCATGCAAGCTTTACCAAAGAAGATTATGAACAGCTTAGACAAAGGTCAACAGACTGATGTTATAGTATTGGACACCTATCTATCTCTACAGCATTTGATAAGGTAGGTAAACTAATGTATGAACTACCCACATATAGTAGTAACTCTGAATTAGATTTATTCTATTTAACAGCTCGGTAGATCAGCAAAGGTACGGGGAACTCCCCGTACTTTCTGGTGTCCTCTGATAAATTGGTCATCTGTTCCTTTCATACATCAACGATCTTCCTAAATTAATCAAGGGTAAGGCTCTTTGTTAAGTTAACCTAGTTTACATAACCATCATTTCTTCGTCAGATTCTTAACTCTTACTATATTATTAACTCTGAATTGGATTTATTTTATTAAACGCTCTCAAATGGTAGCGGTAGAAGGTCACCTAGCAAAGGAACTCCCCGTACTTTCTGGTGTCCTCTGGTAAATTGGTCACCTGTTCCTTTCATACATCAACGATCTTCCTAAATCAATCAATATATAAGTTCAATGTATAAGTTCAACCTAGTTTACATAACAATCATTTCTTCGTCAGATTCTTAACTCTTACTAAATGATCTACATCAGTTAGAAGTTTGTGAGAGAATGGGGTCATGGAATTTAATACTGTTTATTATTACCTGTCGTAAGAATGGTCCTGAATTTTGTTCTTAGTCCTTAAATATTTGTAATACAACATTAAAAACATCAGATTCTTTTGAAATACCTTAGGAGGACCATTTAAATAGATTTAAACTGGACCCAACATATCAATTATGTAACATTCTTTGAAGCAAACAACTGCCTCCGCTATATTAAAAGAAACATAAAAGCATCATATAAATGGGTCAATGATGCTGCAAACACAACTTATGTAAGACCACAAGTAGAATATTATTAAAAATTCGGCATCCTTGGCAAAAACATCTTGCCTATAAAGTAGAAACTGTACAATATATAGAGCTGAAGCCATGTACATACATGTATGTCTGGAACAAAGTTTTATGTTCATCAATAAGTTGAGGAACTGTATGTATATAGTGGGATACTTTATAAAAGTAAACTTAATCTTACTCTAATGCACAATTATGCTCTGTGCTTTTGCTTAGTGTTTGACTGATTAATAGCATTATATATTCCCAGTTAAGGTCTCTCGTGGATACCTTATTGAAAATATGTTGGTAATACGTTAATTAAGTGTTGAAATAGTTAAAATTTTGTTTATTTAGATTTATTTGTATTTATTTGCCTCACTACTCTATGTTACTTGTGTCTATCTTATATCAATTAAGCCTTGGTAAATTGAATATCCTAACTCACTTTTGATCTCATTTGATTACTGTTGATCTCATTATGTTTTATACTGTGCATGATATGTGGCACAAAATCACAATTATTTTTCACCCCCACATGACAAGGGATACAGGGATACAAGGGTTACACAAGGTTACAGTGGGATACAGTGAATTTCCATCATGTAACAGATATTTTTAATTCATTAATTTTTGACTTTTTTGTTATTTGTTTCACCTAGAAATATTATTTGAATTAAAAAAGAGATCTAATTTTACTTATTATCGATAATCCATTAACATCACCCAATCAAAGGGGCTTATTAGCTGAGTAATTAGTGAGCAACGGCCTTGGTGGATACTAATTATTTATTGAGAAAGATAACAAAAAATTGATGTTTTGTGACTAACGTTATAAAATTATTTTTAGACTATGCAGTCAGCATAAATTTAATTTTAATCTGGTGAAACATTGCACTGATTTTTTTCCTTTGCTAAAACATACTTCAATAAGGCACATGTAAGTTGTATTACAAAAGATAAAAACCTTTTCCTTCCATATATCAATGTTTATTTCTGAATAATTAAAGTTCAACTTCATATGAACATATTTATTATAATTAGAAAAAAAGATCATATTTTATTTGGAAATACATCTATTTTGTTTGTTTGTAGGGTTTTTTCTTACTTTTTTAGTCATATCAATGTTTATTTAGTGATATACACGCTTGTTTATTGAAATTCTTGTGACCATAGATCATAAACCAAAATTTCATAAAGTACTTCATAAGCTGTCGAATAAAACATCTATTTTGTTTGTTTGTAGGGTTTTTTCTTACTTTTTAGTCATATCAATGTTTATTTAGATCATATACAAGAAATGTTAGCTTTTACTAATGATTTAATACCAGCTCTTCGTGATACTTAATTTTTTTCTTAATTATGAGTAAAAATGTCCTCTCGGCAAAAATATCTTGGATATCTTTAGTATATTGACTTACTAAGAAACAATATATTTGATATTGTCATTTTTTACATATTATGTAAAAAAAACATTATCATTTGATCGTGTATATGATATGTACAAAAATGTCAGTTGGTCACTCCAAATTTATACCATGAAGTTGTGTGGTATGTCTCACCAGGGCGCAATATGCTACTTGGAAAACTTGGCTGAAATAAAAAGGAACGTATTGTTTACTAACAGCAGACAGAAGGAAATAACAGTGACTGAAGAAATCCACAGTGTTTACTATATAATACTATACATTTAAAGTCTTATTTACCCTTTTATGGCACGATATTTCTGTTGCAAAGAAGAGATGTATTTTCCAAAAGTGATTCAAAATAATCAAACTTATCTTACTAAAACGCTTATTATACACGTGTATTTAACAAATTTGTGTATCAAATGAAAATAAAACAAATTATACGTGGCACTTACTACATTAACAGAAGCTGGATAGCCTTGAGGCATGAACAAAATCCCGCCACTCTTTTTATATACAACACCGTCCTTGCATTTGGAATCTTTCAGCAAGAAGTCTAAGTAGAAACAGCTATATGCAATAAACGCAGGTTCGGTAGTGGATACTTCAATAAAACGCCCCGAGGCTGGGTGAACCGCCCTGAAGAAGAACGACTTTTTCTTATTATCAATGAATGATTCGTTAAGACATTTCTACAAAATGCTGCAAAAATGCACACAAGTGTGTAAATTACAATTATCGATGTGTCATTAACATTAAATACATATTAATCATGCCAAGCTGATATGTAAACGGTATTTTAAAGAAGAAATCAGCTTGACTTTTTTATTTAATTTTGTATGCTAATTGTCTTACAGCTTTAAATATATATTTACAAAACCACATCAAAAACGTGTACTTGAGAATTGATCATATATGAGCTATATAGTGGTACATTAGCATTTAAAGTACATATTCAGCTTAACAAAACATACTTAGCAACCATTTTCTTCTCCCCTTTGGCTCCAGGTAAGATATAGGCCAAGTGGAGACCATCCTTGCCAGGCATTTTATCAAGAACATCGTTAAGGACTGTTGGTTTCTGGAGGTCATACATTGTTCCTGATACATTAGTTATCGTTCCTGAAACAAATTCCCCAAAAGAACATCATTTTCTCATTATCCTGTGACAAACCTGACCAATGCAAAATTGAATGTTAAGCTATATATATATATAGTTTATAATAGATATAGCGGCATCAATTAACTATATAATCAATATATACAATATCTTTTAAGTGTGTTTTCTTATATAGTAAAGTTCGGAGCCTTTAAAGCATACCTGTTGGTATAAAGTTTTCATTGAATTCCAGATATTGCGATGCATTCATGTTCACTACATGATCACCAATATATCCACCATCCTGTAATACATTTAATAATTTCTGTAGATTGTAATTTCAAAAAATTAAAAAAGGGAACTTCTTTGTAAGCAGCGGTCTCACTTACTCCCGGCAGAGCCCAGGACCACCACGGTAAGTTACTGGGATGATCCGGGGCGATCCGGGGTGAAATTAGTGTTGCGGTCACACTTACCCTGTCAGCACTACGGTAATACGCAACTAACCACCCAGAATGCGCTCCGGACCTTCCAGGTATAGCCCAGGTGAAGCTACGGTTCATGCCGGTGCTTCCCCGGTGGTTCCCGGATGACGCAAGAAGAGCCCCGGTTGACCCAGGCAGAGCCCCGGTCGATCCAGGCAGAGCCCAGGACAATCCAGTGCAATCATCGCAAATTGTCGTGATTGTTTTGAAATGAACCGGGCTTTGCCGGGGCTCTATCGGGATCAACCGTAGCTCCATTGTCATCCTCCGGGGCTCTGCCGGCATCCTCCGGGGCTCTGTCGGCATTCACCGGGGCTCTGCCAGGATTCACTGGGGCGTAGATACCGGCTATATCATACCTCGGTTCATCCTCGGTTTGTGCCGACAGAGCTACGGTGCTTCATCGGTGTAACCCTGGTCGTCTTTGCAGAGCTAAGGATGAAGCCCACAAAGCTTTACTTCGCGGATCACCCCGGACCACCCCGGTGATATTAAATATTTCATTCCTTCCGGGATCGAATGCAAGATGTTCCCGGACATTCACAGACGTTGCACTGATGTACTCCGGTTCCCGGCCGTACCCCGGTCGTTCCAAGATCACCCAGGACGTCTTTCGGGGCTCTTCCGGGGTTCTGCCGGGATTTTAGTGAGCCTGTAGCTTTAGGCTACTGCTTAAATTTCTTTAAAATGGAGCATGTTTTTCTCAAGAAAATTGCAGAAACTTGCGATGAACTATATACATTGTTTTATAGAAAAACATATTTTCATGTTAGCTAGCGATTCCAGCTTAGATTTTATCATTTTCATACAACGTTAACTTATATCATGCAGACGTTATAAAGATAGCACGGTGCCTATACACATTGACATTTAATTATTAAAAAACCAATACAAAAGACGGTCTAGATTTTATTTTCTACCATACAAATTTCATTTTTTATTAGATGAAGAAGTGTCGAGTCCGCTAAGTTCTAGTGAGGAACCCTTATCATGTTCTAACCTAAACTAAAGTGAGGTATGTTGTTCAAACATACGGTTTCACTTTCCGTAAAAGAAATACATTTTAAAGAAATATATATTTTTTATTTACACTTTATCCCATTAAATATAAGGAACTATTAAAAAAGGTAACTGAAGAAAACAAAAAAAAAACAGACAAACAAACTCTGGACGTCTATTAATTGTATTGGTTTTTGCCCCGCTTAATTCACAAAAAGTCACATGGTGAATGCAGTATTAACATTCCAGTATATGTATTGTTTTTGTAGAATAAACATTAAGGATTAATCTATGTATCATACAGCATCGTGTATCATTTCAATGAAATGTCGATATTAATATGTTAATCTTACATGTCCGGAAAGGTTCACCATGAAATGGTTTGATATATCTACAGGTGTGGGCTTGTTAGTTGTTGCCTTGTAATCAATCATGAGACCGGACTCTTCAGTTAGTTCATACGTCACGGTGATAGTTACATCTCCAGGAAATCCCTCCGAACCATCCGTGTCAACGTACTGGAGGCGGAGTTTTGTACCGTCTATTGTCCAATCAAAGCATCTCTTGAATTGAAATATACATAATGCATATGTTATGATGAGTTAAGCTAGGTTATTTTTGTTCAAATCCTAATTGATTTCAAATTTAAAAAAATGATGCAATATTTTGATTTCAAACAAATTTTGATTCTATATAAGAATGCTTTGTATTACAATATCGTTACCCAGATTTTTCTTTATAATTTAGATGGTCGTTTTAATGAATCGCATATGTTCAGTGCTAATTTAATTTCTTAATTCCCAAAGAAATTCATACAAATGCCCACTTTGCTCAATAGTGAGAACATCGGAAAAGTAATCTTGGGGTCACTGGACGAAATTTCCCCGTGACAATTAATTTCTAACATTGAGTCTAATGGTCATTTGTCAAAATTGTGGGATTAATAGTTGGTCGTTTTCGTAGAAATTGGCAATTACTGATATGTTATCCAGTAGTCAAACTAATTATCCAGGAAAGCCGGTTAGGTAAGTCGACCGCCGGGATATGTCTAAAATAAAATGTGTTTTCAAAACTGGGGTATAAACCAGAAAAACAAATAAATAGATGAAATCATGAAAATATGAAAACACAAACCCTTGTTAGACCTGTGAAACCTCCATGACAAAAATTGTTTCCTAGTAGCGGATCACACTTTGAAACATCATACTTAGTACCGTCAAGTTCAAATGTCGCACCATCTATACGGTTAGCTACTCTACCACATATGGCGCCCATAAATGCTGGATTCGTTTCATATCCTAAAATTTGAATTGTGTAACGTACATTTTTAAATGATGAATAGAATACAAAGTGTTATTTTCATACTGATTTTGAGTTAGAATGATTGTGTAGCTTACTACTAGTATTTTGCATGCATACTTAACAAAAGTTGTTGCTTCATCTAGAGTATTAGCATCTGGATAGGAGGCTTTTCCTTGCCATTTTAATGATCAAGCATAAAAGATAAAATATCTTGATAACGCATCAATATAATATTATTATCATTATTCTAATTGCACTCTTAAATTTATTTTCTTAGATAGATCTAAAGTTGTGATGCAAGTAGCTCCAAGTTGTTGGAGACGGTTGAGCAAATGTGGGCAATTAATAAATACAAGCCACTATATACTTCACCATCAAAGTTGTCATATGCAAGGCATACATCTACTACTTTTCCATTTCGATCTGGTACCAAGATATCTTTTACTACACAGCCAAAGTTAAGAATATTCACTGATATTTTTCCTGCTTTCAGTGTGAATCTGCAAAGAATCAACACACCACATTTTATCTGTTAGTAAAATCTTGCAAGCAGACACATATGATATGGGATGTGTATTAACTATCGACTGTATTCATGAACATGTCGCTATTTACATATTTTATTTTTTTTAATTTTTTATTTATACATTTTAGGAACATAGCACATGATACAGAATATAAAATCATACAGTTAAGAGTGTATTCATAAACATGTCGCTATTTACATATTATATTTTTTTTTATTTTTTATTTATACATTTTAGGAACATAGCTCATGATACAAAATATAAAATCATACAGTTAAGAGATAACATATATAAATCATATATATAAAATGATATCATAAAATAAGAAGAATAAAGATCAACAAGGCAAAGGCAACGTTCACAGGACGCCACCCCCGACACACCCAAGCAGGGCACCTAAACGGCACCAAACAAAAACCCGGAATGGACACAGGGGCGAAAGTAGTGGGACATAAAACAGCATAAAAGAGCACACTGTTGTCATAAAAAATAATAATAATAGGTACTATGCACCTATGGATAGCCCATTAAGCAATGGGGTCCATAAAAATAAAAATACATATTTATAACCCTTTCCCCCCTAAAAAACAATGCAAATATGTAACTACATATGCAATTTTTATATGTTATATTTATGTTAAGTCTATATATTCTATGCTGGTAACTGATCACACGCATGAATAGTTAACCCTTTCCCTCATAAGGATATTGTGAAAAATGGCCGTTTTCATTGAAAAGCCTCCTGTTACAAGTTCAAACTGCTATGAAACTATGAAAAATGCTTAAATACTAATCAAACTTGGCACAAATTTTGACTGGACCATTGCCTTTGTAACGACATGCTCAGTCGTAAATTTTCTGTTACCATGGCAACGAGGGGACATCTCAAAATTGCCAAAAATCACTATTTTGCCTTGATTTTTTTTCATCAAAATTTATTTCAAAGTGCTGCAACTTCTCAAGGGATTGAGATAGAGTCAAAGGCTTTTCAGCGTTGGTTACACATTACCGTAGGATCAACCTGGGGTCATTTTCAGCCTCTCAGAAGTCCAAAATTTTCTTGGCGATGACGGGGACTACCGCCCCCCTTCAACCCCCCAAACAGAAGGGGACACATCCCCTTCTGGCAACCCCTTGATGTACCTTTTGGATGGGGGCCGCGCCGAACAAGTGATCACATTTTTTAGCAACATTTCTCAAACGAAAACATGTGTTTGGGCCCAAATAGAACATTTGTTTCACTATTTGAGGCCTGAAAGAGGGGGGGGGGTCAAAAGTGCGTTGTTTCGCGTATATATGAGGTAAAGGGTTAAATAGGTTAAATAAAAAGGTTTAATAAAGTCTGACTCACTTGTAAACATCTTTTCCATCTTTTGTCGTTCCAAATTTCTCTTTAACAATATCGTGTGCAGATGACATAGTGATTATTTTAACGGTTAACCTTCAAATCCTCCCGCATGCGTTTGTTTAAATTGTAAAATGACATCACGGATAAGACATGACTTCTTTTCAAAACCTTATCATTGACATACATATATACGTGCATATATGCACTAGATTTGCATTAAACATGTCTGATTCGAGAGAGATAAATATAAAAAAAAATGTTTTTAATTAAACAGTCTGCTGTAAGAAGGATAAACATATAACTAATGTGTCCAATAGGAAGAACATTGGATTTACAATCCAATTTTCCTGCAACAATTGATCTCGGACATTGAACATTAATGTTCATTTGCCTCTCAGAAAAACAAAATCGATCATTGCTGGTGAGTAATCAATCAAAACAGCAGATTGCTTGTGATTCTGTATCAAAACTATCTTAACTGTTTCAAACAATTCACTAATCATACATATTCTTTTATTGTTTACATTTTGGGCTAGGCTTAACGATATGGAGTTATATATCTATTTCAACTTTCATGCAAGCTTTACCAAAGAAGTTTATGACAGCTTAGACAAAGGTCAACAGACTGATGTTATAGTATTGGACACCTATCTATCTCTACAGCATTTGATAAGGTAGGTAGACTAATGTATGAGCTACCCACATATATTATTAACTCTGAATTAGATTTATTTTATTTAACCGCTCTCAAATAGTAGCGGCAGAGGGTCACCTAGCAAAGGAACTCTCCGTACTTTCTGGTGTCCTCTGGTAAATTGGTCATCTGTTCCTTTCATACATCAACGATCTTCCTAAATCAATCAAGGGTAAGGCTCTTTGTTAAGTTCAACCTTGTTTACATAACAATCATTTCTTCGTCAGATTCTTAACTCTTACTAAATGATCTACATCAGTTAGAAGTTTGTTAGAGAATTGGGTCATGAAATTTAATACTGTTTATTATTACCTGTCGTAAGAATGGTCCTGAAATTTGTTCTTAGTCCTTACATAATACAACATTAAAAACATCAGATTCTTTTGAAATACCTTAGGATGACCATTTAAATAGATTTAAACTCGACCCAACATATAAATAATGTAACATTTATTGAAGCAAACAACTGCCTCCGCTATATTAAAAGAAACATAAAAGCATCAAATTAATGGGTCAATGGTGCTGCAAACACAACTTATGTAAGACCACAAGTAGAATTTTATTTAAAAAAATCGGCATCCTTGGCAGAAACATTTTGCCTATACAGTAGAAACTGTACAGTATATAGAGCTGAAGCCATGTACATACATGTATTTCTGGAACAAAGTTTTATGTTCATCAATAAGTTGAGGAACTGTATGTATATAGTGGGATACTTTATAAGTAAACTTAATCTTACTCTAATGTACAATTATGCTCTGTGCTCTTGCTTGGTGTTTGACTGATTAATAGCATTACATGTATATGTTCCCAGTTAAGGTCTCTTGTGGATACCTTAATTATTGAAAATATGTTGGTAATACGTTAATTTAAGTGTTCAAACAAGATTTTGTTTATTTAGATTTATTTGTATTTATTTGCCTCATTACTCTATGTTATTTGTGTCTATCTTATATCAATTAAGCCTTGGTAAATTTAATATCCTAACTCACTTTTGATCTCATATTTGATTACTGTTGATCTCATTATGTTTTATTCTGTACATGGTTAACATGTCATCTAAACTAAATGACCCATGATTAGTAAATAAACTATATTTTATTCTATTCAGATCTAAATTCAAGTAATTTATCTTTATTAAAAGTATCTATTGGAGCAATACCTACTGGCACAGCCTAATAATATGTTCTCAGAAAGGTTATTAAATCCACTTTCAAGTGAATACTATGCTTTGTGGTTGTATAATACTCTTCTGTTTAGGAGATACACCGGTGGGTTTCACACGCCTAAATCTTAAATGCAAAGGTTGCTTTTGCAGTTTCCAATTTTTCAACTTAGTTCAACCACTAAAAGTATTGCTAGGTCAATATCTACAATATTTTCCAGAAAAATGAGCGTTAAATCAGCACCTTATGGATCCTGGACATCCCCTATCAGCAGTAAACTTGTGTCCGAGAGTAGTGTTGGGTTTCAGGAAGTTCATGTTGATTCACATCCTGATCACAAAGGTTTAGGAATAAATTAAGATTGTTTCTGATTGACAGTTAAGACAAAATATATAAAATACATTTATTATTATAGACATTGACCATGCATTTGTTATGATCAAAATTTCTAACTTTTCTTTAGTAATAATAGGGCCTACGATTTATTCAATACAAAGTATTGTTAATTTGTTTTATTTGTTGTTTTTTTTTAACTTTGTTTAAACTAAAATAAAGATTCAAATGTAAATCACTGTTAGGCTAAGTTTAAACTAAAATGAAGATTCAATTGTAAATCACTATTGGGCTACAAGCAAACAGGACGTTTCGGCCCCAAACCAAATCGGCCCCTGGACATTTCGGCCCTTTTCCGCGAGACGTTTCGGCCCCACTTTAGTATATTGCTTGATATGTTAAAAAAAAAATGGTTTGCTATCATCTCATGATAATATTTTTAATTATTATTGTTATTAGATAATGATAGATGCTAGATGTAATAAAACTGATTGAAAAACTGAAACCAAATTGTATTAAAATGCTATATCATATGTACCTGCTATAGATAAGTTATAACATTCGAAAATAAAGTGTTTGTGCGTATCATTGTTGGAATATATAAAATATATATAAAATTAAATTAGAGAAATTATTTGCTGGATATTAACTGTGATTTAATACTTACAATCGGATTTTAAGTGTAAATATTATGAAATGTCCGATATAGGTATGCGATACAGGTAGGTCATTTTTGAATATATTAATTTAGATTTCAGGACTTTACACCTCCTGGACGTTTCACCTTTGGTCTTTACACCTCCTGGACGTTTCACCTTTGGTCTTTACACCTCCTAGACATTTCGGCTACTTTTTTTTATAAATAATATTGTATACTGTATGGATTAATATCAGTAAACTTGTTTGACATACCTTAGTTGTTACACCTTAATTGGATTATATTGAGTGATAATTGAGATAACTCAATATCATATAAATTTGCATGATAGACATTGAGAGAATATTTGTTTTTTGAAATTTATAATTAAGAAATTTTATTTTAAAAAATGACATTCTTGTTCAAATAAAATTTACCAAATATGTTTCAATGTATGAAAAACAGATAAAAACAAAATGATCAGATTTACTAAATTTTATTCAGAGTTAATTACTATATCTACAATGTATGCACTATACAATAACATAACATTAAAATAAACACTGTTATTTTCATCATGTAATTTTATTTCCTATTTTATAAAAACTAATAAGAACTATAAGTTACACACTTCTATAGGTGCTAATTTAGTAATTAATTAACCAGTGTTTATAATGGCATTATAAACACTGGTTAATTAATGCTTTATTCAAAATTGTTTCACACTTCTAATTGTTCTTATCTGTTATATAAAAACATATTTTAGATTTAATTAATCAATATGTTTTATGGTTTTTAATTTTTGGATAACAAAAAAAAATGAAATAATATATACATGTAGACTTATAGCTGATAATTCTTTCAGAGCTCATATTTATAATTATTTTCCCAGGGAAATTTTACTACGATATTTATGTCAAAAAAATCTTCTTTATTAGTTTATATCATGAATGTAATTGTTTGCAAGTATGTGTTATATTATATATAATATTATAACCCATAATGGTATTTATTTCATATATTTATCAAATTTAAAAAGTGGAGGTGAAAAGACCAGGGTTTTGAGGGTGAAACGTCCAGGGATGAAACATCCAGGAGGTGTAAAGTCCAAACACCTTAATTTAGAAAGGATTTCCCAAAAATTAATATATTGCACCGATAGTTCATTTGTTATTGTTTTTTTTCCCATCAAACTGGTCACTGTTAAATAGTTGTTGATGATAATTTAATGTCTGTCTCGTGTATTGTTTTGTGTCTTGCTTCTTAATCTTTCAAATAAAATATTATCTATATATGTTGTAAATAATTGTTTGTTTGTGTATTATATTTTTTCAAATAAAGTTAATGTTCTGTTCTGTTTGTATTGATTACTTTTGGAACCCTACTACTATTATAATCTAGTTTTTATACAAAATGATTAAATATATATATTAATTGATTCATTTATTTATTAAAATGCTATTAATATAAATATATCGGTTTAAAATACAGTATTTATTCTGGGGCCGATTTGGTAAAGGGCCGAAACGTCTCGGGTAATTTGGGGCCGATATGTCTTGGGGCCGAAACGTCTCGAAATCGGGCTACAATATGGTGTGTTATATAATTGTTAAAGGATCATTGAGTGACCAGTATGCCTCACCCTTTAAGGGCTGCTTTTCCTGGTTTCTTCCTACTGACCTGACTTTAATGCCTGTGTCAGTGGAACTAGCAATATCTTATCTCATTACAGGTTACCTAGCAGTTTCTGTTCCAAATTGCAATTTGTTAGAAATAAGAATCTGTCATCTGACGAGTACTAAACTATGACAGAACACAGTTAGGTACCTGCATGTCCAGCAATACAATGTTGCACTTTCACTTTAGGCCAGGGTCTTGAAAGACCCTGTTTAGGCCTACTTTTTAATTGGAATATGGGCCTGAAATGCAGCACCTTTTCTCAATTTTATTTAAAATTTTAATAGCAGTTTTTTTAACTTTCTTTATTTTAAGTATAATTCAATACTAAAAACTAAAAAAGCATTGTTAATGATTTTATCAAAGAAATAGCATTTTTCAATCTTTTCCGTGTCGTCTGCAAATATATTGTTATACCTGGAATGGGGCCTCAATTATTGCACATGAGCCTTCAAACTGGCATTCTCACATGTTGCTTATTTTGTCTGAGGTAACTAACTAACAAACAGAGCTTAACAACATATACATTATGTAAACCCATGTACTACTAAAACTGCTGTGTTGCCTAGAAAACAAACGTCTCTTTGATTTGATAAAGTAACATATTTGCTTTATCTGTAAAAATATACTGTACAGGACGAACATGATAAAGGGCCCGAAAACTGCCAAGGGTGAGAAACTGCTAGTAAACCAGTAAACTCTGATGGTATTTGCTACATTTGTAACTTCAATCATGAAACAGGAGGTCACTGTCTAAGACCCATAATACTAGCATGATTTTTTGACAGAATTAGGCCGTCCTTAAAAAAATGTTTGTTTGCAGTTACCCGACCCAGAATTTTCAAGGTGGGTAGGTAGGTCGATTTTTTTTTTTTATTATTTAACTGTACTCCCAAATAAACATGGAATTTCAAAATGCTGGACAATATATGCTTTGATAATCTGGTAACAATTAATAAATTGATAACTGAATTCTAATTTAATAAGAAGTACATTTTATTTCTTCTATTAACCTTAAAGCACAAGGCATAATTTTCTTATTCAAAAAAAAAATTTTTTATCCAGACCACGAAAAAAAATTTGAGTAGGGGCAAATTTTGTGAGTCGGTCGCGTTACTGCAAACAAACATTTTTTTAAGGATGGCCTTATGGCCCTTTTTGAACTTATGAATCTGTTTACTCTTTTGCAATGTTGGCCGGCTATATAAATCAAAAAATTAATGTATTCATTATTTAAAGATAAGATATTTTGTCTATACTGTGCTCCTCTTAGTTCATGGTACTTAACGCTTTGAAACATGATAGAAAACAACAAATGAAACTTTTGGTAGAAAATTGTCATAAGCTGTAACATTTAGATATTTTTTGCTGTATGGCACAAGGAAACAACAATATTTTAGTCAAAATTAGTTTTAATAGGCCAGACATAGACCATATGTCGGCCATTTTGAAAAAGTATGTCATCATTTAAATCGCGGTAATGGTGTTTTATTTCAGTTTTTTTCATGTTTCAGTTAAAATTTCTAGATGTTATTTTGCATAATTTTAAATATTAAAAGTATCTTTACATTGAAACTCAAAATTTATTCTTTCAACAAATAAGAACATTTAGAAAATGATAATCGTTTCAGACATATGCACAAATTTAATAGACTATTGTTGCTTTTTGCAGAAGTTTGTAAAATGTTGTTCTGTTTTACGTAAAAATCTATAGATTTTATTTTTTTCCGCAAAAAACTTTGTTGTTTAGGTGTTTGAATGAAATATGTCAATTCTGACGAATTTTAAAACTGGTGACATGAAAATATGCCATTACTTTGAAATAAATGATGACGCGGAATTAGTGATGTTGAGTATATTACACAAGTATATTTTGTATGTTTTCAGACACTGTATACTGGAGTGAGCTAAGATATGATGAAGGTGGAAGGTATGTCGTTTGTTCACACAAGGTTGGTCAGGAAGGCTTCCAAACATGGACTCCAAAAGAATTCAATGCAAGGACAAGGGTACATGAGTATGGAGGTGGAGCTACTTGTGTATACAATGGGAAGATTTATTTCAGTGATTTCAGAGACCAAAACATGTATACTCAAAGTTCTCCTAATGACTGTCCTATGATAGTGACAAATGATGGAACAGGATGGAGATATGCTGATGGCCAATACAGCACTAAGGTTTTTACATGATATATTACCTGGTCATGTAAAGTTTATTGTAAATTTAAAATAATTGACATTTTATTTGCCTTATTTTTTTGTACAAGATAAATTCCTATATATATTTGACTATGCATGAATGTGATTGAAGAAAAAAAGTAGCATATTTCATTAAGTCTTTTGTATTTTTTTATGATTAGATGTAATTTATTGTTTATTATCTACTTATTGTGGCATTTAGAACTGACAAGACTGGAGAATAACTGATAATTTTATATATCAGACTGGTCGTATTTACTGTGTACGTGAGGACCACAGTGGTGTAGAGAAAGGTGAAAGCAAGGAAGCAGTCAATACTGTTGTAACTATGAATGTTGACACAGGGGATCAAAATGTTTTGGTAAACTGTTTTATATTAATTTAAAACTACCAGATTAAGTAATTTTTGCTGTTTCATATAGCATAATCCATAGCTTAAAAGAATGTCAATATTAAAATAAAAATGTTATCTACTGAATGTTGTGAGTAAATTAAGTTTCTTAAAGTTTATATGAATCATAGGACATCATGAATACCTTACCAGGTGCTAATACTGCCATGACTTTTTAGCTCACCTGTCACAAAGTGACAGGGTGAGCTTTTGTGATCGCTTTTCGTCCGGCGTCCGTCCGTCCGTCGTCCGTCCGTCGTCCGTCCGTAAACTTTTGCTTTAAATGACATCTCCTCATTAACCACTAAGCCAATTTCATCCAAACTTCACAGGAATGTTCCTTTGGTGGTCACCTTTAAAAATTGTTCAAAGAATTTAATTCCATGCAGAACTCTGGTTGCCATGGCAACCGAAAGAAAAATCTTTAAATATCTTCTTTTAAACAACCCTAAGAGCTAGAGCTTAGATATTTGGCATGAAACATCTTCTAGTGGGTGTCTACCAAGTTTGTTCAAATAAAAGCCCTGGGGTCAAAATTGGCCCCGCCCCAGGGGGTCATTGATTTTCCCTATATGCATATAGTAAAAACTTAAAAAATCTTCTTTTAAAGAACCCAAAGAGCTAGAGCTAAGATATTTGGCATGAAACATCTTCTAGTGAGTGTCTACCAAGTTTGTTCAAATAAAAGCCCTGGGGTCAAAATTGGCCCCGCCCTGGGGGGTCATTGATTTTCCCTATATGCATATAGTAAAACCTTAAAAAATCTTCTTTTAAAGAACCGTAAGAGCTAGAGCTTAGATATTTGGCATGAAACATCTTCTAATGAGTGTCTACCAAGTTTGTTCAAATAAAAGCCCTGGGGTCAAAATTGGCCCCGCCCCAGGGGGTCATTGATATTCCTTATATGCATATAGTAAAAACTTATAAAATTTTCTTTTAAAGAACCCAAAGAGCTAGAGCTAAGATATTTAGCATGAGACATGTTCTAATGGGTGTCTACCAAGTTTGTTCAAATAAAAGCCCTGGGGTCAAAACTGGCCCCGTCCCGGGGGTCATTGATTTTCCTTATATACATAGCAAAACCTAAAAACCTTCTTTGAAAAAACCCAAATAACTAGAGTTTAGATATTAAGCATGAAACATCTTTAAGTAAATATCTACAAAGTTTGTTCAAATAAAAGCCCAGGGGTCAAAACTGGCCCTGCCCGAGGGGTGTCATTGTTTTTAACTATATATGTATAGTAAAAACTTAAAAAATCTTCTTTTAAAAAAACCAATGAGCTAGAACTTAGATGTTTTGCATGAAACAACTTCCTATGGGTGTCTACCAAGTCTGTTCAAATAAAAGCCCTTGGGTAAAAATTGGGCCGGGGGGGGGGGGGGCTATATACAGGTGAGCGACCTCAGGGCCATCATGGCCCTCTTGTTTCACTAAGTCATGCCCGAAACAGTTTATTTGTATAAAAAAATGATTTTATCCTTTTGTTTGAAGTACATGTAACTGGAATTTGAGTTATTGTGTGGCAATTTTATTGGCTTTAGCAAAAAGCTACTGCAATTTCCTACATGTATGTTAATGCATCGTATTGTTTGTAATACTACTTATATATGATTACCATTACTATTATCTCAACACACTCTCTTGATTTGAATTATGACAATCTTTAGTTTATTAATAATTTAGGATAAATGTTATTTTAGGATATAGGCAATAAATCAGTTTTGTTTTGATAAGAATGTTTTTTATTACTTACATTTATTAAAGTTTTGCCAATGCCATATGAAGAATGTTATTTTAGACTTACAGCATACATACGTCATTGTGACATGTAGCTGTGTTCATATAGAAGTTTAGCTGTAATTGTCTACTGTGTTATTATTTGTATATTGAACTAAACAGAGGTTTTCCTCTGTCATAAAAGCTAGAAAGAAACTGTATTACCTGTGGCTTGAAACCCAACAAAACAATCAATTAAAGCTGAGGCCATTTGTATAATTTATAACTGTTGGCATGATCAGATACATATACAATGTATGTAATTTCTTTGAGGAGAAAAAGATAGTACTAGAAGTCAGGTCTTTATTACTTAAACAATTCCAATTCAGGCATCAGGGTCAGATTTCTATAGCTGTCCTAGGGTGTCACCTGATGGTAAGAAGATAGTCTGGGTGCAGTGGAATCATCCTAACATGGTAACAGTTTGATTTCTTTACTTAAAAATTTCTATCAAGTTTTACTGATGAGTATTTGTGTTAGATGTGCATTTGTAAGTTGTTATCAAAAGTAAATTTATTTTTTGATTGTTGAAGTATCTTTAGGACATGTTGCAGTTTATCCATCTGTTTGTAGACAATTTTATTCTGTGCAGTAACTTTTATAGAACTCCATTGCATTATTTAATTTATAAGTTTGTTATTTGATAAATCACAAAATTAATGTATGTATTACTAGAAGAATGCCTATAATAAGAATGAAATGGAAAGTAAAATATTGGTGTTTTATAGCCTTGGGATACAACAGAGCTCTGGGTTGCTGATTTAAATGATTCTGGAGATGCTGTTGTGGATGGCACAGCTAGAAAGGTCAGTCATCAAAGTAAATAAAACATCTTATACTTGGAAAAACATAGTATTACATATCTAATTTCCATTTTCTTGTGAGAATGTAGCCTGTGAATAAAATACATTTCAGGTCCTTGACCCGATTGTTTGCTTGACATGTAATTTTCTGGTACCATGTAATTTTTTTTAATTCTCACACATGGCTAGAGAGTTATGGCTCTGTTATACTGCAGGTTGCTGGTGGGGATGAAACCAGTGTGATTCAGCCATCTTGGACATGTGACAATGAGCTGTTATATATTAGTGACCAGACTGATTGGTGGAATCTGTATCATGTGACTGCATCAGGTGACCATGTGAACCTGTTGCCTAGAGACAAAGAATGTGGAGGTCCTCAATGGGTGTTTGGAAGAACACCTTACATGGTAGATCCAAGGGGCAATGGGGACATTGTCACAGTCTATGGATCAGTATGTATGGTTTATTTTATGCTACATTTTAAAAATATATATAAAGATTTTAATATGTGATGACCTATTTAAATTTCCTTCTTGATAAACTGATGATAAAACTTGACAAATATGAATTTTCTATTTTAGATATTATAAAACATAATTAAGTCTGTACTAAAGTTGTATTCTATAGAATGATAAATCTGTAACACCCATTTTCAGGAGCTGGGTATATATAACATAAAGACAAAGAAATATCGAGCTGTGGAGACCGGTTTTGAAAGTCATGTATATGTTAACATGGCACAGAATGGCATGGTATACTGTGTAGCTGGTAGTCCAACCAAGTTCTCCTGTGTCATACAAATCAATACTGACAATGGCAAGGTACATTGTAGTTACTTCTTTATTATTGAATTGTCTATATTTTGTATTGAATTGTCTATACATGTATTTTGTATTGAGTCGTTCATATTTTGTATTGAATTGTCTATATTTTGCGAAATTTTTATATCAGGTTTATGACCATTATGTGTTGATCAATACGCTATAAAAGTTTCTCTTTCACTGTGAAATTTTCAGTTTAAAGTCTATGTAAAAAGAGAGCCAATCCATCATTTAGGCACAAAAGCAGCTTTGCTGTTAGTAAGAGTCCCGTACAAAAAATGTAACTGATCTTATTTTATCATCATTAGAACACTGCATTAAATTATAAAAATCTGCATATTCAAATCTACCATTATACCAGCTTAGTAAAAATTGTTGTCGTTCATGTTTATATTTGTAACATTTAAAGAACACATGAAATCAGGCTATGATGACTCTAAACTTGTGGCTTAGACAGGTCATTATCATTCCTAGCATTGTAAGAGTAAACTGTGTAAGAAAATACCTGTTCATGATTGTAGAGAAAGTTGTAGTGAAAGAACATGTATATCACAATACATTATTGTATATTTGTTGTAAAGGTTGAGGTATTGAGACAATCAAAGAAGACAACATTAGACACAGGATACTTCAGTATTGCTGAAGAAATAACATGGGCCACTACAGAAGGTGATATATCACATGGGTATTTTTACCCTCCAAAAAACAAAGACTTCAAGGCTCCAGGTATTTACTTTCTTTAAAGTGAAAATGTTAAGAAAATTACTTAAGTTTTTCATAATCTATATTCATTTATTACATGAAATATTGATATTGAATCCATCAAGGTTACCTGTCCAATGTCCATGCAAAAATGAAAGTGGTACTGGTTTTGACTGATTTACTTAAATGACTGTTAGAAAATATACATGTATTCCAATATTTCTATATTCATGAAAAAAATGGAACTTTCATTATCTATGATATAATTTTTGTTTGTTTAGGAGAATATATTATTGTATTAGGTTATTACCAATTTTTCTTTGTAATTATTTTACTGTACTACAAGCAGTTATTGTTATATTTATATAGAGGGCACACTACCACCTTTACTTGTAAAGAATCATGGTGGACCTACATCACAGACATCTAGTACATTAGATATGAAGATCCAGTATTTCACAAGTCGAGGTATGGCCGTATTAGATGTCAACTATCGTGGTAGTACTGGGTACGGCAAGAAATACAGACACAGACTACGCAGAAAGTATGGAATTTTTTGTTGTTTTAATAGACAAATATTTTCAAATATAATAATGGTTGTTCCAGAAAAATAAGTAGAATATACGATGAATTGCTATTTAATGTAAGTACAGAAACATGTTATAAAGTGACCCTCAGGTGAGCTTAAAATAACATTTATTCTGAACAAGTTTGATTATTTGAAGTTTATACAAATTTAAGGTCAGATTCTATTTATCACACAATGTGTGTTTACTTTAGTTAAAAACTTTTTTATTTTTGGTATCTTGTAAAAAAAATGTTACAGCTTTTAGAAAAATACTGATTTACCACATAGACTATCTTTTACTTCTTTTGCTTTGTTGTAAATGGGTATAATTATAGTGAGTGAGTATTTTGTATGGAAGTCAAAATACTTCTTTGTTTACATATTGCTACTTTATGACACATCACTGCCCATTCAGTCCACTTTGTTCAGTTGTTAAACATATAACTTGCTCTTAATCCATTATTAAAATATTATTAAACACGTTTCTAAATTTTAAAAATTAAAAAAAAAATGGATTTCAGGCATAATGTGCCTTTAAATGACACAAGGAAAAATTATCAATTTTCTTAAACGTTTTACCTTAAATGTCATTAAAAAGTCTACAATTGTTTTGATAGTAACTTATTTTATTTTTAACTCCATAACTTACTTGGGTTCATTCAGGATTTAAGGGGAAATGCAACTTCTAATCAATATTAGCATATTTTAAAGATAAACTATAGTCAAATTTGATATTAGAAAATAGCGATAATTGCTACACAGTCTTTTTGTAAACATAAACATGTTTTGGCTTGACAAAAAAAATGTTATGTTTAAGATCCTACACACTAATGGTAGTCACAATATGAATATATAATGTCATTAAATTAACTAGCAGTTTTTTTTTTTTTTAATAAAAGACCAACTTTACTTGGCCTGTAATATGGAACACAGCTTCCCATGCATAGTTTCTTCATTCTATTATTCAAACTAGACAAACATGTATTTAGTGATAATTTCATAGATTTCAATAAATTTCTGGGGGTGTCCGTGGCCGAGTGGTTAAGGTCGTTGACTTCAAACCACTTGCCCCTCACCGCTGTGGGTTCGAATCCCGACAGGGACTTTGGATTCTTTCATGTGAGGAAGCTATCCAGCTAGCTTACGGAACGTCGGTGGCTTACTCAGGTGCCGGTTCGTACCTGAAATAATTGCACGGAAGGGCACCTGAGGTCTTCCCCCACCAGTAAAAAGCTGGAACATCGCGATATGACCTGTACTATGTCGATGTGATATAAAACCCAAAAACAAATAAACAATAAATTTCTGAGATAAAAATATTTTATTCAAGGGTGGGCATAGTATATCTTTAAAGGTTTATTTGGCTTATGTGAAAAAAAAAAGAATTTTTAAATTATATTTCTTTCTTTCCATGTTGAATCTATGAAACTAATTGTATTAAAGTGTTAAAGTACTTAATACAACCTGGTACTTTATTGCTTTATTTCAATTTATTAGATAGATTCAATATGAAGAGACGCTCATTTAAGAATCTCTCTATATATCTTATTGCAATATTTTGTAGGTGGGGAGTATATGATCTTGATGACTCCTGTACTGGTGCCCAGCATCTAGCAGATACTGGAAAAGTGGATGGGAAACAGTTGTGTATAGATGGAGGGTCAGCCGGTGGATATACAACCCTCGCTGCTATCACCTTCAGAAATACCTTCAAAGCAGGTAAACTATATATGAGCCGTGTCACAACTAAACCAACGTAATGCGTTTGCGACCAGCGTGGATCCAGACCAGCCTGCACATCTGCGCAGTCTGATCAGGATCCATGCTGTTTGCTATCAGTTTCTCTACTTGTTATAGGGTTGGTAAGCGAACAGCATGGATCCTGATCAGACTGCACGGATGCACAGGCTGGTCTGGATCCATGCTGGTCGCAAACGCATTATGTTGGTTTTGTCATGACGCGGCTTATATATGTCTGGTATGGAGTCACTACGGTTTATTAAGTTTTATGTCACATGGACACTGGTAAAGCTAAGCTTAAAGCTGCATGCCTCCAGATGAGCCAAAATAATTCAAGACTAAAATGTACTGAAATTTTAAGAAAAGTAAAATGATTCAAGATGAAAGTAATAATTTGGTAATGCTGTATTTTTCACCATATTTCTACTGCGTTGCTAACACAGTAAGGGCTATTTTTACATATTTTGACCTTGTTTTGGTAATTTCATGAGTTGTAATTGCTGTTTGCAATGTGAAAATTATTTTCTTTGTTCACTTCACAATATTTTACTTTTTCATTCTTTTTCGAAAACATGAAAATTAGCATGAATCTGGAGGTGTGCTTCTTAAAAAGAAAGTTGCTAAATATCTTTTATGTAATTTAGAAAAATAAAAAAGACATAACATGTATAAATATATGTATATTTTAACTACAGGTGCTAGTCATTATGGAATAGGAGATTTGGGTGCACTTGCATCAGATACCCACAAATTTGAGAGTCGTTACCTTGACAACATGATAGGACCATATGTGACAGATGAAGATAAAGCTGTGTACAAAGAGAGGTCACCTATAAACTATATAGATAAGTTAGACTGTGCTCTTGCCTTGTTCCAGGGAGATGAAGACAAGGTAAAAAAATACAGCAATAATAGGTTTACAATGTCAGACTTCTACATTCTCACTTTCAAATCAAGTCATAAGGTTTCAAGGTTACTGTGTGTTTTTGGATTTTCTACACTAAAGAAATATTCATAGTGTTAGAAAATTTTGTTGAGTGCAATGTGAACATGTATTTAAAGAATAAAAGCTTGACTGTACTGAGAAGGGTTCCTTATACAGACTGTCCTTACTTGTGTACAAAAGAAAGTGGGAATATATAATTAAGAAAACAAGGAAGTAGTTCATTAAATGGTTTTTTACCCATTTGTACAAGTTTAGATAATAGCCTGTTATTAGGTAATCACATGAAATATTGGAACAGATTTACAATCAATGGTTGACTGAAGCAACATAAATGTGCAGATCTAATTAATGTGTCTTGTATAAAAGATGGAAAAATGTCATTAATTTTATTTTTAAAGAAAAAAAAATACATCAAATTAATAGTTTTGTGTAAATTGAATGAATGTCACAAATTACTTGTTACATGATATGGTAGATTTAGATTTCTGACAAATCTCTCCCTCTAATGTTTACCAGATTGTGCCACCAAATCAGGCTGAGATGATGTATAATGCTGTGAAGGCAAAAGGTTTACCCACTATGTTTGTATTGTTTAAAGGTAGGTCAAATTCATCTTATTATTTACAACCTTACTTGAATGTTAAGTGTGTTTAGGTTAGTTTACCCTCGCCAAAGGAAAAAAATAGAATATGTGTTAGCATACACTTCTTTGATCACATTAAATGTTTTCTGATTTTATTAACCATATAGTAATATTTGTGTTTATGTATCATATATTCCATACCAAGGTCAGCTCTTATATGATTGCTCCCATGTTAAAAATTATTTACTGAAATTTTATGTCAATTCTTCTACATGTATTTAAAATGGCCAAGATGTTTATATGTGTACACTTTTGTTTATAACAGGTCTGTTTAGAATAATTATAGATGTGCTTACTTTAAAATTAGGGTTTACTGTAAACTTGTGAAAAAGCATGTCAGGGAAGTGTTTCAGATTTTTAGCTCACCTGAGCTTGCTCAGGTTGAGCTTTTAGGATCGGTTAATGTCCGTCGTCCGTCCACAATTGCTTGTGAACACACTAGTGGTCACACTTATGACTCAATCATCATCAAACTTTGTCAGGATGCTTGTCTAGTCAGTTGCTTGGATGAGTTCGAAACTGGGTCATTTCGAATGGAAAACTAGGTCACAAGAGCTAAAAATAGAACCTTGTGAACACTCTAGAGGTCACATTTTTGATCCAATCATCATCAAACTTGGTCAGAATGTTTATCTAGGTGATAGCTCGGATGAGTTCGAACATGGGTCATCTCAGATGAAAAACTAGGTCACAGGAGCTAAAAATAGAAAAACCTTGTTAACACTCCAGTGGTCACAATTTTGACTCAATTGTCATCAAATATTGGTCAGGAATATTGTCTAGGTCATTGCTGGGAATAAATCGAACATGGGACATCTTGGATGAAAAACTAGGTCACAGGAGCTAAAAATAGAAAAATCTTGTTAACACTCTAGTGGCTACTGTTGTGATCCAAATATTCTGTTAATTGGTTTGAAAGTTTGTTATGATGATTTCTAAGTCAAGATCGAACATGGGTCATCTTGGATGAAAAACTAGGTCACACCGCCCAAATATGGAAAAACCTTGTTAACATTCTAGTGGTCACATTTTCGACTCAATTATCATCAAACTTGGTCAGGATGCTTGTCTAGGTAATTGCTTGGATGAGTTCGAAATCGCATGTGAAACTAGGTCACCGGAGCTAAAAATAGAAAAATCTTGTTAACACTCTAGTTGCTACTGTTTTGATCCAAGTATCCTGGAAATTGGTCTGAAAGTTTGTTTTGATGATTTCTAGGTCAAGTTTGAATATGTGTCACATGGGTAAAAAACTAGGTCGCACTGCTCAAATATGGATAATCCTTGTTAACACTGTAGTGGTCACATTTTTGACTCACCTGTCATGAGACTTGGTCAGAATGCTTGTCTAGGTAATTGTTTGGATGAGTTTGATAAGTCAGGTGAGCGATCTAGGGCCCTCTTGTTAATGTAGAATTTACTTAATTTATTGTACTATACATGTATCTAATTTGAAGTGTTACCTGCATACATTGTAGTGCAAATAATGAATAACAAGTTTAAAATTAAAAAAGGAAAAAAAATTAACTTATCAGAGAAAATTCATTATATAAACTGAGTAGCAATGATTTCACAGACTGTTCTTTTATTTGATATGTAATCTTTTCAAAAATTCTTATCTACTGCAAGCAGTGAGTCTAATACGGTAAGGTTATTGCAAAATAGTGAAACATATATTAAAGCATCTTAAGTAACCTCTTTAAAGCTGGTCAGTATATGTTTGATCAGAACTTATGAGCTTGTTAAATTTCAAATCTTCAAAAATCTCACAGAAAAAAAGAAATGCTAAATTGCTAATTTGTAATTTGATTGTTGCTATTAAATTTATGTTTCTTTGGGAATAATTGATATTGTTGTTGTAAAGAGGTAATTGCTCTTCAAAGGGTCACATTACAGAAGTTTGTTAATTGTAAAATATGTAACAACTTATATATAAGAGTCCTGCTTTACAGGAACGTTGTTATCAACTATTGAGACAAGACTTGACTGTTTAAATGTGTATTATTGTTTTCAGGAGAGCAGCACGGGTTTAGAAAAGCAGAGAACATTCAGACAGCTCTAGATGGAGAGTTCTATTTCTTCTCTAAGGTGTTTGGTTATGAACCGGCTGATAAACACATAAATGTAAGCTGAAACATATTTTCTACGGTTGATTTTTGTAAATATTAAAAAATTTCATTATGCTTACTTTTTGGCTGTCATGTTGAGTTGAATTAGTAATATTTCTAAAGATTGACTTTTATAATGGTGATTGAATTGTACAACATAATGATTGAAATTTAACATAATTGAAAATGAAAAATGATTATGATACAATATAAAAACTATCTATATTATAAAAAGACTTCTCCACTATTTTTAGGTATTGAACTGAAATATATTAAGATTTTTCCATTGGTCATGTGGATTGTTGATTATTTTTTCATTGCAAAATATAAAATTGAACACAATTATGGCAAAATGTCAAGTTAATTTGATTTTACCTGTTCACTGACCATTTACACTTGAATGGGCATAATGTCACTTTAAGGTGAATGAATTACTTTGCAGAGGGGCAACTTTTATTATGGATGTTTAAATCATGCTGAATTTCTTAAATGGACTTTCAATCACCTTCAATCACCTTCCAATTTAGACACTGTTTATTACATTTGTCTATTGTAAGTTTTTGGAATATCAAGATGAAACTTAAAAGTTGCCAAAAGTATAGAGCCTAGTGAGACAGCATGGATGTACAGTCAAGGCTGGCTCTATACTGTTGGTAAAGACTAATCACGTTTGGGTCCAGCAGGGTTAGTGTTAACATGAACAGTTTAAATGAGGTACAGACCTTGAACTGTTCCCAGCATGTTTCTCTTTGACAGTTTTGTGGAAGACCATAAATATTGAAGGTCATTTGTCCATTATTATTGGATCAAATGAGTTTTAATAGTTTCCTATTACATGTACATGTATTTGAAAAAGTAAATTAGTATTTACACAGAACTGGGGCAGACCAATTAAGCTTTTGTTTGCTATGGTGTCATTGAAATTCTGCTAATTCCTACACAAGTACATGTTATCTTTAGTTTTTAACTTTGTCATAAAGAATAAAGAAGTTATCTTTAAATATTTCAGCTTCCGATTGACAACTTGAAGTGAACAGTGAAACGTATACAGACCTGTGACTAAAATATGTTCAATAAAAACTTTAAAAGTATTGTGCTGAAAGGGCTTGAACATTCAGATTGTGCCATTAGTGAAAACAATTATTCCAAATGAGATTCGCTGTAATTTTTATACTTGTTAATTTGTACTTTTGTCCATCATACAGGATTGAAAGATGATATAAAATATATAATGATGATTCTTTGTTAGACTGAACTATTTGTGTGAAATATAAATGTATTCACATATACTGTTTTGTATAATCAGAAATGATTTTTGCTCTGATTTTTTATGCTGAAAAGTTTAACATGTCATTAATGACTTATGTAAATGGTTGTATTGTTAAAGATTACATTTTTTAATATCTTGTGTATTGTGCAATTAGATTTATCGGATATATAAATATTATTAACATTTATATTGTGTTGTTTTACTGTATTATCTGCTCTGACAGCTGAAAACATGTGCTTGAAATTTATTCTCAAGCTTCATTTAAAATTATTTTTTAACTAAACGTATGATCATCCTTGATATCTTAGGCTGACATGGTGTAAAGTCTTATTTGGCTATTTAAACAAACTGTGGTTTATCCGTCGGACTAGTTATCAAAGGATCTCTGGACCCAGTCACAGTCAAGCATTTGTTTCAAGAAACTACACTCATTGCTTGACACAGGTTGGTTCAAGAGTTTGTCTATAAGGTTATATAGCTTGTCTTGCTTCATACCCAGCTGAACTAACATACATTCCGTATGAACTAACTAGCTTTATGTTTATTATCCCCCGCCGATGGAATCTCGGGAGGGGGATATAGTTTTGGCGTTGTCCGTCCGTCTGTCCGTCCTTCCTTCCGCCCGTCCGTCCGTCCGAATTTCGTTTCCGGAGTAGTTCTCTGCAACTACTGGCTGGAATTCAACGAAACTTTATGGGAATCATCAATATCAAGAGGAGATGCGCATCTGACCGTCCATCCGTCCGTCTGTCTGTACGAATTTAGTTTCCGGAGTAGTTCTCTGCAACTACTGGCTGGAATTCAACGAAACTTTATGGGAATCATCAATATCAAGAGGAGATGCGCATATCGTCGGCTTGTTCCGGTCAGACACTTTAACTCAGAGTTATTGCCCTTGATTAGTTATGTAGTATGCATATAGAGTAAAAATCGTTTCCGCGCTACTTCTCTGCAACTACTGGCTGGAATTCAACAAAACTATGGGAATCATCAATACCAAGAGGAGATGCGCATATCATCGGCTTGTTCCGGTCAGACACTTTAACTCGGAGTTATGGCCCTTGATTAGTTATGCAGTATGCATATGGAGTAAAAATCGTTTCCGCGCTACTTCTCTGCAACTACTGGCTGGAATTCAACGAACTTTATGGGAAACCTTCAATACCAAGAGGAGATGCGCATGTCGTCGGCTTGTTTGGGTCAGACACTTTTACTCAAAGTTATGGCCCTTGATTAGTTATGCAATATGCATATGGAGTAAAAATCAATTCCAGAGTAGTTCTCTGCAACTACTGGCTGGAATTCAACGAAACTTTATGGGAATCATCAATATCAAGAGGAGATGCACATATCGTCGACTTGTTCCGGTCAGACCCTTTAACTCAGAGTTATGGCCCTTGATTAGTTATGTAGTATGCATATAGAGTAAAAATCGTTTCCGCACTACTTCTCTGCAACTACTGGCTGGAATTCAACAAAACTTTATGGGAACCTCCAATACCAAGAGGAGATGCGCATATCAACGGCTTGTTCCGGTCAGACACTTTAACTCAGAGTTATGGCCCTTGATTAGTTATGCAGTATCCATATAGAAAAATATGTTCCTCACTACTTCTCTGCTACCACCGGCTGGAATTCAATGAAACTTTATGGGATACTAAGAGGAGATGTGCATATAGTCGCCTTGTTCCAGTCAGATACTTATAACTCAGATTTATGGCCCTTGATTAGTTATGTAGTATGCATATATATCATTGGCATTTCCAGATTTTACTATTTAACACAAAGTTATGGCTCTGTTATTTCCCTGAATATTTATCAAGTTCAAAGAATATTACTGTTTATGCCATGATTAATATATAAATAAAGCCTTATGTCTTCAGTTGTTGTGTTAATAATAACCAGTACTCGGCGGGGGATTTAATTCAACGAATTTGCTTGTTTGCATATCTATGTGTTAAACAATGAGAACTTGTATCACTTGACCATGGTCTTAAATAGAGAAAGATTGTACATGTATTGACTTCTTGTTTTAATTTCTGTTTGGGCGAGGTCAAACATTAAAGGGAGTATAATACGAATTATACTCTAGCCCATCCTCTCAATAAATGAAAATGTCAATCTACACACGTTCGTTTACTCTACTCTTAAAAAGAAATTGTTTGTATAGTCACAATATTGGTCATTACCGGTGTCATATCTGTCCAGACAATAGATACTAATAACTGTTTGTGATATATTAGTCAATTTGGACAGTCTATTAAATCAATATAAGGTATTCCTGTTAAAATGTTCTTCTATACGCTTGTACTACTGATATTTCACTAGTATATAAAATAATAATGTGATAATCGGCCCGCAAAATGAATAATGGCCCCCGAGGGCTTCAGCCCGAGGGCATTATTCATTTCAGGGCCGATTATCACCTTCCGGCCCTACTCTGACGTGTATTAATGTCTTTAATACACTTGATCTAATAGTAGCATTAAAAAAAAACAACAACAACAAATACTTTGAAGTTCTTTCGTTGAAATTCTTGTCTACACTTCTGAAATTCTTGTCTACACTTCTAGAGTCACCGTACCAGTGCTCAACCAGTTTTTCACAAAATCACATAAAAACTCTTTCAGAACAAAAGGTTTGCTGGGAAACTTATTTTTGTTACAAAGTTGGACCTTTCAAACTCACAATAAGCTAAAGCGTTTTAATAAAACAGATTAGGATACAATTTACCACGGAGTTGTATATAGGGTATAAAACCACTATATTTTTCAGACAACCAAACCAGTGCTCGACCAGGTGGTTTTATCTTTATCAGAACTTTTATTTCTTAAAAACAGATATGACTTTTTAAGTTCAACAATTCTATTTCAAAAATAGTTTGAAACATTTATGTTTTAGTGTCTATAGATGAAAATATGAGAGCAAATATGATACAAAGGAAATGCTATACATTGACAAATAAAATGTTTATAACAGTGTATAAGAGTTTTGGAATTTGCATATACTGGGGTGTTTGAGATTACTTATTCTCATATTTTTTTTTACTAAATCATTCTGCAAACATAGTTAAGTGTGATAATTGGTGTAATATACAAATTGTCTACGCTTTAAGTGGTGTGTTCCCGATTTTTTTCCGTACAGCTGCCATATTTGTTTACATGTTCATAGCCCCTGCCTTTTATGGAAAGCAGGGTTTTGATAATTTTTGAACACCTTTCCTATGGAAATCAATTGGAGTCATAAAAGTAAAGGCAATTTAACAAAGTATTGTCCACATTTGCCCTAAATTATCATTATTTCAGTGTTTTAAATAGTTTTTACTACTACTTGTATTATAGAATTGTATTTTTGTACTGTTTAATATTGTCTGAAAAATGGTCAATCTTCTACCAAACTTGGAGTACTTGTACATGGTGTAGAGGTTACAGGTCAGGTACAAATAGCACACACAAACTCCCAGGGTTTTTTCACTTTAATGCATAAATCATACACAAATAGAAGTATTGGTCGAGCACTGGGCTGGTCGAGCACAGGTACTGTGACTCTACTGTTCTGTACAGAGATGTTTACTGTTTGTATGTTCAAAGCAGTAGAATCTAGAAGCAAGTTTTATTTTCATTTTTTCGGAATGAATTTGTCGTATTATTTCTTCAAATTTCAATAGTAACAAAAATGTGTTTGTACTAAATACGCTTAAGCTCTCATAATAAAAATAAAGCGATTCGTGCTGACAACCTACTTTCACTTTTACAGTTAACTGTTTGATGACGTAAAATATGACGTCATTGTTTCAGTGTGTGCACGTGCACATGTTCTGCGGGCTGATAACTAGTTCTCGGCCCCGGGCCGCAAACACATAATAGGTCACGTGACACTCATAATCAGTTGAAATCATGGGCAATTTTGTTACTATATATAGTAACAAGTGTAATAATTATCTTTTCTACCACTATCTGGCATACTAAATATCGTTATGTTCGAACATCATAATTAATTGATTACGGTGTAACATAATTTCATAAAATCTTTATTAAATGAGCTGGAACACTTTGTGTCAAGTTAATAACTAGTTTTCAACACACGGAAATGAAATATTTCAGTCAGCCAACTAACTCCAACTGTGCACCACACACAGTCCCCCTACAAAAGAAAACAGTGCAACCGGTTAATGTGAGGAATCTTTTTTAATTCGTGTACACTATATACATATACTGTAAAAACATTATTACATATTCAAATAATAAATATGATTTACAACATATACAGAATATTTAATTACAGTTTATCATCTTATATTTATATTCCGTGCCATGACTAAATTCTGCTTCCTGCTTCACAAGTATTAATTCTTCTGTGTGTGGAATATCAAATAAGACTGGTGTCCGCCCTTTAAGCTCAATAGGGAGAGCATCGAATTTGTAATCTAGAGGTCGTTGGTCTGATCCTCTGTCTAGTCGAAACTTTTCCGTGATAATTGATCTCGGACATTGTTTCTAATGGCCATTTGTCTATTGAGAAATCATGTGGAATTTGGAGTTGCTGACTAGCGTAGAAATTGGTAATTAGTTATTAATTATTATTGGTTAGTTATTCAGTCTTAAATGGACCGACCGGCGTTTTATGACAATAAATGATAAAACCAATATAATGCGTTTGCGATCAGCATGGATCCAGACCAGCCTGCGCATCCGCGCAGTCTTATCCGTGCTGTTCGCTTACAAATGCTATAACAAGTAGAGAAGCTAATAGCGAACAGCATGGATCCTGATCAGACTGCGCGAATGCGCAGGCTGGTCTGGATCCCTGCTGGTCGCAAACGCATTATGTTGGTTTTGTCATGGCGCGGCTCAAATGTGTTAAAATCGGCGTAAAACCAAAGCAAAAGATAGGACAAAAAGGCGTAATGATACTTTGATGAGAGAAATATTCTTACCGTCTCTCGCAAATTGGATAGAAGTTACCTAAACAACTATAGTCTGCCCATTTAAATGCTAGTGGTAGCCAGAAAATAGCACAGTCTTCAGTTGTCGTTTGGTCTTGTCCTGGGTACCAGTCTGTACAAAATTTTATATGAAATCTTTCTCAGATAATTCAAATTTGTTTCTCTATACATATTTCAATAAATTCTTGTGAACTATTCTGCCAACTCTGAGATGGCAATATTTCTTCAGTAGTGTTTTTGTCACATTCTTAATTCATAAGCAGCGTATAGGAATTATAAGAAATGATTACATCATATTTCTTTGCTCTTAATGATTAAGTTCATGCGATTCTTTCTATATATGTTTTAGATTTACAAACCCGAGAAATGAACATATTCTTTCGTATCGAACCATATCCATGTTCCTTCTATTAGCTCATCAGACATACCAATCCACCAGTTTCTTACTGCAAGTAGTGCAACAAATATTTACTAATAGAAGGTAGACAGTCCTTCAGTTTTCTTTAATATATGTATATATATTGTTTGATGCATTTGTTTATTTGGTCCCCTATATAGCTCTTACATATACGTCCGGTGGTATACACACATACATTCATTTATACATTTAAAGTGGATTGGCCAATAATGGAGGTCTGTCATAAATAATTATGTTGATAGTATTTATAATAACTGATATTATTTTAAATTGTCTTAGAACTAAATACTATTATTACTCATATAAATCTTCATTTTAAATCACATAAACTTATCGCCATTTTTTTCAAGACGCATAAGAATATCCAAAATTTAATGATACATTTCTATTATTTTTCGCAATATTGATAATGTGCGCACTGCATCTAGACTAATCCACTTTAAAATCTTTTCCTATCTTTCAAATCCCCCCTTAAAGTAATTAAATGTTTCAAATAATCATTGATAAACATGTATAACTTACGTTGTAGTTGTTTAAGATGATCTTTTATGAACTCATTTTCTCCTGAAGATTCTACATGTATCAAGTGACTGTTGTTTTGACGACAAAAGTTCTGTTAACATTGATAAAATAAGTCAAATACTCAATACTGAATTTAAATAACATGCTGAAAGGGCTTAATTACACCAATAAGTCCACCTGTAGTTACCTGAGATAAATAATGCCTCAGTCAATTGTAAACTACGGCCCCAGTCCTCGGAGATTTAGCGGGATATTTGAATTTTGGATTTTAAAGCCTCTAGTAAAAGCCCCGTCCTGCGCGGGCATTGTATGGAAAAATCCCGACAAAAAGCACGCGGACTGTGACTTAGCCATATCTGCGGCCATGTAAGTGTCAAAATAGTCCCTTCATCCCTCCCTGCTTCCTCACTGACTGGGGATACAATTGCTAAGCGTGTTACCCCCCTCCCCCACCCGGTGATTTAGTGTGTTGAACTTTAATCATCGTCCCCTCATATCTGTTGAAATGAAGAACGCCTGATGACTTCCTCCGCCTATAAAACTGTAACATCGCCATGTATCATTTCCTACTTTGCATTGTGTTACTTAGTTACTTAAAAACAGGGAGTGTAATATGTTAATTTCCGTTATGATAAAGGATTGCATCCAAATGTGTTTTCAATTAATGATTAATTTACTTAATGAAATGAAAATAGGATGTAAACCTCGGCTTCTGTGAAATCAAAGGCGGTCTGTCCAAACATGTAGCAGGATCCTTCAAACGGTAACCAACCATCTGTACAAGTGGTTGTACCTTAAACAGAGAAATGTCTGTCTTGTTTCGTGCTTACCTTGCTGTTTTTGTTTCTACTGTAATAAAAATTCCCGTTGAAAAACAAATTCATACTCATTTTTATAAACTTCCGAACAATAATAGCCCTGATTATTAGAATAGATATATAGATTACAATATCAGGTTTTAACTTCTAAATACATTTTTGTATAATTTTGTCTCCTAGACAAATAAAATGCAAATTTTAAACTTTTAAATATACATTAAATATTCACTATGCACAAAAATAGGCCAATATAACTTTTACGACACTGTGTTTTATAAAGCCATTTGTTTTATTCTTATATATCAGACTGGAATTCTTGACCCCGCGTGTAAGATGGCTTGCGTGCACCGACGGGAATATCTGATTTAACATTTTCCTACCCGTGGGCCTATTCCAACAAAGATACTTATATGAACCGTTGAGTCGTTATTTTATCAGTCATGTTTTTTTCTGATATATTGTATAGTCGTGAAAATTAGAAATAATCTTACCAGGTATTTTCTCAGGTGGTTCTTGTGTAAAATATCTTCTTTCCAAACATTCTTTAATTAAAAAAATAATATTCTCCATCAGAACAACAACAACAAAAGCAAGTGGTTATATTATGAGTAAGAACTTTTATGGCAAGTTTTCCGAATAGGTGGAAATCATATAAACATTCTTTTTATCTGTATTTATTTGTAGTTAATCATCTCTAGATTTTAAAATGTGATCTGAAGATTTATAGTGAAATGAAATAAAAAGAAATCAAATGTGTCCTACCTTTGCCGATGAAAAGTAAGAGGAACAGTAAAGCTTTCAATATTAAAGTCATTGTTAATTCAACAAAATTTTAATCTATTTATTGTGCTCCATTCAAACAGGTCAGTTTGATAAGCAATATAATACCGAATTATCTACGAACATATATATGTTCATTTATGACCTGCCGTATGCATGGAATCTCTTACATTATACCAGGACAAATACGACCCTCACTACATCAAAACAATATCTAACACTGGCTCGACTCTCACTACATCAGGACAATATCTAACACTGGCTCGACTCTCACTACACCAAGACAATATCTAACACTGGCTCGACTCTCACTACATCAAGACAATATCTAACACTGGCTCGACTCTCACTACACCAAGAAAATATCTAACACTGGCTCGACTCTTACTTCACCAAGACAATATCCAAAACTGGCGCGACTCTCACTACATGAGGACAATATCTAACACTGGCTCGACTCTCACTACACCAGGACAATATCTAACACTGGCTCGACTCCCACTACAACAAGACAATATCTAACACTGACTCGACTCTCACACTACACCAAGAAAAATATCCAATACTGGCTCGACTCTCACTACATGAGGACAATATCTAACACTGGCTCCACTCTCACTACACCAAGACAATATCTAACACTGGCTCGACTCCCACTACAACAAGACAATATCTAACACTGGCTCGACTTTCACTACATCAAGACAATATCTAATACTGGTTCGACTCTCACTACATCAAGATAATCTCTAACACTGGCTCGACTTTCAGTACAACAAGACAATATTTAACACTGGCTCGACTCTCACTACACCAAGACAATATCCAATACTGGCTCGACTTTCACTACATCAAGACAATATCCAACACTGGATCGACTTTCACTACACCAAGACAATATCAAACACTGGGCTCGACTCTCACTACACCAAGACAATATCTAACACTGGCTCGACTCTCACTACACCAAGAAAATATCCAACACTGGCTCGACTCTCACTACATCAAGACAATATCTAACACTGGCTCGACTGTCACTACACCATGACAATATCTAAACTGGCTCGACTTTCACTACATCAAGACAATATCTAACACTGGCCTCGACTCTCACTACATCAAGACAATATCTTACACTGGCTCGACTCTCACTACATCAAGACAATATCTAACACTGGCTCGACTCTCACTACACCAAGACAATATCCAACACTGGCTCGACTTTCACTACATCAAGACAATATCTAACACTGGCTCGACTCTCACTACACCAAGACAATATCCAAAACTGGCTCGACTTCCACTACATCAAGACAATATCTAACACTGGCTCGACTCTCACTACACCAAGACAATATCCAGCACTGGCTCGACTTTCACTACATCAAGACAATATCTAACACTGGCTCGATTCTCACCACACCAAGACAATATCTAACACTGGCTCGACTCTCACTACACCAAGACAATATCTAACACTGGCTCGACTCTCACTACATCAAGACAATATCTAACACTGGCTCGACTCTCACTACACCAAAACAATATCTAACACTGGCTCGACTCTCACTACACCAAGACAATATCTAAACACTGGCTCGACTTTCACTACATCAAGAAAATATCCACCACTGGCTCGACTCTCACTACATCAAGACAATATCTAAAACTGGCTCCACTCTCACTACACCAGGACAATATCTAACACTGGATCGACATTCACTACGCAAAGACAATATCTAAAACTGGATCGACTCTCACTACACCAGGACAATATCTAACACTGGCTCGACTCTCACTACATCAAGACAATATCCAACACTGGCTCGACTCTCAGTACACCAATACAATATCTAACACTGGCTCGACTCTCACTACATAAAGACAATATCTAACACTGGCTCGACTCTCACTACACCAAGAAAATATCCAACACTGGCTCGACTCTCACTACATCAAGACAATATCTAACACTGGCTCGACTGTCACTACACCATGACAATATCTAAACTGGCTCGACTTTCACTACATCAAGACAATATCTAACACTGGCTCGACTCTCACTACATCAAGACAATATCTTACACTGGCTCGACTCTCACTACATCAAGACAATATCTAACACTGGCTCGACTCTCACTACACCAAGACAATATCCAACACTGGCTCGACTTTCACTACATCAAGACAATATCTTAACACTGGCTCGACTCTCACTACACCAAGACAATATCCAAAACTGGCTCGACTTCCACTACATCAAGACAATATCTAAACACTGGCTCGACTCTCACTACACCAAGACAATATCCAGCACTGGCTCGACTTTCACTACATCAAGACAATATCTAACACTGGCTCGACTCTCACTACACCAAGACAATATCTAACACTGGCTCGACTCTCACTACATCAAGACAATATCTAACACTGGCTCGACTCTCACTACATCAAGACAATATCTAACACTGGCTCGACTCTCACTACACCAAGACAATATCTAACACTGGCTCGACTCTCACTACACCAAGACAATATCTAACACTGGCTCGACTTTCACTACATCAAGAAAATATCCACCACTGGCTCCACTCTCACTACATCAAGACAATATCTAAAACTGGCTCCACTCTCACTACATAAAGACAATATCTAACACTGGATCGACATTCACTACGCAAAGACAATATCTAAAACTGGATCGACTCTCACTACACCAGGACAATATCTAACACTGGCTCTGACTCTCACTACATCAAGACAATATCCAACACTGGCTCGACTCTCAGTTCACCAATACAATATCTAACACTGGCTCGACTGTCACTACATAAAGACAATAATCTAACACTGGCTCGACATTCGATACACCAGGACAATATCTAACACAGGCTCGACTCTCACTACATCAAGACAATATCTAACACTGACTCGACTCTTAGTACACCAAGACAATATCTAACACTGGCTCGACATTCGATACACCAGGACCATATCTAACACTGGCTCGACTCTCACTACATCAAGACAATATCTAACACTGACTCGGCTCTCAATACATCAAGACAATATCTAACACTGGCTCGACTTTCACTACATCAAGACAATATCCAACACTGGATCGGCTTTCAGTACACCAGGACAATCTCTAACACTGGCTCGACTCACACGATATCTGGCAAATATCTAACATTGACTCGACTCTCAGTATATCAAGACAATCTCTAACACTGGCTCGAATCTAAGTACATCAAGAGAATCCCTACCACTGGCTCGACTCTCAGTACACCAGGACAATATCTAACACTGGCTCGACTCTCACTACATCAAGACAATATCTAACACTGGCTCGACTCTCACTACATCAATACAATATCTAACACTGTCTCGACATTCACTACACCAGGACAATATCTAACACTGACTCGACTTTCACTACACCAGGACAATATCCAACACTGGCTCGACTCTCTACACCAGGACAATATCTAACACTGGATCGACTGTCAGTACACCAGGACATTATCTTACACAGGCTCGACTGTCAGTACACCAGGACAATATCTTACACTGGCTCGACTTTCACTACACCAGAACAACTAACACTGGATCGACTCTCTGTACACCAGGACAATATCTAACACAGGCTCTACTCTCAGCACACCAGGACAATATCTAACACTGGCTCGGCTCTTAGTACACCAGGACAATATCTAACACTGGCTCGACTCTCAGTACACCAGGACAATATCTAACACAGGATCGACTCTTAGTACACCAGGACAATATCTAACACAGGCTCGACTGTCAGTACACCAGGACAATATCTTACACAGGCTCGACTCTCAGTACACCAGGACAATATCTAACACAGGCTCGACGGTCAGTACACCAGGACAATATCTAACACTGGCTCGACTCTCAGTACACCAGGACAATATCTAACAACACAGGCTCGACTCTCAGTACACCAGGACAATATCTAACACAGGCTTGACTCTCAGTACACCAGGACAATATCTAACACAGGCTCGACTCTCAGTTCACCAGGGCAATATCTGACACAGGCTCGACTCTTAGTACACCAGGACAATATCTATCACTGGCTCGACTCTCACTACACCAGGACAATATATAACACTGGCTCGACTCTCAGTACAACAGGACAATATCTAACACAGGCTCGACTCTCACTACATCAAGACAATATCTGACACTGGCTCGACTTTCACTACATCAAGACAATATCCAACACTGGCTCGACTCTCACTAAATAAAGACAATATCTAACACTGGCTCGACTCTCACTACATCAATATAATATCTAATACTTGCTCGACATTCACTACACAAGGACAATATCTAACATTGGGTCGACTCTCAGTTCACAAGGACAATATCTAACACTGGCTCGACTCTCACTACATCAAGACAATATCTAACACTGGCTCGACTCTCACTACATCAAGATAATATCTAACACTGGCTCGACATTTTCCTTTCACCCCGGAAAAATATTAAAAACTTTGGGTTGAAATTTTTGAAAAAAGGAAAAATCTCTTAACATGGCTTTGCTACAGAAAATCAAGGGGCCAAAATATAACATTGGCTCGACTCTTAGTACACCAGGACACTATCTAACACTGGCTCGACTCTCAGTACACCAGACAAATATCTAACACAAGCTCGACTCTTAGTACACCAGGACAATATCTCACACTGGCTCGACTCTCAGTACACCAGGACAATATCTATCACTGGCTCGACTCTCAGTACACCAGGACAATATCTAACACTGGCTTGACTCTCAATACACCAGGACAATATCTAACACTGGCTCGACTCTCAGTACACCAGGACAATATCTAACACTACCTCGACTTTCAGTACACCAGACAAATATCTAACACTGGCTCGACTCTCAGTACACCAGGACAATATCTAACACTGACTCGACTCTTAGTACACCAGGACAATATATAACACTGGCTCGACTCTCAGTACACCAGGACAATATCTAACACAGGCTCGACTCTTAGTACACCAGGACAATATCTAACACTGGCTCGACTCTCACTACAACAAGACAATAACACTGGCTCGACATTCACTACACCAGGACAATATCTAACACTGACTTGACTTTCACTACACCAGGACAATATCTAACACTGGCTCGAATCTCAGTACACCAGGACAATATCTAACACTGGCTCGACTCTCACTACATCAAGACAATAACACTGACTTGACTTTCACTACACCAGGACAATATCTAACACTGACTTGACTTTCACTACACCAGGCCAATATCTAACACTGGCTCTACTCTCTGTACACCAGGACAATATCCAACACTGGCTCGACCTACAGTACACCAGGACAATATCTTACACTGGCTCGACTGTCAGTACACCAGGACAATATCTTACACTGGCTCGAATGTATGTCAGTACACCTGGACAATATCTATCACTGGCTCCACTTTCACTACACCAGGACAATATCTAACACTGGCTCGACTCTCACTACACCAAGACAATATCTAACACTGGCTCGACTCTCACTACACCAAGACAATATCTAACACTGGCTCGACTCTCACTACACCAGGACAATATCCAACACTGGCTCGACTCTCACTACACCAAGACAAATCTAACACTGGCTCGACTCTCACTACATCAAGACAATATCTAACACTGGCTCGACTCTCACTACACCAAGACAATATCTAACACTGGCTCGACTCTCACTACATCAAGACAATATGTAACACTGGCTCGACTCTCACTAAACCCAGATAAAATCTAACTCACTATACCAGGACAAAATCTAACATTGCCTAAACCGTCTATTTGCATTCCATCTTCAATATATACTTGTATTCTTATGCAAATTATAAATAACTCGATTGATATTTACAATTATGCACGGTCGAATGTTCCTGGAAAATTGCAGCTGTGCAGTGTTAATTATATAATGTGTGCCTTTTAAGTTATTAAGTATGTGTGCCTTTTAAGTCATTAAGTGATCCAAACTTAAATAACTGTTTTGAGTGGAGAGTGGGGTTAATTTAAGCAGTTCGAATCAGTTCGTATCGTAACAAATGCGTGATATTCATGCATATACATGATCAAAAACGGATAATCAATTCAACCAATTTTACGTTTCTTTATCATTATTTGGCAAAATCATTTTCCATTTGCCATTGAACACCTGGAATAACTTGTTTAAAAAGTATTACTAGATGTTACCTTGGCTTAGCCATTGATGTTATTTCGATCTTTTTATTTCATTATAGAATACAAACATGCTTACATAACCAAGGGCAAGAGCATAAATATCGCAACAGGCATAGTTACTCGAGATTATACATGTATATATGACTCATATACTTTGAAGTATCAATCAATCACCCAGGAAATAAATTTCCGCTCGTCAATGTACGAAAATAACAAAGAAATAAAACACAATGCTCATAACCATTTTTCTTAATATTTATGGAATATTTTTTATTTCACACGATGCAGAGTTAAAATGGTAGATGTTCAACATGCCACATCGGGCCCAGTGATTGTTTGTTTGTCTAGGAGTTGCACCAGCCCCACTTCCTGTACATGCACCAGACCTAATGTTGCCTTCCCACTGCCCGTTTACGACGGCTTTTATCTCGAACCAACCATTTTCTGTTTTACTACAGTCCATGTCTACATCCACCAACCAATAATGCTGTCCATATCTAAATATATGAGAAGTTATTGGTCATCACAATGTTTTGTAAGAGTACATAAAAAGTAGTATAACAAGAAGTGATTTAAAACAACAGTAATAATTGTGTTCGATAGCGACACAGTTATTTGAAATCTTAAGTGCAAGTAAGATTGCAATCTCATTAAAATATGACATAGTTATATGAGCCGCGTCATGACAAAACCAACATAGTGCGTTTGCGACCAGCATGGATCTAGACAAGCCTGCGCATCCGCGCAGTCTGATCAGGATCCATGCTGTTCGCTATTAGTTTCCTTACTTGTAATAGGGTTGTTAAGCGAACAACATGGATCCTGATTAGACTGCGCGGATGCGCAGGCTGGTCTGGATCCATGCTGGTCGCAAATGCACTATATTGGTTTTGTCATGGCGCGGCTCATATATATACGGTTAACGCACGTGTTAAGATCACTATGCCCTGCTTGTCCCGGTGCATTTGTTGTCCATACCGCTGGTGTTCCCTGTGCCATCGTGCCATGATACGTGCCTTGGTTAGCCTCACTACCATACCAGTCCAAGTGGTCATCATGAGCTGACCACGCGTTATATTTGGCATAATGTGCACTCGTACCAATATCCCGGGCTCGAATCGGTATCGCACAGGCGCTCGTCGAAGCGTCCGATGTGCAACCTATGGAGAATTAAACTTTTTGTATTTCCTTCTGAAGTAGTTTAATAATCGCCTTTTATCCATAAAAAGCGAATGGACAGCTCGCTGTTATATCAACAGTACACTTAATATATATAAGAACTTTTAGAAGTTTATTGTAATTACGAGTAAAATGAGAATAATGTCTTAGATCTGAAAATAAAGGTCGTGCAAAGAATTAATAAATACGCACAAGATATTATTCCAACAAAATGATGTTTCTTTATTTGTGTAACATTGTCTAACCTGTATGAGTGTCATGATCTAAACCACCGCGTACAAACAGATCCTGTCCTACTTGTGTTTGTTTTTCTATCATTATGACCGTCCTAGACCAGCCAGCTGGTGCGGTTGGAGGTGGGCCTTGACTGACCGTGGTTACAACGTTGTTGACCGGAACCTGAGCTGGACTTGATGACCCTAAGAGTATAAATATAGACTATAAGGATTTTACACCGGCTGCTAGTACAAATCGGAATATCTAGCTCGCAGAAACTCGACAGAGCCTCGTTACCGCTTAAACAGTTTCCCTAGAGCTAGAACTAGATATTCCTGTCTGTTACGACAGTCGATGTTTGATTTTTTTTTCTTGCATACCATATTCCGGAAAGAAAGGAGTGTAGGGCAGGTATTTTTCTAACATCGGTGTAAACAGAAGACAATCCTGTCTGATATGCAAGAATGACGTTGTGCAACATGCACATGACGTGATTCTAAAATAATCGCACCGATCCCTGGTAGCATATTAAGGTGTTGTTGTTTTGCGTTTTTAACACATAAGATAAATATAGAGATGATAATTCCAAAATATGATAAACAATTTGTGAGAGGATGTTTTTCATTTCTACTTTGTCTCCATCTTTATTATCTACCCATTCCAATTGGAGTCATTATATTTAAGGTATTAACACGAGGGGCTAAACAAGTGAGTTGTATGTTATATGTGCATCTTACCTACAATAAAAGCAAGGATTGGTTCATCTTGGTTATTTATGACAATATGAGCTCTACCACTGCTATCAACAGATATCTTTCTTGAACAATCAGTGATTAGATCACAATACTCCCCTGCAGGAAGACCTGTCTGTAACGTGACGTCCATATGACCATCCCGGGCCATAGCGAAAAATCCCTTGTTACCTCGAGAAAATGCTATCTGATTGTTCTGGTTGTAATAGTTGCCTTTTGTTGTTCCAGCTACGGCGTTTCTAAATGCTACCATGTTTGCAATAGGGCGCCATCTGTGTTCGCAAACCCAACCATTTCCGCATGACAGTCCATCAGCACTAATAGAAACATCTTTGATAGAATAGTCTCCGTTGTGTGGCGGTCCCTGGTCAGTGTTAGTACCAAAATAATAGCTGCTCATTATTCTAGCGAACCCATAGTCATTTGCTAACAAGAAAGATACAGCCATTTTATATTCTCTCGGCTTTTTATGTGTATTTAATGATCCACCTCCCCCGTGTCCTCTTTGATTATCATGGTTATCCACAAACACAAGCGCATGCGCAGAGTCTGTCATCCCCCATCCATAGTCCACAACCCCACTTAGTCGTCCAAAGTCTTGAATGCCGTCTTTAAGCTTTATACTATATCTGAACTCTGTGACGTAGCCAAGACTTGTGTATTCACTTGTTTTTATAGGTTCACCACCTTGATCAATTACCTCATGATAAAACATTGGCCTACCACCTTCCGGTAGATCTTTCAGTTTCTGCTGTATACCTTGAATATCTTTCGGCCACATATGTTTGGCTGCATCTACACGGAAGCCAGCTACTCCGATATCAATCATCTTGTTCAAGAAACCAGCAATTTTGTTCCTTACGTACTCATTTCCTTGGTTGAGATCGGTAAGATCTACAAGGTAACAGTTCCTAACCTGATTAGGGTCTCCGTAATTGTTAAGCTTGCAGTAATTGTTAAAGTGCTCGTGCACATACGGGACGCCTGGGAAATCGTAGTTATTACTATTAAAGCTACTTCCTCCTGTCCCTGTACCGGATCGTCCTAGTCCAGCCATATGATTGATCACAATATCCACAAATATCCTGGGAATATATCGAAAAAATGGCATGGGCATGGAAGGAAACTGAAGTTAAACATAGATTAAGTCAGCATTCCTTGAAAAGTAATTTCTAAATTAAGTAATGTTATCAACCATTTGAATACAATCAAATCGAGCATTAAGATAAAGGGATTACAAGAATATTTTTAGTGTAAATATGTTATTTATGTTTCAGTTATATGAATTATGTTTCAGCTTACAAACCTGACGCCAACCTTCTTGCACCTGGAAACCATATCGGAAAATTCAGCTTCGGTACCGCTACGACTGTGTAATTTATAACTGACCGGCTGATACCTTTGCCACCAAGGTTGAGGAGGAGATGTAACAACCACGTGCTCGTTGGCTGGTGAAACCTGGTAACAGTATTTTAACGTTAATTACGACAAGCAATTATACCTAGCTAGCCAGTCTTATGATAGCGAAAATTCATATATTTAAGCCGTTATTATGAAAATTGCACCGATGAATTTCATAAAGTCATGTAAAGACAATGTTTAAAAATTTTGTGCAAGATAGCTTATATACATGTACTTCTTATTTACACTGTTTACTACGTACAAAAATGTTCTCTTTACAGGGATCAACATGGCGGCGTGTGCGCCTGATTGGACGAAGACATATAATAACGTGGCGCTAATATTCCACATGCCTGTCCGTCCGGTTTTATAATGCCTCGGGTTAAATGACTGTTTTTATTGATATTGTTCATCTTATAAGACTAGTAAACCATTTTGTTTTAAATGTATTACTATTCCCTAATTCAACCGTCGATATTTTCTACCACTTTCAGTTATAATTTTGATAATATTAACTGAAGATAACGGGAATTGATAAATGTAATACCTGGACGCCACAGAATCCTTTCTTGGACAGGAAACGTTCACATTCTAGAGCGACATCTGACCACTTCCACTCAAACAGATGAACAATTACCTGTTTACCATTACAATGTGGGTCCGTGTACTCACCAAGGACAGATGCTACGTTAAAAAAATATTTTAATTGATTTTCAGGGCTGCATGTTTTAAACTGATAGTAATTTATTAAAATAAAACTATACACTTCAGAAGGCGCTTAATTAATTCTGTTATAAATTGTAGCTCTGTATGCTTTTGTAAGAACACTTATACGAATGATATAAAGAAAGGAAGAACAGATTCATTAGTAAATATATAAATGTGGAACATTTACATGGAATACATACTGTTATCAGGACATAACAATACATATACAATTAAACAATACTTATAAAATATTGACCTTATGACACTCAAAACATGAGGTACGTGATAGTGGCTATGTAACTCCAAATCATTTGTCATTACAGCGGCATAAATGTAAGTATTCATGTAATACTATAATTATAGAAATAAAGATGTAAACTTATCCAACACTGCATTAAGAAGTTTCTACAAGATTATCAAACAACAACCGTTATATTCTGACAATAAGATGACAACTTTGCAAAGAGGTTGAAAAAGAATGACCATTTAATAATATATACGAGTATAGTGAAATCATTGGTCATTTCAAGAAATGACTGCTGCAGGTGAAAAATGTTTATAGTTGTTAATTGTACTCTTTTCGACGATCTGGTGAGAGTTAAAGGATTTGAAATTGCCTTTAAAATATACCAATAACAAACAAAACGTATTTGTCAAGTTTTTTTTTTCGTGTGGACGTATGATAATAAACTTTAACTTTGATTTCAACATTAATCATTACTGTATGAATGTTGTCGTAACAGGTAACACATTTAATTCGTAATGTGCAGTATGCTTATCATCCACTGCCCGAAATAGATGGAGTATTTAATTTGTTACATTATGTATATAATATTACAAACCTGTATATACAACTACAATTAAACCATAAATTAACACTCCCATTTTCGTGTGACAGTTTCTCCCTTAGCACCCAATTTCTGAACTGTCTCCCTTATCTTTTTATGCAGACAGATAAAATTTGCAAAACCGTGAATTTTATCTATGAGCACTGTCATAATACGTATTACTCCCTGAATAACTAGTGACTTCCCCTGTATGAATAGAAACATTGAAACAAAAATGCCGTTTTTTATACTTGTTGTAGCATCTTTCCTACTGTGATGTTTTATCTATATAACATTGGCTGGTAAAAATGGGGATACTTTGTCAAAATCAGTACTTACCCCTTGAACAAACAATAAATTCTGCCAATCATTTCGTCTTGATTTGTACATTATTACAGACACAAACGGGCACCTGAGTAGAACCCGCGACGTTCCGTAAACTAGCTTGATAGGTTTTTCATAAGAAAGAATTTTAAGACGCCGGCTCGAACCTACAGCAGGAGAGGTAAGTGATTTGAAGGCAAATGTGCCACTTTCTGGTATAAAGATCGCCCCACTTAGGTTTATCTTTGATGTCTATGACATTATATTCACGACCTATAGTCATATTATTTCTAGATACTAGTAATTTACTAAAAGAAAGCCAATCGTACTTACAGTATAGATAAGACAGTGAACTATGTTGAAAGTCTGTGACAAACAGAACAAAATGACAGCTACCGTCTGGATTCTGTTTTCATTATCCTTTGGTAAGATTAGTTAGCATAAATGTATCTTAATAATCATAACGTGATTGATTGATTGATTATAAATGCAAATTATAATAATGGCAACTCTTCATTGTATAATTTATCTGCCGATTGTCAGTGCTGTTTCCTAAATATCAGGGCTCTTACATCCCTGTAAACATGCAGCGGTTGGGCCAACCACAGAAAATCGTCATAGGAAAATCGTTGTTGGGCCATGGTTGGCCCAACTCTAATTAACATGTACTATAAATGCAGTTGTTGGCCCAACGTCGAACCAACCATAAGTTAACGCCAGCGACATTTCTGCATTGGCCCAATAACGATAAATATGTACTTTAAAACAGATGTTGGGCCAACGTTTGACCAACGATACATTTTCGTCAAATATATTAATTACTGCACCTGACCCAAAATTTATTTTTTTAAAGACAAATATGCATGTAGATATTTTACTGTATATAAACAGTACACTACAATGAGTAAAGACTAAAGTTTATAATGTTTTTTTGAAGCCATATTCAATATTGTCACATTCAAGAAATACTCATATAAATTAAATGAGACATGTAAGAAATAATTACTTTTTGAGTCTAGAAATGACCAAAGCCCAGGCTATGCAGTATAGTAGGGGATATGTATCAATATATCTATAGAAATCTTGAAGATCTGATGTATAATCTAAAGCAATTATACATGTGCTGGAATAACCATAATAAACCTCCGGAATCTTCCACTCTGAACTCTAATTAACCTCTGGTTATGTTATCAATGAATGAAAATAGGATCATTTTGGCACTACCCATCCTTTCCCTCGCTTGATTTCGAAGCTGCGTGGACGTGTTTACAGATAGAGCTAAATAAATTTGTATTAGACTGCAATTTCTCAACACTGAAAAATGTAAGTAGATCTAGAGTTTTTTACTTTAATCTTTTAAATAAACCCTTCTAATATATTAATGTATTTAAACCTGCACGGAATCAGTGTTTTAAAACCTGTTATACTATCCAAGTGACCAGGTCATGTGATTAATACAAAATGGCGGATTGGTAAAGGAAAATACTTTGATGTTTTCAGGTAAACAAGCCAGAATGAATTTGATTTTTGTAATGAAATTAAAACCATTTAATTCTATCAGTGTTTATCAGCTTAAAATATGATATGTTTATAATTTTACATCTGAATTTATTGTGATAACTGCAAAAAAATTGCAAGTTAGTAAAAACTGACAAGCTACAATTGGCACTGCAGTGTTAAGCTCATACAATCTGTTCTGAGTATAAATAGGTAATTATGATTGATTATGAGTTATTTGCAAAATTCTGCTTTGTTACTAGACTTTTTAACAGTTACACCACTCATTGCAGTAGAGTGTATACGAAACTTTGTGTAAATTTAATTTGAAGTGTAACTTCGCATTAAACACAAATTACTTTAACCGACTGCAAAAATTGTTTTTATTTCATTTCAGACATTGGGAGAGCATTGTTCGCCATGTTATGTCTCACACTTTGTCTCAGGAAGTTGCCCTAGAATACAACTGGGTTGGAAAAGGCTCGAAAAAAACATTCGAAAAACTTAGACTTAAAAAAGTCATATTAGGTTTGTATTTTTGCTTTTTCAAAGGTGATTTCACCGGTGCTAGAAAATTATTTTACACTGTGGGTGTAAGATGTGACTCTTGTGTTGTAAATGATCATCATAACTCAGAATTATGCCCCTTTTTAACTTAAAAATTTTAGGTTAAAATTTTTAAATTTATGTCAAATATCCTCTGTTGCTATTAAAATAAGTAATTTAAAAATATTTCTTTACTATCAAAGTCTTATCCGCCCTTAGCTGCTATTTTTGCATTTTGACAGATTTAGTGTGCTTTTTTTAGTAAATTATAATAAGTAGTGTATATTTAAATAAAATCAGTAAAACTGTATAAATTTCAGATGCTGTAAGAGGAAAGAGACAGGGTCTACTAAATAATGAAATCGAGAAGACAATGAAGGAGTGCCTAAGATATGACAAGGATAGGGAAGGCGGGCAGAGGAAGAGATTGACTAAAAAGTTGCAACAACAAAGAGAAGAAAATGAAAATGATATGTGAACAACATTTAGTAATAAATTGTAGTAATTAGTATATATTTTGTTTTTTTGATGAAAACAAGGCATTGGGCCAACAAAGGGCCAATGTTTATTGTAGGAAACCAGTCAGTGGGCCAACGGGGGGCCAACAAGAAGAAGGGAAACCAGTTGTTGGGCCAACAGAGGGCCAACGATAGGAAGGAAAACCAGTCATTGGGCCAATGGAGGGCCAACGATAAGAGTAGGAAAGCAGTCGTTGGGCCAACCATATACCAACCGTTGGCCCAACGTTGCCCCAATTAGCAAATTGACATTGGGCCAACGTTGGCATTATGTGTTGGGCCAACAAAAGCAAATGTAATTGGCCCAACGTTGGGCCAACTACTGTCTGCTATCTGGGATATTGTTTTGTATCGTTCACATCCCGTCTAGACTATAAAAGGATGTAGATACGGTATCAATCACATCGTATGATCTTACCAATGTTATTTCATGATCATAATATCTAAATAGAACGGATCAAAAATATTAAAATACTAATAATAAAACGTTTCATGAAAAAATCATGGTAATTTTAATAATGAAGCGTTATGTTTTCCAGCTTCGGTCTTTAGTGAGTACACGGACCCACATTGTAATGGTAAACAGGTAATTGTTCATCTGTTTGAGTGGAAATGGTCAGATGTCGCTCTAGAATGTGAACGCTTCCTGTCCAAGAAGGGATTCTGCGGTGTCCAGGTACTGCCATTTAGTTTGGATGTTTGTGTTAAAACTTGCTCGAAATTATTTTGCCATTTTTATATTTCATATGTAAAGGTATGTAAATACTTGTATACAATCTTACAGATAATGTGGAATTATATTATGTGAGTAGGTTATCCAGCTTTCGCGAGGTCGGTTGATCTGTGTTGCAAAAGTAACAACTACACTACAAGATTGCGCGTTAGATATTTCTTTCTTGTTCTTACCTTTTTACACTTTACCCGCATAAAACGAATCCTTGTGATAATATTTCAAGATTTCTCCCGCCAATGAGCACGTGATTGTGACATCTCCTCCTCGACCTTGGTGGGAGAGGTATCAGCCCGTCAGCTATAAACTACACAGTCGAAGTGGTACCGAGGCAGAGTTTGCTGACATGGTCGCCCGGTGCAAGAAAGTCGGCGTCAGGTGTGTTACATATGATGGCATTTATGTTTAACAAACTCGTTAATTCTTTTTTCTTTCTTTTTTCTCCTCTTATTATGACTACTATTATTTTATTTCCCTTACGCTCTTGGTAAAGTTGTAAGTGTTACAATTTTCTTTAGCAAAAACTGAAGGTAAACAAATCTTGATTATTTTAATACAATAATTGACAGGGTTATTTCTCTTGTATGCGCCATAGGCTACCGTTTTGATACAAGGCAATTTGTCATTATCTAAAATGCATATTTGTATGTGTGTCTAAATCTGACATATTTGTAAATATCTGACATATCTTCAATGATCTGTCATGCTTTGGAATTTTAGTAGTAATGTAATTTCATTTTCGATACAAGGCACTATGTTACATTATGTTTATGTTCACATTCGTATAATGTTAGCAATAGATATATATTTATATATGAGCGTATTATAATAATATAAGTAGATATTTATTACCATTGATTTGTAGTTATAAAAACACACACGGAACAACGTAACTACCCAAATAATCAAAGAAATGATTGTTCAAAGTTGTTCGCGAATCAACAACTAGTTTTGTGTTCAATGTTTTATGTGTAATTTATTTTTGTTGTCTTTTTGCCAGAATTTATGTTGATATAATTCTGAACCATATGGCTGGTCTTGGTCGGAATGGCACTGGTACAGCAGGCAGCCATTTTGATTCGGACAAGTTTGATTTTCCTGGTGTACCGTACGTAAAGGAACATTTTAACAAATTCTGTCCGTTGAACGCTTGGACAGACGAACATATGATGAGGGATTGCTTCCTTGTTGGACTCACCGATCTTGATCAAAGTAACGAGTATGTACGAAATAAGATCATTGCTTTCTTGGACAAATTCATTGACTATGGAGTTGCTGGTTTCCGTGTTGATGCGGCAAAACATATGTGGCCAAAGGATATCGCAGTAATACAACAGAAGGTCAAAGACCTGCCCGAAGGCGGTCGGCCTTTCTTTGTACACGAGGTTATTGATCAGAGTAATGGACCGATTACAACACAACAATATACATCTCTTGGGTATGTAACTGAGTTTAGATATTGCCAGAAAATTAAAGAGGGTATCGAAGGTTTCGGTCGCCTAGGTGGGGTTGTTGACTATGGATGGGGTATGACAGATTCCGAACATGCTTTTGTTTTTGTTGATAATCACGATAACCAGCGTGGACATGGAGGTGGTGGATCTATCATCACATTCGAAAAAGCCAAAGAATATAAAATGGCAGTAGCCTTTACACTAGCGAATGATTATGGGTTCACTAGGGTTATGAGTAGTTACTTTTATGGCGACAACAGCGATCAAGGTCCGCCACATAATGCAGATTTTTCTACCAAAGATGTAAAGATAAATTCTGACCAGTCATGTGGGAACGGGTGGGTATGTGAACATAGATGGCGTCCTATAGCCAACATGGCGGCTTTCCGCAATGCTGTAGTCGGAACGAAAAAAGAAAATTATTTCAATCAAAATGACCAGGTAGCATTTTCGAGGGGGAATAAGGGATTTTTTGCAATGGCACGTGCAGGCCACATGGATGAGACGCTACAAACTGGACTTCCGGCTGGAGAGTACTGTGATCTTATTTCAGATTGTTCTAAGAAATTCAGAGTTGATGGTAACGGGATGGCTCACATTACCATTGACAACGCCAATGAACCTATCATTGCTTTTATCGTTGGTATTTGCATATTTCATTATTGAAAGTAATATATGAGTAAGTTGAAATAGTCTGATGTTAAATCTAAATGTAAATTTGTTTTAAACCTTTTATTTAGTTGTTTCATGATTGAATCTTTTGTTTAAATCTAAAATTTTCATTTTTTATGTGTAACAAACATCCTTTCATATGTCAGACTTATCACCACAAATGCTCATTTGTTTTGTCTTTTTTATGTAAATGACAATCTTAAAGAAAATGTTCATTATGTCTCATTATTTTCCATCATAACAATTGATTGTTCGGTGTTACAATTAATAGGAGGCCCTTCATCAAGTTCTGGGACTAACAGTGGTTCTGTGTCCGGCTCTGGAGTCGGTACTACTTCTAGCTCTGTATCAAGCACCGTTTCCGGTCCAACTTCTAGCTCTGTATCAAGCACCGTTTCCGGATCCGGCGATGCATCCTCAGCAAGTACAACGAAAGAAGTGACTGATATTACAAGCACATTACCCCATACTACCCCGACAGTTCCTTCCGGTTGGGCTCGAACAATTATCATGATAGAAAAACAGACAGTAAATGGGCAGGATTTATTTATACGCGGAGGTTTAGATCATGGAAGACACTCGGGTTTGAAACGTTTCTCAATTTGCATAGTTTCTGCTGTTCATTTAACACCCTTACGATTTGTGTCCTTCATGAGGCATATAACATATATGTTGAGCATGACTTAAAACATAAGTTTATAAATTACAAATATATTTGTATATTATTTTGATTATTCCACATGAAATAAAAACTTTACAATTCAATATAAAAATTAGATGACGAATATTTTCAGGATGTACTCATGATGCCAGAACAAGCGCATGCGCGATTCCAATTCGTTACGGTACGCAGCATACTGGTTCTCATTACGACAAATTTAACGCCTGGTCTGTCAATGACAATTTCCTGGATTGGTACGGGTCTGAACCTAACCAGGGAAGATACAACGGTATCATGGCCGAGGGGACACCTGCTGTATGGACTACAAACAATGCCGGGAGCCCGGGATACAGCAAATTAAACACGTATATATAACAATACTACGTTATCTGTAATACTGGCCGGAAAATTCTGATAGGTATAATAAGGGCCAATACATTGTTTGGACTTTTAGGATTTTTCTTAAACTATTGGGCAACAAGATTTTAAGATTGTTTGCTAATTATTTTGATGTTAAAACATTATTTGATTGTCTTATATTTCAGCTGTTATTAAAATATATACAATGTAGCCGACATTTGTGACAACAAGGTGAGAGAGACTACAAGCGATTCAGTTGCCTTTTAAATTGTTTAATCTCTACATGCGACACTATTGATTTATTGAATATTCAATTGTAATGTAATAATTGCAGATACGGTCAGCATTATTGGCTGGTTGATGTAGACATGGATTGCAGTAAGACAGCTAACGGATGGTTTGAGATCAAGGCAGTTGTAAACGGTGAATGGGAAGGAAACATCCGAATCAACAGTCCATGTACCGGGAGTGGGTCTAATACTTTACCAGAGCAAACATTTAACCACTGGGCAAGGTGCGGAATGATGAATGTATTCCACTTCAACAGTGGAAGTTGTGAAATTGTTGATATACCATAACATTTTTATATGTAAGAACAAGAAGAAATATATCTAATCTTGAGTCTTGTTTTACTTTACCACCATTAAGTCATTATCATTGAGATACCATATTATCCCAGTATTAGACACACCTTTTGATCTTTGTAGCCAACAACTTATTTTAAGTAATATATCTTATTTTTATATACGTTAATTACTGATTTCACAGTTGTAAACTTTCCTTTCCAGTATGTAACTGAAAAATACACAGATTTCATCTGTGACAATCATAATAAGATTATCAAATGATAAACTACTAAATCATTTTTTGTTTGTTTGTTGTAATTTTTACAGTCGTTTTTATAATTTATGCATGTATCTATATTCCACACATATACAGGAACCGGTACCGTTGGCCTAGTGGTTAATGCGCCCGCTTTCGGATCGAGAGGTCGAAGGTCCAAGCCCCACGGGGAACGTTAATTGAAGGATGAATGTTTCTCGTTGGACTCGTTCTGAAATGGCCGCTTCGTGAGCCGCGAGGTAATTAAAATGAATGGTTACCGATTTATATCCGTCTGGTGCCTGACATATATAGTGGTAGGAGTTGATTTGTGGTAATCGTTATTGGCCCACCGTTAGCGGTAACTACATTACGGGGACACCAGTGAAGAGCGGTTTCGGTAGTAGCCGTAAGGTTACGGTGAAAACCGGAACTCCGCCCTCTACATCCAACATGGCTACTGTAATAGCAAAAGCGACGATGAAGCTGAAAAAAATGATTTAACAACTTGAAACTTTGAGCAGTCCGATTTGTGGCAATGAAAAATAAGAAGAAGGGTGTAAGCTGCAAATACTTTTGCTGCTTAGTTTGTTTACTGCTTTTTATAAATGTTAATTTCGCAACACACATCCTGTACATGGTATGCAAGCAAAGGGTGTCTCATAAGTCAGAAATGGATGGCCCTTTCAGTAGGGATGACACTATAATAAACAAGACCTTTAATATAACTATTAGACCGTTAAAGGCGTTTTTATCGTACACATGTATTCATTTCCAGCCTAATTGTGTTTATGTGCTTTTATTTTCTTTAAAAATAATATGTCAGCTACTTATGGTGATAATTGCTACACAATGTAGTAAATAAAAATTAATAGCAGCCGCGTTGGGGGAAAAAAAAAAAAAGGGGGTGGGAAAAACCCCCCCCCCCCAATAAAAAAAAACTTGTTGTTGTTAATTATACCTAATATTATACCTAAAAAAAAAAACCCGGTCCCCTAATTTTTGTAATACCCGATATGATTTTTAAAATGCTACAGGATTCCTTGGGGAAATTCAATAATAGATGGTCAATTTAACGGCGAGTAGATGAATTACATTATGTATATAGATAACACTAATAATACATGTTCGCACACATGTCAGTTCTGGTAATGAAACACTCTGACACATTGAGCGGTGCTCGTACTGAAAGTCACACAATTATTTCAACATAAAAGAACAGAGGTGCGAGCTATAGCGCCATCATGTTGGCAATAAAATCACAGATTGATTTATTGTCTACTATAGAATAGCTATTTATTTACTAGGAGTTCCAGATCAATAATATTATCATTGAATCAGGTATTGACCAGTTGTCTCTTATTACTTGTTTTATCGACCATATAAAGCTATTAACTTTAGAGATTTTTTTCACTACATAACAGGGGCCTTATCAAGGCCCCTTCACAATTCCAAAATTCACAACTTTCACAATACAAACTTGTGATTGCTGCCACAAAAAGGTTTGTCAATACATTTTCAAAGTATATTTAGCAGTTTTATACCTTTAAATACCCATAAATATTCCTATTTATTCACAACATAAAGTAATCGGGGCTATTAAAACATTGCATGTTGAAATATTTCAAGCAATTTGAATTAAACAAATTAAAGAGTAAAGTTTTGTTGTGAATCGACTTTCAAAAATTGTGTCAATATTGCGCTTATTCTTTCACAATTTTAAGAAAATTATGCTAAAATTTCACAATTTGAAGAAAAATTGGGCTTTGTCTTTCACAAACCAAACAAGTCAAAACTAACAATATGGGGGAACAACCTCTGCTGGAGTTCATCCTTGTTAATTGCTGGAACTAACTTTTCCTGCCGATCGGCAATAATGTGTATAAAGTTATATCTGATGAAATATTTTATAAAAACTGAAAAAACAAACGTAAAATCAGTTGTTTTCATAATACATGTATAATTATTGTTTCTTGACACAGAATGTCTATGCAATGTTATATACATGAATATTATATGTGAATAGAATAAAATGTTCCGGAACAAAATATTTCTCTTCTATATTAAGTAGTGTTTGCTATGATAAAACACATGTCCCACTTGCTTTGAATAAGATATACTGGCAAATATCTTTCATTCTAATGTATTCTTTAATAATTTTTATCACAATATAAACAATAAGACAGCAAATATATATAGCTTTATACACATTAAACATTTTTTTCAGGAATCATATAATAGTTTTCTTGTCTGTTATGTGTAAATATACATGTATACTTCATAAAAGCTTTGGTTTTAGTTTGACACACACAAAGCTAATCTTTAGAACGTTATCTATGTATTTAATTACAAGCACTAACAAAAAGACTACAGCAATATTCAATAAGTATGTAGTTAATGCTTAATGAGGGTACCAAGAAGAATCTTCCTTTTATATTGGCACGATACACATTTGGACTATTACCTAAGTGCACGATTGTGGTTAAAACATGATTTTATGTGGTCACTGTACAGTGAGCAATTGACATAATTCCGGGGATTTTATCTTATTTTAAGTAATCGAACAAAATTCTTAAGATTAAGTACGAAATTAAGATTTAATTCAAAAGTCTACAGCAAAATCAGCCACATCAAAAATGACACGAAAACGAAAATGTAAAACTTAAAAAAAATCTGTTAGTTTATTAGCGCATCAAACACCTATCAGAATAAAATTAGATAATTTTAGTTTGCAAATTCTGTAACATTACATATATACTAGTGATAATTTCAATAAGGCATAAATGCACAGTTTGATAAGACAATGGTAAATTTATAAACTTTCATTAAAAGATACACAATAGAATAATGCCTGTCAGAGATAAAAGATAACGAAACCTCCTATATACAAAAAGGTCATTTGGAGATATCATACGTAGACACACTATCAATGATACCAAGACTTGTTAAGAATATGGACCGTTTTGTCAAGTTATGTTTATTTGCAGGTATGTTCTTTTTTGTAAAACAGAAAATTTGTAGATTGCCTATTATGATTCTAACCGTGCGACAAGTGCATACCAAGATCATCCGACACACCAGGGCCGTTAGAACGTGGTCTGTACAGTTCGCTCTATAGTCAGTACATATTTTGGTATTTTCTCTTAAAAGATAAGTGGTTCTGTTCAGATTGAAACATGGACAGGTCCGTAGGAGACATTAAGCATTCATAGCAAGAGTCATGTACATTTAATTTGTAGTACGAAAGTATGTAACCAACCTGATGTAAATGAACTACCGGTACATGGTATTAAATGATGGCATCTTGAAGTATAGACGGCACATTGTCATTTAATATTTCTATACACATCATCATAAATTATTGTAAAAAATTAAAAGTTTTCAAAATTTAAAAGTCATGTTCAATAATTAATTCCTTGTAAAATTATTTAAGCTACATTGGTACATTTCTGAAACACTGCATATAATTTAATTACGGTTGTTTTCTATGAAAAATTTAAGGTGGTTCTTTTTGTCATATAACGTAACATAACATAACATAACATAACATAACATAACATAACATGACAGTAGTTTTTCTCTGACGGGCTTAATGGTCGAATTCAATGTCATTTTATACAATATATTCTTTATTAGCGTAGTTAATTAAAGTATGACCCCCTTAATGTGCACTATCAGGAACTGTACAATTTACGACATAGGCCTAAAGGATACCTGTATGTAAAATTTAAACAAAGTTTACCGTATGGTTTACAAGTTATGGACATTTTTATGAATAAAGCTCGGTTATTAGAATGGCTCTTTTTCAGAAATGATAATATTCTTCAATGCGATGGGGGGTCTTACCGTTTGTTTGTTTATTTGTTTCATTTTACGCCTTTTCTCAACAGTATTTCAGTCATATAGGCGGGTAGTTTCCTAATTATCGATCCTGGAGAGTTACACCAGTACAAGACTACCTTCCTCCGTGCTAAACTACCAAAGTATCTCCCGGGGATCGAACCCACGACTGTCTACTAGTAAACCAAGACACTTAAAATCATTATGTAAACTATGGGACATAATACGGCGTGCAGCCATATGTCCCAGATAAAGTATACGCGTGAATAAATGACACTGGATATTCTCCTTTTTTCCACAAAATCAGTCTTAAAATTTATTGAAATAACGATCTATAATTTGGCACTGTATAGATTACATATTTTTTACATTGAACATCCCTGAAGTCATCAGATGTAATATGATACAAATTTTATAATCTGATTTATAAAGTGTACCTATCAACAACTTCTGGTGAGTACACGGACCCACATTGTAATGGTAAACAGGTAATTGTTCATCTGTTTGAGTGGAAATGGTCAGATGTCGCACTAGAATGTGAACGCTTCCTATCCAAGAAGGGATTTTGTGGCGTCCAGGTTCGACAAAAATATTTTAAACATTTGTCTTTGTTTTAAATTACTGCTGATAAATATTTGTATACACATTATTATGAATCATTCTTTTAAATACTACTAATATTCATTTGAAGGAGCTCCACTGAGGACTGACAGGTAATTTAGTGTCCAAAAAAATGTAAACAAATTTATTTTAGATACAATCGTTTTTAAAACTTGTCTTCTGTTGCATCAGCATGTATAATTTTTGAAATACCACGATTTGTTAAAGTCATGGGTAATGTATAGGAAGTAACGAACAATGATATATTCAATCATTGAACTCGTGATTATTTTCAAATCATTCATGACACTGATACATTGAAGGTTTCCCCCGTCAATGAGCACGTGATTGTGACATCTCCTCCTCGACCTTGGTGGGAGAGTTATCAGCCCGTCAGCTATAAATTACACAGTCGCAGTGGTACCGCCGCTCAATTCGCTGCTATGGTCGCCAGGTGCAAGAAAGTGGGCGTCAGGTAAAGATAAGAATTCATTAAAAGAGTCCTGAAATATGAAAATCATTAAATTATATTTCTCAATGTGTCCTTTATTTTTCATATTAAGACAGTTAACGTATATTTGATCCATACGTCAATTTCAGAATTACACAGAAATGATTAAACTTTGCAAACGTTTTGACCAAGACCAGTCGTCTATCATGTTACAGTATTGGATTTGTTGTATTAAGAAAAGTATACTCTATATTATTACTCTATATTTGTTTGATTAAAGTTCATTTTTGAAAGATACTACGTAATAAACTACAACTGTCCTTTTCACATGAAATGGAACTAAGTTTTAATCTTTCAGAATATATGTAGATGTAGTGATAAACCATATGGCCGCGCTAGGACATAATGGTACAGGAACAGCGGGCAGTTATTATGATGCTAATAATTACGATTTTCCTGAAGTCCCCTATCAAGCACAGCATTTCAACAAACACTGTGAATTAAATTCATCAACCAATGTTCCAATAGTAAAGAACTGTTACCTTTTAGAACTCACAGATTTAGATCAAAGTCTTGAATATGTCCGAAATAAAATTGCTGCGTTTTTAAATATTTTAATAGATTATGGAGTTGCGGGTTTCCGCGTGGACGCAGCTAGACATATGTGGCCAAAAGACATTACTGCAATACAAGAAAAGGTAAAGGATTTACCGGAAGGAGGTCGACCATTCTTCTACCATGAGGTGTATGATATCGGCAACAATCCTATAACAACACAACAGTACACACCTCTTGGTTATGTGACCGAGTTTAGATATTGTCTAAAAATTAAAGATGGTATAACAGACTTTCGTCTTCTTAATGATACAGTTAATTACCATGACAACATGACTGACTCAAACCACGCCTTTATATTTGTAGACAATCACGATAACGTCAGAGATAAAGGAGCCGTGTTAACTTTTATGAATCAAACAGAGTATAAAATGGCAGTGGCCTACACTTTGGCTAACGATTATGGATTTACCAGAGTGATGTCGAATTATTATTTTGGAGAAAACACTGATCTTGGACCCCCGCATAATTTTGACTATTCGATTAAAGATGTGACAATCAAACAAGACAATATATCATGTGGTAATGGTTGGGTTTGTGAACATAGATGGCGCTCTGTAGCAAACATGGTTGCATTTAGAAATGCTGTTGTTGGTACAAAGAAAGAGAATGTTTACAACCGTAATGATCAGATAGCTTTCTCTAGAGGGAACAAAGGATTTTTCGCTATGGCGCGTGACGGTCATATGAACATGACGCTGCAGACAGGACTTCCGCCGGGGAAATACTGTGACATCATTTCCGATTGTGCCAATCAGATTTCAGTTGACGGAACCGGAATGGCCACCATTGTGATTGATGATAAGAATGAACCAGTTGTCGCCTTTATTGTTGGTAGATACATGTATCATATAAATGATCAATATTAGTTTTAATCATCGGCAATAGTTAAATAGTGAAATACACCTTACCATTGTTTTAATTTAATCAGCTGGAATTATTCGGAATGTAGACAAAACCACTTATTTCGAGAAATATATATTTCAAAGTAATGGCATTTTTACATGTGACCAGTGTCTTAATTGGTAAAAATTTTAAACAGCGACGTTTTCATGCCAAATATTTTAAATCTGTAGATTTTTAGGTAAAACAGAACATCATTTTACTTTTTCTGGAAAAAACTCAAGATAATTTACGTCTAAAAATCATCATTATTACGAAAAAGCAAATGCACAAATGAAAATGCTTTATAAAGGGTTTGATAACTTTGTTTACATGATTTTCATTAAAGTAACTAAAACGGACCCGAGAGTAAAACTAGATCAGTGTTCTTAAAACAATTTTTATCGTTGCTTCAGGGCGACCTTATATGAATGCTGGTACAACTGTAAGCTCCGCTACAGGTTCAACAAATGGCCAACTAATAGGTCCAACAACAACAAGTCATTCAACTAGTTTAAATACTTCATTTCCCACCAATCATGTGACAACAACAACTGCATCGCTAACATCCACACCGACATCTGATTTCAAAAGAACTGTTATTTTAATTGAACGACCAACTCAAGAAGGACAAGATTTGTTTATTCGAGGTGGCTTTGATAAAGACCGACATCCAGGTTGATTTTCATAGTTGTAGTGTTTTCATTAATAGTTATACAGTTGTTATATTAATCAATTTCTAGTTATACATAGTAGACTTGTTTATTCTTTATATATTTATAGTTATATGATGGTATGTTGCAAATCAATAAGTAAAGACAATTGTTAACATATAAACGTTACATGCGTTCAATATTTCAAAAGAATATTTTACTAGTGCTTATTGTAATGCTCTAATAACAATTATAAACAAACCCATGCTTGTCTTCTCTCAGAATGTGCTCACCTTCAAACAGTTACCGCATCAAACCCTTGCGTGATTCCGATTAAAGATCGTCATATTGGAAATGGATCACACTATGCTAAGTACAATGCGTGGTCTGTAAATGATAACTTTTTGGACTGGCAAGGTGCAGAACCTAATCAAGGGCGTTTCAATGACGCTTTGGCTCAAGGAACACCGGCCGTCTGGACAACAAATGATTTAAACCATCCTGCATTCAGTCCTTTTAATGCGTAATACAATTATTTTTATTTCTCACTTTGATTAAAAATTCGTAAAATCGATATTTTTAAACTACTATCGTTTTCAAAACTTTTAATTTTAATGTTCGATTGATATGTCAGTATCATACGAGCGGTTCAAAAATGTTGTTTTTTGAATGTTTTAGATACGGGAATCACTATTGGTTGGTGGATATAGACATGGACTGTAGCAAAACTGAAAATGGTTGGTTCGAGTTAAAGGCTGTCGTCAACGGACAGTGGGAAAATAACATCCGTTCAGATCCTTGCACTGGTGCAGGACCTGTTCCGGCTCCAACAAAGAATCACTGGGCAAAATGTGGAAGGCTAAATGTTTTCCATTTTAATGATCCAAGATGTGAAATAAAGGACATTCTTTAGTTTGATTGTTAGAATATCTTATGCTGAATAGCAAAATTTAGAATGATATAACAGCTTGTTTGTATTTATTGGGCCTTCCGGATCTCGAATAACAAATGCATTTCTGTTCTAATGCGATATAGCAATTTAAAAATCTCCTTAAATTGACAATGAGAAGAAATAGACTTAACGGAATGTAATTCAAGGCAATATACAATGTAAATCAGTCCTGACATCTCGACCGCATATTTTACACTCTTTATTCACACCTTTGTCTGTTCGACAATAATCTTTTGAATTGTTACAATCGGTTTTGAACAAGAATGCAATTGTTTTTATCTTATTCTCATGGGAAACCGAGCACAATAATAGAAATATTGAAGAGAAAATAATAACAAAAATAATAATAAACAAACACCGGAATGTCACATTTTATTTAATAAGGACTGACATGTTGAATTGAAGGACCCGGACACGATTATCTGTGCTGTCTTGGCAATACATTGTAATTGGAAATATCAACACTATGATTATGTACCTTTTGTAACTTTTGACTATTCTCAGAGGAAATAATGCTGTTGTATCACCTATATTAAAGTGACATTTTGTATCACTTATATTAAAGTGACATATTATGATCATATTTTCATTGTAAATTTGAGCTGAATAAAGCCTGAATTGACTGTACATTGTAAGATTGGTTGTGAAAACGGCGATTGACCAACAGTTGATATTGGAAATGTTTAAAAAAAGGCTGTCCCACTCTTTTATATTAGTAAATCGAACACTTCAGGTAAATTGAGATGAATATTTACAGAAATCTCCTTGAAACACACGATTTGTTTATCGGGATAAATATGGTAGAATATAAACTTATTCATTTTGACATTCACCTGTTTTGTCACTATATATTCTTGGATGGGAAATGCATAATGTAACTTTAAGTACGGAGACTCTTTACTAATTGAACAGTTATCACCCTGTATAATTAATAAGCATGGTCAAAAAAGTTTTTAAGGGTTTCGACTTCCTTCAAGAAAATAATATATACTGCCTCATCTGCAATGATGACAGTTTAAGTATACAGAACAAATATATTCTCATAAGCTATTGATTTCCGTAAGGAATTAATTAAAGTGTATAATTCATATATCTGCTGAAAAAATGTTTGAATTTTCAAATAGATTACTTCTAATATGGTTGTATGAAAAACTTATGGTATAAATATAGTACATTACCTTAATTAAAAGCGAACATGTACGAGTAAAGCGTTGCCCGGTCGAGTTTTGCGTAATTGTTTTTTCCCCTAAAATTTCATTAACGTGTTATTTCACGTGGAACCGAAATGCAATGACTGGTTTATCAGTTTATCGGTTTATAACAATAATTTATTTATTTCTTATCGCATGGTTTTGAACTTTTCTTTGTTCTTTTCTTACCTATTATACTCAGTTCACTTTCAATGAGCATTTGAAAACTGTATTGATATTTAACAGTGTAGTTTTTTTCATTGATTCATATAGGAAAAACTGAACTAATAAATAACAGTTGAGTTTCTTTTCACACCTTCTATATATCAGTGGACTTTTTTCACAGAGGCTCCAATGGGACAGGGTAAACGAACAGTCCAAGTAGTAATAAATATAAATTAGATAAAAAATAAATAAAAATAAATAGATAAATTATAAAATAACCAAAGATAATTAATGAAATGAATTTATTCTCATATATACAACTGCTAAAATCAAAAGGTACATCCACTGAATGAATTAATTCCACTGAAAGAAAAAAAAAATCTTGAATCAACATTACTTTATCGAAAAGGTAACAGTTAACAATCCGTCTCTAACATTGGACGTCTTTACGTTTACAAGGGTTATTTTATTCTGTTTTGGTCTTGTCATAAATAGTTGTAAGTAAGCTTACGACAGCATTGGCTGGTATTGGTTTATTTTATCTGATTCCATTTAAAACAAGTGGCACAAGGGAGAGAGAGAGAGAAGTGCATATGGCAAGAACAAAGAAAAAGGTTCCAAACTATGCGATATGTGGCCTCCTAAACAATATAAAGAAACACAAACACAAAACATCATAAGACAATAACAACTACTTAGTATTTCATTAAGATTTTGTCCTAAAACTATTTTAGATATTAAATATCATTTATACGATTTTCATTTACAAATATTTTAACAAATTTACATGCATAATAATTATTATAACATAATGACAGAGTTATGCATTAAGATATTTATTTGATCTGCAAGATAAGTTTTTATACTTATTTTTAAAAGATGTCAGAGAATTAGAAAAACGTATATTAGATGGTATTCTTTTCCAAATCTTTGCACTATTGTGACAAAAAGTATTTTTACCTAATAATTTTGGTGTTTTTTACATTTTCTATTTTTTGTTTTGTTTTTTCAATACATAAAGTAAGTCCATTACAATAAAAACTTTTTGTTTCGTGCATAATATCATATTATGTATAAATGCATGGATGGATAAACATACTGTCCTTAGATATACAAGTAGCCTACATATTGAGATCTAGAAACGACATATAAACTAATAAGAGATAGTACTACATTATAATTTATATAATTCCCCTCAGAAATAAGTGGATAATCATCTGCAAAATTATATAGGACCTGAAAGAGCATTAGCACCTTAATTCGACATACCCATTAATTCGACACCTTTTTAACAAACATCATGAAATCTCAAAAATAAGCTTTTTAACTGATATTTTGATCGATAGTTACGTCTATCATTCATTTGATGACGTCATGAAAAAAATTCAGACCACATAGGTACCGATTTCGCTGACATTGGTTAGTACGAAAGTGTGCCTCGAAAATGTGAACATAAAAAGTGGCTTCTTAGGGCCCAGTTACACAGACGGTCGGTCCCCAATCGGTCATTTAATTTTAAATTTACTCGCTGTTATGATCGGTTGTCATGCGTGATTTTATTTCTGGTTTTCTGTGTAAACGGCCATCGGTGACAGAAAGCAAACTCAAACGGGAATGGGTCGATGATTAAATGCTGAAATACTTTTGGTTTTTATCGTTTGTAAATCGGAGCTAAATCGGGCGTAACGCTGATTAATCGGTGTTTGATAGCTAGTCATCAGTGATTAAACACTTTCCGTCAGATATGGCCGGTGATTCATATTTGGTTATCTTTGTCCGATCGGCGATATCGGTGATTAAGAGCTTGCATATCTCGTGATATAGGTTGCCGTCGGTTATTTTTAAAAAAAATTCACCGATCGAGAATTTTAAACGTGTTTAAAAATCCCAATCGGTAATTTTTCACCGATGAAACTCATCTTTCCCCAATAGCAGTTGATAGGTGGAAAACAGGTGACCAATAGGTGATATCGGTGTTAAATACGTTGTCATCGGTTCACTCCATAATTTGGCTAAAAAAACTACCGATCAATCACCGATGGCTCTGTGCAACTGGGGTGTTCGGAAACGTGTAAGAGGTCGACTAAATACTACTTAATTTTTGTCATATTCTGCTATTGTTAACTTTTTAAACACACTTATTGAAGTTGTTCTTCAAACTGGACCTTCAACAGCTTATCTAGAGCCAAGGCGTGAGTGTCGAACGTAGGAACCAAATTTAAAAGGAGGTTCGTTAGTTTGATAAATGTGACAGAATCAACTAACTTAAATCAAACTGACCAAATATGACATTTCATGTACGTATATTGTATTTGGCTGTGGACGAATAAGTATTAACTATATTCCGTTAACGATGTTCGTTATTGAGGTATCAGATGTCGCTAATTAATTCTTAATTAAAAATAAAATACATTTCATAAGTAACATGTAATGGTAATGTTTCGTGATGTTGTTTATTCTGAAAAGCAGGTATACAATGTATTTAGTTAAAATAAACTTCAGCTATAGGTATATCAGTGTTTAAAATTGCCTAATTGTGTATGTACATGTCAAGTGAAGCTAAAAAATAAATATTGCAGATGTTCGCCATCAAAGTTGATCAACGTTGTGTCTATGTTTCAAAGTGGTGTTAAATGAAAGAAGATAAAATACAGCAATGATATTTGGCATACTGAGGAGAGCTATAACTGATAAGCTTAAGGGAATTGCACCAACTGGTTTGACAACAGTGAGTGCTGACTGCAAAACTACGCTTATTTGTTAATTATGCATGAAAATTAACAAGTCTAACTCTTAGATCATTAAATATGGAAGAAACACACTTTTAAAGACCATTTACCTGGAAAAAACATGTGCCGGTATCAGTTATTTTAATACCGGTAAGTTACACGCTACACCGGCTCCCTTAGTTAAGTGGCAGACTTGCTTTACTTTTGGCCATCAGAGATACATAATTAATTATAATTAATGAACTCTACCGATTATGTATTCAGAGTAGGCCTATGATTTAAACTAAGAACTAATATAAAAAAAGAAATGTTTCCGTTATACAGCCTGTCCATGGTACATAATGTACACTGCTGGCGCAATGTAATTCGAAATCCCGGTTCAAAGATAAATAATTAACCTTTTTCTCTATAATAAAATTATAAGTGTAAGACATACAAAAATGTATCTACACGTGCACATTTTTACTGATTCAAGAGATGAACAGATCTTCCTTTTAATGCAATATTCTTTCATAATTATGTTTCGGTCGTAAATTGTTATTAATAGTGTTGGAATTCATTTTACTTTTATATTATTTGAACTTTTAATGTATTTCTTAAACCTTAATTAGAGTGTCGAATTAAGGATCACCATGTTGAAATACCGGACCCTCAACGGACAAAGCTTAAATACTATTATAACATGGAAAACCTTAGATGCTACCTAAGAATTAGTGTTTGAAAAGCGCGCGAAAATGTCGGATACTGTAAATTGCAGTGTCGAAATTAGGATAGTCATAAAAATGTTAAATTGTAACGAAAATTTATTGTAAGGTATCGAAATATGGGTATTTTACTCTAGAGATTTCCTAAGTTCAAATAATTAATTAGGTCTAAAATAAATAATTTCAAGAGCTAGTTTTTTGCTTTGATCAATTAGATCTATGTGTAAGCTAATTAAATAAACATAATTGTATAACCGAAGAGTACAATTTCTCAACTCATATTTCAGGTATTTATTTCCACGTTCCGATCGCTGTGAGTGTACACACCTTTCCAGAATAAATATGCATGTACCAGTCACATCCTAGCAAAACAATATTTTTACAACAGTCAGTGAATTGAAACAAGGCCAGCTTTTTGTAATTGGTTCAGATGAATAATAAAGCCGATAGCTTTTGTGTGCTGATGATTTGTTGTGGACACCTTGTGGCATCTCGCTATTGATTATCTGTTTTCGCCGATACTGCGGCAGCTGTCGCAATGCAGGTAAATTCTAACCAATGAGAGAGGGTTTAACAAATAATTAGGATGTAGGCAGATAACATGATAAAAAGTAGTATGCATGATGTTTTGCTGAGGCAGTTTACTTATGAAGCTAAGAAGGATATAGAAACCGAATTTTTGTTAACGATTTGATGTACTGTTCGCGTTGTTATTTTGTAAAAGTTATTGTTGGATTTTTCGTTTAGACGTACATAGTTTTCTATCCAGCGGATTAATACTATACATTTCCTCAGCATCAGTAACATCACCGAGTATTAGTTGTTGTGACAGGAAACTAATCTAAAATGGTGAGTCGATACTTTTTACCGTCTAATCTTCTAACTACAGTAATGAATTTATTTTTGAATGCTTCAAGCATGGCAAATTTGTTGATATATTCAAGCTTGAAATATGTAATAGCAATGTTATAAGGATGATTTTGAACTTGTGATAGAGTGTTTAAAGGCCCATTGTGCCTCAGAAATATTTTTGATGTCGTGTTATACTTTCGAAGAAGTTAATCATGGGCAATATATAGCCTACCTGAACAATTACTTGCATCTGTTGCTTTTTCAGGTTTTAGAAATCAGTAGAGGTATAATGGTTCACTATTTTGTATCGGAGTTTGTTTACAATTTTGCTACTTTCAAAACAAATAACATCACAGTCAGGTCCACTTTCTTCAGGTCATAAGGATCTTATATACTCTGAAACCATTATTGAAACACTATGAAACTCATGTTTGTCCTTTCTAAAGAAGGGGAAATACGGTAGATATTAGTTTCTGAGGCATAATGTGCCTTTAAGCAAAAATAAACTCATTAGTATAATTAACTTTGAAAACAAGTGTTTTACTGTGCTTATATTACTAGTTGTATAATACATTTGTAAATTCCTGATTTTGGTATTCACAAAGCAAGAATTAACATAACAATCCTTTTGATGTTTATTTATACTCTAACTTTAATATTTATTTTCAGGCTGACCAGTTGACTGAAGAACAAATTGCTGGTATGTTTTACCTTCCGAACATGATTGAAATTAGAGTTGAAATCTCCATAAAAGACATATATTTGTAAATGCATTTTGTTATTGTCATTGATAGAATGCGATTTTTTTTGGAAAATTTATAGTTTATTGTAATGCTGACCATCAATTACGATTGTAAAAACTTATCTATAGGAATTTGACTTGGATTCACAAACCACTGGTAACAAAATGATCAATCTGTTGGGACAGAGATGATAAAATCTCTGCTTAAATATCCGCACTGTGAGTTGTATATATCTCTTTTTGGGGGCTAAAACTGCCACATTGTCATGGCAGTGCACTGGGAAATGAAACCTTTTCCTCAGCGGCATCAGGTGGGTAATTGCAAATCATCTTGACTGCAGTACACATTGTAGTGGATGCCATTAAAGAACACTTTGATTTTACCTATTTGAAATTGAAGATTTAATAGTTGAATATGTTGGTTTTATTCAAAAGTTCTGTGTATTCAAGATCCTTATCGTGACATTGAATACTAAGTTATGTTTCTTTGCCATTTAAAAGAATTATTGCTCAAGCTGTTATAATTTTTCAGAATTTAAGGAGGCGTTCAGTCTTTTTGACAAGGATGGTGATGGCACAATCACAACAAAAGAGTTGGGAACAGTAATGAGGTCCTTGGGACAGAATCCTACAGAAGCAGAGTTACAAGACATGATTAATGAGGTGGATGCCGATGGTTAGTTTTGAAGCATTTTTTTTTTGCTGATAATTATCAAGCATTGGAAAAGCAACATTTCTAAAGTTGCTACATGTAACTTTTTTCAACATTTGTTCTTTTGATATGCAGTTGTTTTGAAAGTAATATATAGAAGGTACGCAGTGTCTTCCTTTGTGATGCTGAAAACTACTTATCATTAAAGATAACTTTGGTTTGCTTTAAATCTATATAGGTGTGACAGGAGAAAATGTATAGCCTTACATGAATTCGAACTTGGGACCCACGGAATACCGTTTCTGCTTATACATCTCCCCTTGATAGTGAACAGTTCTGAACTGTGACATACTCCCCTGCTATATTAAAATTGTTCTCAAATTTCTAAGGGTTACAGAGTAATGCTAATTAAACTCTGAGCTTTATCCAGTCATGGCCCCATGTTGGGCACCAAATGTTGTAAAGTGAGAAAATGGGCAGCCTGACCGGGACCCCAACCCGTACCCTGAGGAATACTGTTACACAGATCTTCTGACTGAGCAGACAAGCCGCTTGCACATCTTACCCCCTTAAAAGTGAACAGTCCTGAGCCATGACATAGCTGAAAATAAATACAACAATAGCAGTATCTGTCAGTACCTCCAGTATTAAAACAGTATTAGGTACATCAAAAATTTATACTGGAGCAGGCTTCTGTTAGATGAGGATGATTTTTCAAAAAAGGCTTTTACTGAGCTATGTTGTTTCTGTTAAGGTATGACTGCTAATATTATAGGCACTATTAGGAACTGAAAAATTGACAATATAGGATAATTATATGCTTGAAATGTCACCTGAATGCAAAATTAACCATATGGTGTACAACTTATGAACCTTATTCTGAACTACATGGCTATTAGAAAAGCTTTTTTCAGAAATGAGAAAACCTTTAATAATGTATAGTATCATCGTTATGAAAAATGTTTTCCTGTTGATCATTGTTAAGAAATGAATTTTTGTTTCCAATTGGAATGTTTGACATATATATTTAAAGTTTCCCTACTCCACCCATTTTAAACACTTGTTTCATTATTTCCTACTTAGAGAGCCTTATACAAAATATCCTGAAAATTTTATATATGTATAAACCAACATGCAGTTAGTTATTTTTTACTTTCAGGTAATGGAACTATAGACTTTCCAGAATTTCTCACCATGATGGCTAGAAAAATGAGAGACACAGACTCAGAAGAAGAAATTCGTGAAGCATTCCGTGTATTTGACAAAGACGGTAATGGATTTATTAGTGCAGCTGAATTGAGACATGTGATGACAAATCTAGGAGAAAAACTTACAGATGAAGAAGTAGATGAAATGATTAGAGAAGCTGATATTGATGGTGATGGTCAAGTAAACTACGAAGGTAAGATGATTTATGTCCAGTTATAACTTAAGTAGTGTCCTAGAAATTTTTCAGGCTTCTAGTGAGAAAGCTAGTTAAAGTATTTCTGATTGTAGTAAATACATTCAATAACGTGTTAATGTTTCGGTACCAAAAGCCTAACTGTTTTCATTAAATGGCAATCAGTCTTGGTTCAGCCAGAGTCATTGGTCTTAATTGCTTATCTGATTTAATAGAGGTAACTTTTGCCAAGCCCTCTTGCGGAGAGTTCGGCATAGTTGTCACAATGGGGATTTGGTGTATGTACGTGCTACTGTCTGGATTATGCTTGTCCTGGTCGTAACTCGGTCACAAGTCGGCAGAATTTCAAATAACTTAGCACAAATGTTCACAATAATGAGACAGCATTTCATGTGCAAGAACCATGTGGCTAGATCAAAGGTCAAGGTCATACTTGAAGTTCAAATGCAAAATAATGACCCCAAACAGCTTATCTCCACCATTTTTCTATCACTAGCTGGTGAAATTTCAAATAACCTGGCACAAATGTTCAATATGATAAGATGGCGTGTCACGCGCAAGAACCAATTGGCAAGGTCAGATGTTAAGGTTTTACTATCATCTGGATTATGCTTGTCTGGGTTGTAACTCTGTCATTAGTAGGCAGAATTTCAAAAAAACTTATCACAAGTGTTCACAATAATAATACGGTATGCTCCAATAATGAGACGGCATGTTGTGGGCAAGAACCGTGCTGGTACAGAAGATCAACATAATTTGACTGCATGTTCGCCGCAAGAACCATTTGACTAGGTCAAAGCTTTAGGGCATACCTCAAGATCAGATGTGACAGCAGGCTGAACATGTTGCCCTTGGGCATCTAGTTGTTCATATTTATGAACAAGTTGATAGATGCCTCATTAGAAAATTTATTGTACAGACACCATTTCAGCGTTTGACACAAAAAACTTTTTTATACTTTAAGTATTACACATAGTAGCTTTTTAAATCCTGACTTTCCTTAAGTGGAGAACCAGTCTGTTGTACCCACCATTTTGTTAAAAGTAAAATGCTTAACAAAGGCTAGTGAAATGCTTAATGGTGTGTAAACCAAAGAGTTCTGCACAGTTTTGCAGCTGAAGTCTTTAATGATAGTTATTCTTTAGTAAAAGTAAAATGTCTGTAAAATATAGTTTATTCTTGGGTATTTTTATGTTCTTGAGTATTTTTATGCTGTTGAATTTGTTATAAAGTAATTTAAGTTTATCAGACTTTCTCCACTCATCCCAGTCAGGGATTCCTAATTTTAAAAGTGTCAGCAAGACTTTTCTCCCCAGAATTGTGAAGGGGAGGACTTCTGTATAGGCAGAGGAAAAGAAAAAACATGACTATAATAATTTATTTTCAGTGTTGAACAACGTTTTAGCTGGATAACCAGAGGGAAATACCTTTTGATTTTAGGAGTCCTTTCTGAAAGGAATGTATGAAAAAAAGTTACATGATGAATTCAGCAATTTGATAAAATTTATTTGATTTTCACAGAATTGCTTTCACAAAGGAAGAAGCAATTTTGAAGACTTGCACTGCCACAATAGAAAATTGTGTCTTGAAACTCCTTATCATCTTTGTAGTCACTAGACCAGGATTTTTTTGTTAGCATGCCAGTTTTGGAGTTCCTTCCCAGTATTTGGTGTCCAGGGTTCTTTGGGATACCCTTGTTGTTGAGGGCTGATTTCTCTGATAATTTTTGGAATGCCTGAGAAACTTTGTTGAATTTATGCAATGACATTTATTCTTAATTTGTATTTTTGTGCTTTTAGAATTTGTGACCATGATGACCTCTAAGTAAAGACTGACTGCTACATATTTTTTACCAATTGTGGGACTAGTTGTTGATGTCATGTTGGGTGTGAACGGATGTGGACAGTATTTCCAGTTTTACAGGCTCTGTCGCAGGAATACAAAGAGCATTATTAACAAACTGCCTTGTCAGATTCAGTTCATGTTCAGAACTTTTAAATGATTCCAAGTATTCATTGGCAAGTCCCGAAATGTTGTACTGTGAATTTTTAAATATCTAACAAATATAAAGAAATGATTGACTATTCTATTAAATTAAACGAACAAAAAGATACTTTCTTATTCACAATCCAATAAATCATTTTTTATTTCTGTAGGACTTACCGAATTAGATACATTTATGTTCATGTTTGCGGTTTGGTGTGTTATTTACAAACTTTGTATACTATGAATTGATAAGTCATAATTTCATATGAATTGTACTTTTATTCAGTGCCTATTTAAGTGGTATATCGAATTTGCTATAAATGATGTTATTTTATTATTTTATATCATTGTCAAGTATATATTGTTTTGGATTGTGAATGATTTTTACGTGCAATTTTTTCTTGGTGTAAATGTTTTAGAAGTTATATACTTGGGGGAGAAATATGTTGCATCCATCAAATTCTGTCATCTGGAAAAAAGAATGTGCTCATCCATTTTCTGAGTAATTGTGATATATTTGTCTTAATTTTGTTTTAAAAACTTGCATTCCATCTTGGTTGACAAGCTTTCTGTTTTTAATAATTTTTTTTTTAAATCAGGATATTCATTATGATGGATTTGTCCATGATTAAGGCGTAAACCTTATTGTTTAGATTGCCTGTTTTTATATTTCTTAATTTTCTTTTATATATATATGTATTTTTATAGGGCCTTTCACTGGTTATCGCAAAAGAAAATCATTTTTTAGGAAACCCTTTTTATAACTAAGACAATTTCTTATGGGAATTAAAAGTTGCTTTTTGTCTACATTTGAGCAATAATGTAAACATTTGACTAGATGTATGTTATTGTTGAACACAACCTTTTAAACTACTAGTCAATGTCATTTAAATAGTCTGGCTATGACAAGTCATTTTCCAGGTCATTTTATTTCTTGTCACATTCTACATCTTTTACACTCTTTCTATTTATTGTTCTTTATGTACATATGGCTTCTTAAAGATGAAAATAAAATTATAAATTCTATTACTGCCTTTTATGTTAATTTATTACTTTACCTGAGCATGTTCTCATGGTGAGCTTATTTTGATCCCTGTCAGTCCTTGTTTGTTGTCAACAATTTCTTAAAGCAGTATGCCTCCAGCTTCATGTTTCATGAAAAATTTTAAATTGTATTTATTAAGTAAAATATGTTAAGTATGTGTTGCAAACAACACTTAAAGTCCATATAAATTACTGAAATGAGGTCAAATATGCGAAAATAGCCCTCACTGTGTAATCAACACAGTAGAAATAATTGTGATTAATACTAAAAAATGGTCATTTATCGCACATAACATTATTACTTTTTAGTACTTTTTCCCCCAAGTTTGATTTTCTTGAAGTGCTTTGGGGTATGTATAATCACAGAGCTATATCTAAATTTATCTGTAATAAAAGTGTCTGGTATAATAATTATCTGCTTTTCTAATACCCAAGACATTTGGCATCAAACAACATCTGAGGGATCTCTACCAATTTTAATTGAAATGTGATTATATGGTCAAAATTGACATTGCGTTGGGTGATTGTTTTTCTTATATGTAAAGCTTTAGATAAATTAGAGGAAACAATATTCTCTACAAGATCAAGACTGTTCAAACAATTCACGTACATCGGCGTTACTTCATAAAAACGACTTCAATCACATTTTATCAGTTTATTTCAATTTTTATATCAGCAGAAGTTTAGTAAATATCACTTGCCTACCGAAAATCGAAATTATACGGTATAATATGCATTGTTGTACTTATAAGAGCCGACAAAAAGCCAAAATCTCGCTCAAAACGGTGGTCAAGCCATCATTTTCACGAATGATCTTGAAAAGTAAACAATTTCGTGGAAATAATCTTGATGAGGGATAAAGAGTAATGTCTTCGCAGCCGTATGCGGCTATTCCTTTTTTCCAGTTCGATTAAATAAAAAATATATTGGCCAGTTTACTTACCGCGTTGGAAATCCTGTCAGTTATCCGCCATTTATTGCACAATTCTGCGTTACTTATTGCACGAATCGTGCGTTATTTTCACATTCCGGCGTTACTGGATATACACGGTGTTATAAGGTGTCGTGGGTTTTCCCTTTCTGTCCCATACAATTAAAAAGTTTTCAACGGTGTTGATTTTGAGGTCAAAGGTTGTCCTTTCATCAGTTGAGCGCTTTAGGGCTAATAAACCCCTTGTCAAAGGTCCTGTAACACAATTTTTATGGTTTTAAATCATAAATATGATGTAAATTAAGATTTATCATTATGCTCTAATTCGTTACACTCAAACGAGCATAAATCATTTACATTCTTTAATAATACACCTTTGAAATAATAAACAACACAACACAGAGTTTAAAGAGGCTAGAGGGAGTATTTGTAAGCCGTCTCCACTAACCGTTTATTTTCCCAACCAACAAAAACAAAATTCTGGATATAAATCTTCATATCAATTTTTGTTAAGACAAAAGTCCAAAAAAGCTTCCATATGACTTATAGTAATAAATTTACTAAGCAAATTCATCTGTTAAAAGATGCCAAATATTCGTGTAAAAGTAAAGAAATATAAACTTTCCAATATAACTGAATAATAGAGTTTTGTAGAAACAGAAGTTTTTGGAAATGTTCGAAAAGTCAGGTTGCTGCGAGCGGGATACCCAACCCTAACTCCAACGTGGGAGGGGGGGGTATTGATGAAGGATTAATCCAGGCTCAAGACCAGCGGCTCCTTCGAACCTACCTGACATAAAACCCAAATTTAGAGGTCTAAAAATTTTTGTCATAATGGAAAAAGGAAACGAATTTTGAAAATTATAAATAAACAAAAACACAGATAATTTGTCACTGAAATAAACTCAGTTCATGTACATAATTATATGCAAACAGAATAATAATTCACAATGAATCAAAACGGAATTAAATGAATATGCCTCATCAATTTTGAAAGTCCCTTTTTTTTCTTCTTTTTTTTGCGTATAAAGACACACGTTTACTTTGCTCTGAGCTGTGCATAATCCTGAAAAAGAAAACAATTGTAAGAAACATTTAAGAATGCCCGCTTTACTAATCACAAGAAACTCGTGCACTATTGCCGCCAAAAACATAACTTCCGATTACTTCCTTATAAGGAAATACTAAGTTACGGTGTATGATTCCGATAATAAATACATATATTGTAGGCTTCAAAAAGCATTATTTATAAAGATATTTAACATTTCATGTAAATAAAGGGAGGTTATAAAAAATTTACTTTCTATAAAGTTTAAGTCAAATTTTACAATAAGAATTGAGTGCATATATTTTAATGATAACATATAATATGCACACATATTTGCAGTACATATTTTACATATTCTTCGATATTTGAAAATTGTTTTATTTGCATAATTATGTACATACAAGATACAAGAAACTTTATTTTAAGTCCATATATATAATTTCATCTAGTGTGGTCTACCACTTTGATCACAACATACAGGATCTTTAAAGCAATGTCAACTGACCCCCAACCTGGCATATCTTTGGTATAGCAAGTATCGACATAATGCTTAACAGGTAGATAGATCTTGTCAATGAAATATGTTCAAGAACCATATTGCTCTTTTAGCCAAATTTTGTAGCTACAGCCCTTTGTAATTTTATGCTCTCCAAAGGAAGAGCTAGCAATATTACAGTCACCCCCTGGTGAGAATTTTTTTAAAGATTTTGAAGGAATTTGACATGAACTTGACAAAGTTACAGAGACTGGTGAAAGTGCAATGTACAAGAATGCTTCATTTTTTAATTATTTCCCAGAGTTTAATAATGCTTGTCCATTTTTACATTAATATCAATGATATCTCAAAGAAACTTAAAACCGTTAAAAGACAAGTGAACGAAAATGCAGAGTCAAAGAACCATTACTTGAAATTGCTTTTTTTCAATTATCTCCATTTATAGTACTTGTGTATTAGGAAGGACAATTTCAAGGAACCATAATTTACCTTGCTTTAGTACATCTCCCTTTTTCATCCTTAGAAAATGTTAAGGACGTTTTCGGGAGTTTTCATATACATGTAGACATATAGGCAAAATGAAAATTGTTCAATAGAATTTCTTTAAACTTGACAAGTTGTTAGAATATGATAACAGAAACATTTTAAGCGAAAAACATTGGGGTCATCATTCTCGTTTTTGAGATATCTGCCCCAGAATTAGAATTTTCTACTTATTTGTGTTCATTTCAAGGGCAGATAATTTATACATACTTAAACGAATTCTTGTTTTTACTTCTGGATTATGTTTTTCTTTTTATTGTTGAGTACAATACATAATAACATGCAATTCCTTAAACCGTTCTGTTTTTTTTTGTTTTTTTTCAATGAAAATAAATGTACTTTAAATTCTTAAAAAATATGCCAATTTTTAAGGAAAAAATGCACAGGTTAAAAGAAGTGGAAATAAAACTATCCACACTAAATTCGTTCTTGAAATTTTGCATATCGACTAAAACGAAGGTAAGCTTCATTAAAATAAGGAAAAAAATGTATTTTTTCCCTTCATTGTAAATTATCTGTAAATTATCAGATCATAGCGTCTTGATTGAAACACAACTGTAGACCAGTCCAGAGGAAGTGCTGTTTCAAAGAACCCTGTTTTAACTTATCTTTTATGATACATAATAATATTGCTCCTGCGAATAACTTGAAATGTATTGAAACAATTCTATTATAACACATCACAAAGTGATTGACAAGAGATCTATATAATGCTACCTTGCTTTTTGACTGAACGGAGATTAAGATGAGTTACTGTCAACTGCATTTTTAGATAATTTTGAAGCATTAACGGTTGAAGGCTATATAACCCGAGCAGTTTCTATAGGCGAGGGTTATATTGCGAACAACCGTTTTTACATGTCAGACATCTTTATAACTATTTAATAATCAGCATAACGTAAATTACTTCATCCAATTATATCCTTAGTTATAAAGATTTTTGACAGGTTATATATGTCTCTAGGTATAATGACCCGAACCGTAAGGTAGGTGTTATATTGCAAAGAACCGTTTATATACGGCCATATAACACTATCAAGAATATCTATTATACGAATTTATAATACTGCAAACTTCTAATATTGGAGATTGGGTTATTTTTCCAAACAACCGTTTATATAAGGCCATATAACTGTCAAAATCTTCATAATGATAATCTAAAGATCATTGGTCACGATATCCAATGAAAAACGACGATAAAAATGCGCAATATTAAAAGGAACACATTTAAATAGTCTTCGTTTGTGAAATTACAATGCCGGAACTTAGATATCTCTACAACAGTTACATTCATCATGCCACTAGTGTAAAGAAATTGCCCCGCCATGGGGTCATCATTTTATAAGCAATTTACTAAATTTACGAGTAATATTAATTACTTTTATCAAAAAAGAAACCTCTTCTCCCGGAACTAAATACTGAAGCATAGATATTTGACATGTAGCATAATTATCCTATTTTGTAAATTAATCATATTTCATTTCGGTAACGCGAGCAACTCAAGTATCAAGGAAAATTCCAACTAATTATAACCATCTTTCTCCTCCTATTTATAAGATCAGACAAGCCACAATCTTGTTTCTTCCTTATTTATTTTAACTAGACCAGTTCCAGAGGAAAGTGCTGTTTTCTTAGTTTTAACTTATAATACATGAATAATATTGCTCCTGCGAATAACTTGAAATGTATTGAAACAATTCTATTATAACACATCACATAGTGATTGACCAGATATCTATATAATGCTACCTTGCTTTTTGACTGAACGGAGATTAAGATGAGTTACTGTCAACTGCATTTTTAGATAATTTTGAAGCATTAACGGTTGAAGGCTTATATAACCCGAGCAGTTCTATAGGCGAGGGTTATATTGCGAACAACCGTTTTTACATGTCAGACATCTTTATAACTATTTAATAATCAGCATAACGTAAATTACTTCATCCAATTATATCCTTAGTTATAAAGATTTTTGACAGGTTATATATGTCTCTAGGTATAATGACCCGAACCGTAAGGTAGGTGTTATATTGCAAAGAACCGTTTATATACGGCCATATAACACTATCAAGAATATCTATTATACGAATTTATAATACTGCAAACTTCTAATATTGGAGATTGGGTTATTTTTCCAAACAACCGTTTATATAAGGCCATATAACCTGTCAAAAATCTTCATAACTGATAATCTAAAGATCATTGGTCACGATTATCCAATGAAAAGCGACGATAAAAATGCGCAATATTAAAAGGAACACATTTTAGATATTCTTCGTTTGTGAAATTACAATGCCCGGAACTTAGATATCTCTACAACAGTTACATTCATCATGCCACTAGTGTAAGTAATTGTCCCGCCATGGGGTCATCATTTTATAAGCAATTTACTAAATTTACGAGTAATATTAATTACTTTTATTTAAAAAAAACACCTCTTCTCCCGGAACTAAATACTGAAGCATAGATATTTGACATGTAGCATAATTATCCTATTTTGTAAATTAATCATATTTCATTTCGGTAACGCGAGCAACTCAAGTATCAAGGGAAAATTCCAACTAATTATAACCATCTTTCTCCTCCTATTTATAAAGATCAGACAAGCCACAATCTTGTTTCTTCCTTATTTTATATTAAAAGGTATTTTCCTTAAAAAATTAATCTCTTTCGAATCTTATTAACATTTAATTGAAAGTAAGGGCGCTTAAGCATGAATATGCTTGCTATTCGTTCTTATTAAATATAGAATTTATACAATCCGAATGTTTTTACATCTATTTACATATCAATAAGATTTATGACAAGGTTCCAAATCGAGACTGAACTCATATGTCCGAGACTAATTCCCATTCATACAGGTTTCTCTGATTTTAGTTATTATAAGCGCACGATTCATGTTAAGCTGTATGATAATGCTCGTCTATTCTGGCCGGAATGAATGCAAAACACCATGAACAATAAATATTTTATCTAAAATTTGAAATATTTCCAAAGAGCTTGTTGTACAAATATTTTCCTATTATTCAATTAATTTGTAATTAAAAAAAATTGTGTTTTTGTCACATCGATTGTTCTAGCTGTACTGATCAGGGTCTTTCAAATAGAAACTTATCTGAAATCTACTTGAAAGACCCTATATATCTATAATAATGATATAGATATCATAGAGACCATATACTGAAAATTAGGTGTACTTGTATAATTTCTGCAATCATGGGAAGGTATCTAAGTAAAGATTTAACATAACGTCTAATGATATTAAATTGCCAGCTTTCATTATATCTTCTATCAATGTACAACTTCAATTAAAATTAAGAACAGATAAGACCCATATATTCACAAATAAGTATGTGTTTCTGTACAAAAGATAGACCGGTAATTTCAAAATTTATTGGCATTTCTCAACCTGTTAAGCTTATCAAAAGGGTAAGAAAGAAAGCAACTATTGTGTTTGTCTTCGTATAAAAAGAATGAAATCTAGGTCCGAATATTAAGCTGTTAAAATATGTTTGTCGTTGTAATTAAGAAAAGTATTATCAAGATTAAAGATGTGACATGATCTATAATCTTATACAGAGATATAAATCAGTAAAGATTTTTTCTTTTTCGAATAAATGTTAAATTAGATTAACCCAGAGATTTAGATACATTCACAAATCTAACTTGAGGAGTTATTTACATAATTATAATTTCCATAAAATATTCAATCTGTCATTTTCATTACTAAGTATGTTTATTGTGTTTTAAAACCGTGTAAAGTGCGTGTAAGTCCGGCAGATAACATATCTTAATACTTTTTACGGCCCATTATAGCAGTTACAGAACTTGCTTACAATTTCTAACTGTCTATACGCAGAGAGTAGTTTCCGATTGTTCTATTAGTATATTTTGTGGAGTTCGACCTCAACTCATGTAATTTTCAAACAAACTTAGATAATGGGCACTAACTTCAAAACTCTACAAACATTTAATCATTTTAATATGAACAAAAACAGTATTTTATGACTATTTGAACTATATATGTTATTAATATATTTAATATAATTCTAATCAAGTCAAGATGAATGTCAATACAACGACTAATTAAGTTATTAGCATGCGATCTAATCATATTTTTATCTTTTTATCATAGTTTGTCTACGTTTTCCTGTTAAAGTTACGAGTGATAATGCTTTCGGTGACGTTTTCGTATTTCCCTTTTTATTCTGTTTCCACAATTCTGGGGTTTTGAATAAGTCAGTCCATCTTAGAGATGGTCCAGAGTCGATATCAGACGCGTTAGCTAATGTTGATGACATCATCCACGCGTCGTCACGTTTAAAAACTTCAGCGGCCACGTCATCTGTCTCAGTTCCCCTCGACACATGTTTGTCTGTTGATAAAACAGTTTCTCCAGAGCGCATATTCTTAGATGTAGGCGATAAACTTGTATCATTCGGAAACAATGGATTTTGTCTTTTTCCTTGTTGTACATAAAACCGCCTTTGGTCTGATCCTACAGAGAACTCATCCTGTGTAAATACATCTTTGAAATAATCGTCTTCATTAAGTACAAATGATTCACTTCTCTTATTTTTGGTTTCTGACTGAGTTACAAAAACATCATTTATCATTTCGTCGAAGTCACTTTTAGAAGAAGAATCCGAACTATCGTTGTGCTGGCTTTTTTTAACTGTATGCTTTGATACATATTCCCTGTCGTTCAGGATATCTTCAATGACGTCACCTGCATGTGACCCACGTAATACAAACAGAGCTTTTTCTAACTCCTCGCGGGACTCTTTACCTAACACATCAAGCACAGTGGTGTTATTTTCCTTCGACTTTCTTTTAAAAGCATCTGTATATAATTTATGTAATGTCTTTGTCACTTGTTCCGCCTTCTTTACCAAACCTACAGACTTCGATTTTGTTTTCAGCATATTGTTTTCTGCTCTTTCCTCTTGCTGTTCCCTTAACACATCTAGACTACCAAGAACTGGTGCAGACCGGTTTCTTGGGGCTCCATTTGAATAAACAGACCACGAACTGATTAAAACGGGATTTTGTCTTTCCCTGTAACTGGGAGTGGAATAAGATCCTGATACATTCTGATTATGTTCTATGTTTGGAAGTTGGGATCCACCCTTCGGTACATGTCTCCTGCTCTTTAAGCGCTGACTCTCCTGTCTTAAGCCTTTTTTCAATGAAGGAGTTTTATATCTAATATCCCTCAGCTGTGTTCGTAGATAGTTCTGTTCCCATTCATTGTTTATTCTACAAACAGATTTAGCCCGATCCATTGCACGTGAGTATTTATCTAAAGTCTTCATTTCTCGTGCATTAATTTCACGTGTTTTTATCTGATCTTGAACGTTCAGTTTCAAATAAACACTACAAATATTCCCGTCATGATATAAATGTCCTAAATCTGGATTAGAACTCATATTCTGCTATTGCCAAAAATATATATAGATCTAAATGAAAAATTCTAGCAAAGACAAAATACTAGCACTTATGTTGCCGTATCACCTTTCAAATGTTCGTCCACATTATTCACTGCAAATGTTTTACATTAGCATAACATATAAATATTGAAGCGTAATATTTATTTCCAGTTTGTTTACGAATGTTGCACAATTCAAAGTCAGTTTGTAAATACAAGACAGCTTATTGGTTATATAACGGAATCTCTTAATCCTCTCAAACAATTTGTATAGCATGAAATGTAATATCATGCAAGGTTTAATGAAAATTATCTTAGATATTTAAGTTTTAACACCTTTTGTGTTAATTACATATTACGTTCAATAGAAATATCCTTTTTATGTTACCTTTACAAAAGAGGAATTAATTTTGAAATTTCTACACTGCACACTCAAATATTAGAAACCTTTGTCGCTATCTGGCCGGTTTTAGTAATTCCACTTACAAGTATGTTTACGTCATCAGAGCTTATTTATTTATGAAAATAACCAAAAAAGATCCAGTTTACGATATTTTCAAAATCCCCACCTTTGTAGATAAATGTTAATGGTTTTCGTGTAAATTCATGCTGATGTATGAACTATAACTTTGACTGCATGGGTTAGAGTATTACATTTAAACAAATACCAGCAAATAAGCTCAATCTCGATATGTTCCATTATCTTTAATGTTTGCCATATACGAGCCGGGAAAATTACAAGTGTTTTCATATCTAGATCGTTCAACGTTGTCAACTTTCAAATTGAAAATGTTAATATTTGTCATGAAAGCACTTGACATTGTGCTATTTGCTATCTTATATTAAAATATTTGATTGATTAAGCAGATACACTTATATCTTTGTACTATACTAAACTGGACCGTGCGTCATGGGTATTGGTAAAACACTCACTGTAACGTGATGACCATTTTATTTCCATTCTTTTGATAAAGTTGGGTATTAATATTTCGATATAAAGTTTCTTTTAAAAGTACACGTTAAATCGATTTATTAGCAATAAATTCATTCGCATTTCCTCCTATGAAAGTCTTGAATGATATTTTGATCTTTTCTTATTAATATTGTCGTTTCTACTTAAAAATCAAAGGCGAAGAAGATCAAGTTTATTTCTTTTTTCCTTCTTTTTTGTTATTGTAAAAAAACGTAAGCGTTAAACATGAATAAATGAAAAGTGATAGTGACAACTTTTAAATTATGACTGACAATTTTCAATTTTAATTCTTATTTATTACATTCCTTAACATACACTCTTATGGGGGATAAAATTGTCTTTCATCACAATCTCGAGGTTTTTTCCCCCTACATTACATTTGAACGTTAAATTATACGAATCAAATAAATATAGTGTAAAAATTAAAGTAAAAAAAAACGCTTGTTTATATTAATGTTTAAGTACGCGAGGATTAATTCTAAGAGTGACACTGAATGAATAAAATGGAAGAAAAATAATTCCGTTCTCTACAAGGGTTCACAAGGACATGGCATACAAATTTCAAGTTGCAAATATGTCAAAACAAAGTTGTTATATTCAATGATTTTTTCTGATTGATTGCCTACATCTAACAAAAAGCATGCCTGACAGGTTACACTGGCTGATACATAACTGTACATGTATTAATGAATTAATATAACATATGTTTTAACAGTAAGAGATTCCAACACTGTTTCTCTTTACGAAAAAAAAGTTTTGTTGTTGTTGTTGTTTTTGTTGTAAGTAAGTAAGTAAGTAAGTAAGTAAAGGCTTTATTTATCGAGGCTACACATTTGGTTTCCCAATCTTCCATGTGGGCCTCTAATAAAAACATAATTTACAATATATACAACTAAAATATTACAAAAATAATTGCAACAACATTATGTTACAATGTACATTGAAATTGTCAGAACAAGAAATACATGTTAAATATTTACAGTCCATTCATAGCATAATACATGTCAAAGAAGTACATATCAAATTAAAAGAAGTGGGAAATACTTTTAAGGTGGTACATCAAATGATTGGATTCTAATTTTGTTATAAAATGATTAATTTAATGATGAGAAATGCCATGTGTGTTGTTGTTGTTGTTTTGTTCTCTTTTTTTTTGGGGGGGGGGGGGGGGAGTGGTTGTTGTTTTATTTTTTTCCGGAGAAATATATGGGTTATTATGTGAAGGCCTTAAAATGTCAGGTGATTAGACGCCTTGATCATATTATGAAAGAAAATATGTTTTATGTATTCATATTCAAAACACATACTAATACATACAATTTTAGAGTGCAAAGGAAAATGTCAGATTTAACTTCAGTGCAATAAGAGATTAAATTAAGAAGAAGAAAAATGAAGCATGTTCATAGGATACGGATGCCTCACATTCCACAGTTTTGCTTGTCTATCACAAAGCTTCCGGTGTAAAAAAGCACTACCCTTTATACTCTTTAAACAAAACGTTTGTCTCAAACGCTGCAAGAGTAACATATATAATATACATAATTATATTACTCAGAAAAGTGGAGCTATTGTCATGACCCTCTTGTCGTCGTTTGCATTAGTTGACCTTTTCTTTAAAGTCCGGTTTTCTTTTTTTCTTCAGAAACTGTAAAAGCTATTCACTTCAAACATGATATAGGCTACATGTTTATTGTAATAAGAGGATACCTTTTCGAAAGTGAATATAATAATAATTATAATATAAACCTAAAATTCATTTCTGCAAAGCTATGTCTTTTGTACTTCTAATATTATTAATTTCTCAAAAAAAAAGAAAGAAAGAAAAACACACAAAAAACAACAAACAAACAAAAAACGCCAAGGTCAGAATGAATACATGTTATATTTAAATTTGAATGCATTTCCAAAGGGCAGGTGACTTTTTTTCTCAGGGTATTCTCTTTAATTTTATAGTTCTTGTTCACATGCATTTGTAGGGGAAGGTAATCCAAAAGCCTTTTTTGCTTTATTAATTCCCTCCTTGTTTGGCTTAGAAAGGTATTCACTTCAAACTTGAAATATTTATTGACTATCAAGGGCAGGTAAGACTGATAAGCATGTTTGTAGAGTTTTGCCCCTTTTATATGGTGCTTAACCAGCACTGAAAAAAGTGATGCGTGATGTCCTCGGACAGATTTTTTTTTATCCCCCGCCGCCTTTTATAGAAATAGTCTCCGTCCGTCCGACCTTCCGTCCTTCAGTCCGACATTTTTGTCCGGAGCATTTGAGGTATCAACTTGAAACTTCATAGGTGGATAGACCTCATTGAAGAGGAGTGCAGTGCACAATAATGATAACTCTACCCTGCATATTTTTTGAGTTATTGCCCTTTTTTATTTTTCAAAATTAATTTTTGTACAGAAATTAACTCAAAAAGCCTTTGAGATATCAACATGAAACTTCATAGGTGCACAGATCTCACTCAGGAGGTGTGCAGTGCACAATAATGATAGCTCTACCTTTCATAATTTTTGAGTTATTGCCCTTTGTTATTTTTCATACTTAATTTTTCACCTGAGTGGAGCATAACTAAAAAAGTGTTTGAGATATCAACATGAAATGTCATAGGTGGATAGATCTTATTGAGGAGGAATGCTATGTGCAAGAATGATAACTCTTCCCTATACAATTTTTGAGTTACTGCCCTTTGTTCTTTTTCATACTATTTTGTCGGGAGCTTATCTCAAAAAGTATTTGAGGTATCAACTTGAAACTTCATAGCTAGATGGATCTCATTGAGGAGGAGTGCAGTGCACAAGAATGGTAACTCTACCCTGCATAATTTTTTAGTTATTGCCCTTTGTTATTTTTCAAAATTAATTTTTGTCCAGAGCATAACTCAAAAAGCCTTTGATATATCAACATGAAACTTCATAGGTGCATAGATCTCACTCAGGAGGTGAACAGTGCACAAGAATGATAACTCTACCTTTCATAATTTTTGAGTTATTGCCCTTTGTTATTTTTCACACTTAATTTTTCACCTGAGTGGAGCATAACTCAAAAAGTGTTTGAGATATTAACATGAAATGTCATATGTGGATAGATCTTATTGAGGAAGAATGCTGTGCACAAGAATGATAACTCTTCCCTATACAATTTTCGAGTTACTGTCCCTTGTTCTTTTTCATACTATTTTGTCGGGAGCTTATCTCAAAAAGTATTTGAGGTATCAACTTGAAACTTCATAGCTGGATGGATCTCATTGAGGAAGAGTGCAGTGCACAAGAATGATAACTCTACCCTGCATAATTTTTTAGTTATTGCCCTTTGTTATTTTTCAAAATAAATTTTTGTCCAGAGCATAACTCAAAAGACCTTTGAGATATCAACATGAAATGTCATAGGTGGATAGATCTTATTGAGGAAGAATGCTGTGCACAAGAATGATAACTCTTCCCTATACAATTTTCGAGTTACTGTCCCTTGTTCTTTTTCATACTATTTTGTCGGGAGCTTATCTCAAAAAGTATTTGAGGATCAACTTGAAACTTCATAGCTAAATGGATCCTATTGAGGAGGAATGCAGTGCACAAGAATAATAACTCTACCCTGCATATTTTTTTAGTTATTGCCCTGTGTTATTTTTCAAAATTAATTTTTGTCCAGAGCATAACTCAAAAGGCCTTTGAGATATCAACATGAAACTTCATAGGTGCATAGATCTCACTCAGGAGGTGTGCAGTGCATAAGAATGATAACTCTACCTTTCATAATTTTTGAGTTATTGCCCTTTGTTATTTTTCATACTTAATTTTTCACCTGAGTGGAGCATAACTCAAAAGTGTTAGAGATGTCAACATGAAATGTCATAGGTGGATAGATCTTATTGAGGAGGAATGCTGTGTGCAAGAATGATAACTCTTCCCTATATAATTTTTGAGTTATTGCCCTTTGTTCTTTTTCATACTATTTTGTCGGGAGCTTATCTCAAAAGGTATTTGAGGTATCAACTTGAAACTTCATAGCTAGATGGATCTCATTGAGGAGGAGTGCAGTGCACAAGAATGATAACTCTACCCTGCATGATTTTTTAGTTATTGCCCTTTGTTATTTTTCAAAATTAATTTTTGTCCAGAGCATAACTCAAAAAGCCTTTGAGATATCAACACATAACTTCATAGGTGCATAGATCTAACTCAGGAGGTGTGCAGTGCACAAGAATGATAACTCTACCTTTCATAATTTTTGAGTTATTGCCCTTTGTTATTTTTCATACTTAATTTTTCACCTGAGTGGAGCATAACTCAAAAAGTGTTTGAGATATCAACATGAAATGTCATAGGTGGATAGATCTTATTGAGGAAGAATGCTGTGCACAAGAATGATAACTCTTCCCTATACAATTTTCGAGTTACTGTCCCTTGTTCTTTTTCATACTATTTTGTCGGGAGCTTATCTCAAAAATTATTTGAGGTATCAACTTGAAACTTCATAGCTGGATGGATCTCATTGAGGAAGAGTGCAGTGCACAAGAATGATAACTCTACCCTGCATAATTTTTTAGTTATTGCCCTTTGTTATTTTTCAAAATAAATTTTTGTCCAGAGCATAACTCAAAAGGCCTTTGAGATATCAACATGAAACTTCATAGGTGCATAGATCTAACTCAGGAGGTGTGCAGTGCACAAGAATGATAACTCTACCTTTTATAATTTTTGAGTTATTGCCCTTTGTTATTTTTCATACTTAATTTTTCACCTGAGTGGAGCATAACTCAAAAGTGTTTGAGATGTCAACATGAAATGTCATAGGTGGATAGATCTTATTCAGGAGGAATGCTGTGCACAAGAATGATAACTCTTCCCTTTATAATTTTTGAGTTATTGTCCTTTGTTATTTTTCATACTATTTTGTCCGGAGCTTATCTCAAAAAGTGTTTGAGGTATCAACTTGAAACTTCATAGGTGGATAGATTTTACTGAGGAGGGGTGCAGCACACAAGAATGATAACCTACCCTGCATCATTTTTCAGTTATTGTCCTTTGTTATTTTCAGCCACCAGTATTCACATAGGTTTCAAATCTGTAATCACTTCAGCCATCAGTTTTCATTACCAAAAGACCTCTGCTCTACTACATATACATTCTTCAAATGAGCAAACGCATTCGGTGGGGGATGGCCATGTTGACATGGCTCTTGTTTTATTTTGTTTTTTATTGATAAAACCTTATCGGTTTGGTAAAATCTGTCCTTCATATTAATTTACCTGCAATATTATGATACTTTTGATATCCGTGGTTGTGTTTATAAATGCATTGCATCAAATGTGTATAAAGCTACATATCTGATGCAAAAATTATTGTTTGGATTTAAAAAAAAACAACTTCATTACAATGTCCAGACATCAATAAGGCAAGTATACATTTCGAAAACTACTCATCATCACACAAGAAAGACAGAATTATTGATAATTATGGCGGAATTCTTGTTTATAAAAGATAAAATACATATAGCTAAAGATTCGATCTAGAAATAACCAACACAGAATTTGGATTAAAATTAAATTTAGATGCACATTATGCCTCAGAAATACCAATTTAATATACCAAAAACAGTTTAATGTTTGTTTTTTTATTACAGTTTTCAAAGTCATACTCACTTGCCATATACATTGACTATCTTTTGAATATAGCTCTGTTGGCAATCTGTACAATTATAGTGAATTTGTATTTTGTCTGGAAGTCCACAATGAAATCACAACAAATAAAAAAAACAAATCAGAAAGCGCAAAAGAGCAAATAGATAGAGCCAAAAAGCCAAAAAATACACATCACTGGGTTAAGCAGTTAAGAAATAAAACGACACAACGTATTAGAAATGAACAACCGCGCTAGCAAACTTGCTGAAAAGTTTTTACCCTTTAAAAGGTAAAAATCTATATCTTATGAAATATTTTTATAAAATCTATCAACAGTAAAATTATATTGGTTTCATTATTATATGGCGCATTCCCGTAAAAGTTGAAACAAAGAATGTCTCTGTTATTTAACACACATGAATAATGTACATAAATAAAATGCATCATTTGGCTATTTTAAGTAGTGTTTTATCCGTTTAGCAATGACATTTTGTGCATGCGCCACTCGCTTTAAGGCAATTTATTGCCATTTTTATTTCATACAAGCATTTTGGAAGTATTCTTTTTTAAAATCCAAGCGATAAATTTTGCATCAGATATATAGCTTTATACACTTTAAGGTATAGATAAATATGCAATGTATAGCATTTTCTACACTAAGCTCGTCCCAAAGAGAAGAATAAAAGCTTATTTTTTGCGACGAAAAAAGCACAGCAAAGGTAGGTAGGTATTATCAAAAACTTGTTAAAAATGATGACTCTGGTCAAATGCGCGGGACTCCTGGTGTTCGCATTAAACTTATTTTGATCAGTCCATTTATGAAATTTTGAATTTAAAAAAAAAATCATTGTTGTAGCTCTTGAACAATGCTTGGCTCGTTCCAAGAATTGACATCACTATGACTAAATATATTTTGACAGGTGATGTTTATCGCACTTTCTTATTCTTTTAATCTGTGTCCCCTATATCAGTTCTTTCTCTAATTGGTAGAATTTCTTTTCTGATTTATTGACTTTGTTGGTTAAGTTTATATTGCGTCTTCTCTGTTTGTTATGTATTGTAGGGTGGGAATTCCTAAATTCACTTGTCTTTCACTGTATTCTTTATCCGATAATTCTCGCAGTACTTAGTACAGTAGCTAGTCTTCTCTCAACATTTTAATGGCGTCTTTTTGAATTTAGGTGCCCATATTACATCTTCATCTATGCAATACTGCTTTAAATTAAAATCGTTTACGATTACACTAAGCAGGTATACAATGTATACATTGGATTGAGAGACAGAGCTCTATGAGATACAATGGAATCCGGGAACCAGTCCCTGGCTCTTATTGAATAGATTCCTTGGTTAGTTTAAACATAGTTTATTTCAAACAATGATACAAGTACATGTTGTTAATACATTTACAATAATTAGATACACGAATGAAAAAGGATAAGAGCCGAAAGCTATAAAGCTTATAAAGGTCTTCTCCTACATATTTGCACAATGCAGTTAAATTATGACAGTGTTTGCAATATTGTTTGAAACAATGAAGTTAATTTTTAACATATTTGAAACGAAAAAAAACGAAGATTTTAGCTATTGTTCAAAAGATCTTTTTTTAAAGAATATAAATAATTGAAAAGAATAAGAAAGAAGGTAAAGAAGATTCATTCGATAGGTCAAGTTGGCCATATTATTTGCTCATGAAAATCGGTTACTTTCACGTATATATACATGAACTGCTTGAACAATTTTAGAATTAATGTCATGGCTAAGATTCTGGTCTCCGTTTAGTAAGGTATGAAGTGTTATAGTACAAATATTAGAAACAGCATCAAATAGTCTGAGTCTGATATCATTATAGAAGTGACACTCAAAGAAGAAGTGGTGGTTACTTTTCCAGGAGACCACATTGACAATTTGGTGAGGGGGACATATTTTTTCTGAATAAGTGATGGTTTAAAGAGCTACATTCTGTTCGGAGCCGTGTATGCATGACTTGCCATTTTCTTTCACCTATATAATAGTATTTGGGGCATTTTTTTTATATTACCTTTAAGTTGCGTTTTAAAGGAGGACAAATATATTGAGTTTTGTACGTCTCTTGAGAGTGAGTTCCGATCTCTCAAAGTATATGGCAGAAATGTATTATGGTAAAAAGTAGTTCTTCTGCGTGTTGTTTGCATATCAGAACCATTTCGTAAATTGTACCTCGACGTTTATGGTGGGACTAAGGACGATAAATAATCTGGTGTGAGACCATTTCTCATTTTGTAAAACAAAATAAGTTTGTGATTCTGTCTACGGCTTTCGAACGATTCCCAAAGAACTTCTCTTTGAAGTTTCCTGAAGAGATACAAGTTTAGTGGCCACTGTGACTATACGGGCGGCTTCATGTTGAATTTTATCAAGTTTCAAGTTTTTCATATTGTGTACAGTTGATCCGAGACTACATCGGCATATTCAAAAAGAGGTGGTATGAATGAAAGATTTATTATAAATAACTTCTAACGATTTTCTGTCTAGTATGAATTAAAGATTTCTCGTGATATGAATTCTTTTCCAGGTCTTCTCTTTGATAGACCTAATATGTACATGCCAAGAGCAATCATCAGAAAAGTAAAGACCAAGATGTTTATGACTATTTACTGAGGAGATAGGCTGATCATGCATTAGAAGTGGCGGTTGATAAGGCTTATTTGTTTTGCGTGACATGATCATAGTTTCCGATTTAGAAGGTTGAATGTTACAAGCCATTTATCAGCCCAACTTGAAATTTTATCAATATCAGATTGAAGAGTTGTCGCGGCAGCTATTGGATAGTCAACTATTATGTGCAAACTAGTATCATCGGCAAAGAGGTGTATACTTGAGTTTAAATCGTCAACAATATCATTAATGTATACCAGGAACAACAGAGGCCCAAGAATAGATCCTTGAGGAACTCCTGCATTTACAGTTGACCAATTAGAATGAGCTCCTGGAAGAACGACACATTGACGTCTGTTAGAAAGATAATCAGAGAACCAGTTCAGCAATTTTCCATTTAATCCAGCATTTTTTAATTTATAGAGAAGACCTTGGTTCTTTACATGCCCAGTGTATAGTACTGATACATATTTTTTAAAGTACACTTCTAGGTAGGTGGGAAACACTGAAAGTGTCTCTGAAAAATCCCAAAGATGTTACCCAGGATCGAACCCGGGACCTCAGGAGTGACATTCAGTTGTATTTAAGATGATGCCATAAAAAGGAATTTGCATATTTTTGTTGATGTCTTTTATTGAATACGTTTATACACATATGAATAAATTAAATTTTTTTTATAATATTTAGTGAATTTTACTAGATCTATATATCGATTCGTTAATGGCTTAGTAACTGTGCGAGACAATCGGAACTCCTCGGGCGACTTCAAGAATTCGAACTTGACGGAGTGCCGAGTTGTTACGATTGTGTGCGAGAGTCAAATCTTTGCGGTGATTGCATACTTTGGGTTTATATAGCTAGAGATCTTCAATAGAAGGAGAGAAAGGCTATATGTTTACAAATGGCGTCCTCGAATGTCGAATATTATCAAAAGCAGAAAGATTTACAAGATTCAATCATAGAAAAGTAAATAAATGATAATTGCAATTTTTAGTAATTTTATGGAAATGTTAATTATGTTTTCTACTATAGAATGTGTGCGTATACATAGTATTCTAATACGAAAGCATGTTTTGTTGGAACCATATCAGTTTCAAACGTGACAAAACACGCAAACCATTCTCATATAGAGTTATAGGTCTGAATAAACATGATAAACTATTTTAATGACTTTCACCTTAAAATATGAAAGTAAACCAAGCCTATGAACGGGAAGTCAGATAAAAATCAAATCGTTCATTCTTTATTTTACATTTTTCCTTTATTGCCTATTGGCAGTTTGGCTTTAACTGTTATTAATTTAATTCGAAGTGTCATTCGGCATTTCATGCTCTGTTTTGTTTTTTTTCAATCAGAACACCCCGACAATTATTCTTAAGCCAAAAAGTTGTGATTGTTATGTTATTGGAATACATTGTTGATTATCATTTTATTTTAGTCAGCAGTGTTTTTTTCCACCAAAATATTCGGCGAAATTCTCCCTATTCCCCCCTCAAAATAGTATGTTTTTTTCCCCCCTCAAAGCTGAAATTTCCCCCTATAATATGGCAGCCCAAAACTGCCTGCAATGAATATCATTTTTTTGCAACTAACTGCCGAAAAATGCTTTATTTTATGCCTTTAAGACTTACTGTTAAGCAAGGTTTTTCATATAGGTAAGGGAAGCTACTCCTGGTATCCCAACAAGTTTATCATGTGACACATCAATATTTTAGATCCGTATAAAAATCCCCCTCCTATTGCATTTTTCCCCCTCCAATGGGCACCGACCCCCTTCCCCCAAAAGTGAAAAAAAACACTGGTCAGGGCTCTCAGTAGGGTCAGAATTTCACGAGTCAAAGACTCTTTGGCTAAAATTTTCATGAGTCAAATAATTTTTTTCTAGTGTCATTTGACTACATGAATCATTATTATGTTACAAAAATAACTGTATTGGAGGTCATTTTTGGAGATTCCAAAGTCTAAATTGACAGAAAAAAATGCCTAATTATAAATGTCTATACCCCCACCACCTAAAAAACAAAACAAAAAACAAATAAAACAAAAACATGAATTGCTGTGAAAGAATAAAATAAGCAGCAGCTTTTCTGATTAAATGTATAAAATATAAAAAAATATCTTTACTGGTATGCTATATCATATTAATTTTAAATACCAAAATGTACCAGGAATATTTATAAGAAATGCACAGGTACTCCAAGTAAATGAAAGACGTATTATAAACCTTCAGAAGCAATCAATAATTGACACCTCAAGTATGTAATTCTTATCAGTTGTGTAGAGCTATTTTTAGCGCTGTCAAATTGCAGCCACTGAATTGTCGCGCTTCAGTGCACAGGGTATAAACAATTGCCGTGTGTAAAGCATTTTATACACATCTTATACTGCCTGTTGACATTTTTTATGAGTGTGATTTGAACACATGTAGGATTTGATAGATAATTAGGGGTGGATTTAAGGTAATTATTATTGCATAGCTGAAAATCCCATGTGGAAAATTGACTCTTGAGCAGATTTTATCACGTGTCAAATATGTGCATTTCCCGATTTTCACGAGTCAAAACCCGGATCCCCGTGTCAATCGAGAGCCCTGTTTAGTTACATTAAAAATGGGGGCACCTAATTAGAAATGACACTATCACTGAAAAGTTCACTGATAGGTATACAAATATACTCAGACTACTTTATTTAGTTTTTTTTATTTGATTTCCTTTTAGATATACATAAGAAGTCTATAGCCAGGCAAGCCACAGCCCGTGCTCGCTTTGCAGTCTCGGCCTTTGACTTCACTGTAATATAGAATTTGACAAAGCCTATGAAAAGGGAAGTCGGTTAAAAAAATCGTTCATTTTTCAGTTTTAAAGGTGTCATTTGGTATTTCATTCATCGCTTCCATTTTATCTAGTTCCCTGTCCTATTATGGTTCCCTTCCAAGATGGCTTTTTAGAAGTGTGCAGGGGATCAGTCTACACTTCCGTTTTCACTCGGAATACTCAACGATTATTATTAATCCAAAAAGTTGCGATTGTTCGTTATAGCAATACCCCACCTATTATCATTGAGTTTCAGTACATTGAAAATGGTGGCGCCTGACTTTGACTTCCCCATATTATTATGAAATTAGGTGCTACCCACAGGTGTTTGATAATTTATAGAAGGAGGCTTGAAGGTGTGCTCTACGATTTCACTCTAAAAGACTAAAATTTAAGGCCTCTTCCAAAGGAAATTTTCTTTAAAATCATGCAGTTTTTTTTAGCTTTTTACGGGGGTCTAAACCAGGAGTATATTTTGAAGGTTCAATCCATATTTGTAGTATAATCTTTCCTTTGGTTTAAACATATTTATTTAAGCTTGATTGGGAAACAAGTTCTTGCAACTTATATTAATCACTTGCGAATCAGCTTCCTTGAACCAACCAGTACAGGTGTCATATGGAGAAACATGGTAGTGACCTGAGTAAGGCTCAAACCCATGATCTCTGATTGAGAGGCAGACACCAGTGACCTTAAACACTAGGCCACAGCTCCCATTTATTATCTTTCCTTTCAATTTTGATAATAAATTGTAGTTTATTTTACAAAAGAAAAGTTTACCCATCATTTGTCGTGTGTTATTGTTGGCCCCCATTATCACTGCGGTATACCGTACCCCGGATATTGCTCGATATTGTGAGGACTTTCATCCCATTTCGCGACTTTGAACAGGGAACAAAGGTAAGTTCAGCGACGATATTTTCCAAACTAATGGCTATTTCATTTATCTAAACGGGTTTTATATATCTAGAGGTATTTTTGTAGCTCTAAAGGACATAAAAGTATTACAGATATTTGTGAATTGATTAAACTACCCCTAAACGATCCGCTGCTCACTAGAAAATACTGACCCGATACTGTAGAATGTTAGAAAATGACTATATTACCAATATAAAAAAAATTGAATCGAGCAATTTTTTTATTCACAATCCAAGTTATGCTTTGTCCAAATTTCAGGTAAAAAGTGTGAAAGTACAAAAAAGATGCAGGCAAAAAAAGATACAAGAAACGTGTACCGAGTATTGCTTTTAAGTGTACAGAGTATTGCAGAAATAGCCCAACCTAAGTGTACAGTGTATTGCAAAACAGAATGAGCACATTAGTATGGGAAAATCGATATTTTTGTCTATTTTTTACGTCTGTTTATCGAGTCCATTTTTATTTTGCTGATAAATGTACTATTATATGATATTTATTCAAATATTTCAGATTCAACAATGCATTTTCAGTATTTTATTACTGTTCTTTTTCTACGGGCAAATACAGAGATTTAATTTCCCATTTGATTGAAAGTCAATTATGGATGAAATAAAGTGTGGTGGGCAGGGGTCGGGAGCAGGGTAGATCTATCAAAATTGACGTTATAAATCTTTTAAATACATGTCTCAAGAAAATGTGTTTCTGAAAGAAGAGAATAAAAAACCATATTTAATGAAACATTAATAATAGGTTTTTACAGGGCAAGTTTGCCTTAAGAAACATATTGACACACTTAGTAAAAATATTGGCCCCGCGGGGCTTATGCCGTTCAAGCATGTCGGTATCGTCTTAACCTTTACGGCATGAGCATATTGCGAAAAAATGGCCGTTTTCATTGAATTAAACCTCCTGTTACAAGTTCAAACTGCTATGAAACTATAACAAAAAATGCTTCAATACTGTTCCAACTGGGCACAAATGTTGGCTGGACCATAGCCTGTGGAATAGCATGCTCGATTTTAAATTTCCATCTACCATGGCACCGGAGGACGTCTCAAAAAATTATTGCCAAAAATCTCTATTTTGCGTTGTTTTTTTCCATAAAAACTGATTTCAAGTGCAGCAACTTCTCAATTGATTGAGATAAAGTCTAAGGCTTTTCGGCATTGATTACACGGCATCTTTAAATCGACCTGAGGCCATTTTACCACCCCACAAGTCCCAAATCTCGGCGATTAGAGGGGCTACTGCCCAACTTCAAACCCCCAAACAGAAGGGGACACATCCCCCTGTGTCCCCCTTGATGTACCCCTTTAATGGGGGGTGGCGCCGAAAAAGTGATCACTCTTTTGAACATTTCTCAAACGAAAAAACCAGTGTTTGGGGCCTAATAAGTGCATGTTTTACACTATTTGAGGCCTCAAAAGGGGTGTGGTGTGAAGCCTTCAAAACACGCCTTTATGAGGTAAAAGGTTATAAGGAACATAACCTTTTAATTGCATCTGCTGCCCTTTATCATAATCTTATTAAAATCCATTATTCTGTTTTTGAGCTGTACTCGCTCGGCAGTCATACGGTGACTCATTGCTAATGATGTAACAATTTTCACGTGCAGACGGTCTGCCGTTGCTAGAGTGCAGGTGCAAAATGACCGAAAGTTACCTTTATATGGATTTTTGGCATAGTAGGAAGTCGGTTGATATTAGATATTGGCACATGTCACGGTTCAGAACTGTTCACTAATTCGGGGTGATGATGTGTAAGCGGCGGGAATAGCTCAGTCGGTTAGAGCCGCGGTACGGTATTCCGAGGTCCCTGAAATTAGTGAACAGTTCTGAACCATGACACACTTGCTCAATACCGTCTACTATTGACAATCTTGAGGCAGCATTAATGCACTTTGGATGCATTTTTTTTTTTACTATTTAAAGTAAGATATGCAATAATTATTAACAAATTCTGAAAGGTTGATCCTTCGATAGCAACGAAAACTTTGTAAACACAGAAAATTTGCTGAGTTCGTTCGACTGAGATTTTTCATGAGCAGGAATGAAAATCTGGATTATTTGCAGATGTTTCCAGTAAAGTACCTCCAAACTCTGCCTATTCTGCACATATAGTGTAAATAAGTATACACAATAAGATATATTTAAGATTAAATGTGGTAAATACTCTGTGTTTACTACTTGCATTTACTCGATATTGATAACCAATACTCGTTACACTAAAGGCAATACTCGTGACACCGGCGGGCAACTCCAACGCAATACTCGGTACACTGACATGTGTATTCATTCTCAAAATGCACTGCCATCTGAGGTTCTATTGTTGATTGAACATTAACAACATAAACATTATCATCATTAACACATTTCACTCGATTCAAGTTTTTCTTTTAAGGAAGTATATGCAGAAAAACATCAAATTTGACTGATCCGAGCTCATTTATCACGTGAGCAAAGAGACGAATTTTACCTCCTAATTACATTTCAAAGCTATTTCTCAACACTTTTGGGGGTTCAGTAACTAGAGAAATTATCGAAGTATTTGTTTTTCTATAGAATTTATATCAAACCAATTCAAAATGACTAAATATCGTCACTGAACTTACCTTCTTTCCTCGTTGAAAGTCGCGAAATGGGATGAAAGTCCTCATTATATCGAGCAATATCCGGGGTACGGTATACCGCAGTGATTATAGTTAGTACAACCTTTTGTAACATCTTATTTAAATTCTTGTGGGAATTTGATTGAAATTTTAAAAGTTTCATTTCAAGAAACTTGCTTTGTCATTTTCATGGTTTTGATAATTTATTGTTTTCAGTGAACAGAAAAGAAAAAGACTAGAGGCACAGTTACAAGCATACAGTCAGTCTGATCATAAATTGTAAGATATACTGATAAAGTATTACACACAGTGCAATACTTTCATTTACATATATACATTTATATAATGATAACAAAATACAGATTCTTACACATTATACTATGCAAATGTTTCAAATATTTAATTAGATTTAAAATCATTAAATGTATATGATGACTTAAGTACTTGTTCTTGGTAATGATATAATGATCTTTCTTGTGTACCAAATTGGTAATTGTTTTTAATATTACAACATATTTAACAGGTAAACAGACATAATGGATGGTAGAAAACAATCTACAACTATACAGAACTTTCTAACCAAAAATGAAATTGGAAATGAGGAAAATAATCGTTCAAAAAATATTACTTTGTAAATGCGAGCAATGTTTGACTGTTTTGCACAAAAAATCTGGTTTAGTTTCACATTAGGCTGTTTGGTTTATTTAGATGGATAATGTACAATACTGTTTTGGTTTGTTTATAAATATAAAAAATAAGCACTTATAGCACATGCATGCATTTTAATATGCCAACAAATTTCTTAAGTGAACTTAATTATTAATCAGTAAATTTCTGTATTTCAAGAATAAGCATGACTTTGTTGAAATCTGTTTTTGAATGAATGGGTATTTTTGACTTTAATTGACTTTATACACAAGTGACAAGTATGTGTTTTGGAAAAGTTTGATATAGAAGTTGTTTGCCACATTCTTTGCTGTCTTAGTCTATCTTTCTATATGGATAAGTTAATCCGTAATTACTAAAGCTTTTATTATAAAGTTTATTAAACTGTTGATTTTTTTTTAAACCAAAATGATTTTTTTTTTCAATAATTGGTTATAAACATGATATCTGCAAAAAAGTATGATTTTAGAGAGAGAAAAAAAAACCCAAAAAACATTTATTATGCGCCTTTGTAGTGGGGGGATAGAAACTTCAAACTTGGTATATTGGTCTGATGATGACAAGTAGTTCTGCACTATTGTTTTTTTGGTCACAAGCACTGGTGCATTGGTATTGGGAAGTAGATGACCCCTATTAATTTTTGGGTCAAAGTCACATTGTCCATTTTTATCAAAACTGTTTTCAACCAGTAACTTGAAAACCCATGGGTCTTTTGCCCTCAAACTTAACAGGTTCATTGGTCTTGGCCAGTAGATGACCCCTATTTATTTTGGGGTCAAAGATCAAGGTCACATTCACCTTGTTTGCACAACTACCCATGGGCCCTTGTCCCTAAAACTTTACAGGTGCGTTGGTCTAGACACTTGTTGTTTTTGAGATAATAATTGAATTGGGGTACTTGAAATCAAATCAATTTGAATAGCTGGTGAATCATTGCAGCCATAAAACCTACTATTTTTAAAAGTTAATTGTGTACTTCTTCCTTATTCATAAGCACATACTGTTACATAATCAGTTTCTCTGTGACTTTCATAATGGTTTTTTATTCTTACTAGCCAAGATAAGAGAATACATGCCATATTGCCAGCCATCCAGATAATGGATTTGTCTTGGAAAAAGCAAGGGGTAAAAAGGGGGAGTGACCAGTATATCTATATGTGGCATTTTGAAATTTCTTGTTCAATTTAGAAAACTGTTTTAATCTTAACAAATTTTATTTCTTATAATGTACCTTTTGCTTTTGACAGATTTAACAATATTTTTAAGAGCCTTTTGTAAACAATGATCTATCACACACATATATGGCAATATTTTAATTAATGCCAAGTCAATTTGATTTCCTGGCTGAAGTATCAGATTTTTTTTCTCACTAATTTACTTATATTTTTTTCTATTCAGAGCAAAGCTTAGAGCGGTTAAATTACAAAGTTATTGGAAGAGAATCTGTGAAGATGAGAAGCGTAGCAAACAGAGAAATGCTCAGTTATTGCGAGATCTGGATAGGATGGAGGCAAACATGGCAAGTTTGGAGGCACGTAGAGAGAAACTCAGACATATGAAGGTATGTTTACTTTGAATTACTTAAAAAGTTTTATTGCATTGCATTATAATGATTTCAACAGGTGGTATACTTGTAGATCAATGTACCTGTAGGAACAAAAAACATCAAACTTTTAATGTTATATATCAGCCAAAACTAAAATAGTTTTCACTCCGGGTGTAACAAAACTTTAAGTGACATCATGGCTGTGTAGTTAACATATCTGGCATGTATAAGGGACAGACCCACGAATGTGGCTTTAAATCCTACACAATCAAACTGAATTTCAGTTTTAACAAAAACTTTCAGCCCATGATAGATACAAACTACAATACAATACAATGGCATGCAGAGAAACACAAAAATATCATGTTTAAGCTGGCTAGTTCTACATTGACTTTATTTTATATTGCATTTTGTTTGCAGCAAAATTATTTTGATTACATTGAGAGGACATATCCTAAATGGCTGGAACTTGTTCAGCAAAAGAAACATGAATATATACAAGAACAACAACAGAAGCATGAACAACAATATCAGCAGCAACACCAGCAGCAGTTCCAACAACAACAATATGAGCAACAACAGAGATTTCAACAACAACAACAGCAAGTACAGCAACAACAATATTTTTCAAGTTCTCAGGCAAGGAGACAAGAGTATGGACAATCTCCTGGTAGTCAACAAAGTAAACGACAGGAAGAGACATTACCTAAACAACAAGAAGCTTTCCTAACCCAGCATCAGTATGATGATACTAGAGATCTATATGAGGTTAGTTATGTCAAGAACTTAAATACTACATACATATGAGCCGCGCCATGACAAAACCAACATAGTTTGTTTGCGCAATTGCGACCAGCATGGATCCAGACAAGCATACGCATCAATGCAGTCTGATCAGGATCCATGCTGTTCGTTTACAAACCCTATTACAAGTAGAGAAACTGATAGCGAACAGCATGGATCCTGATCAGACTGTGCGGATGCACAGGCTGGTCTGGATCCATGCTAGTCGCAAACGCAAGATGTTGATTTTGTCATGGCACGGCTCAATATGAATTTATGTCACTGTCTTGATAAACATTTTGTTTAATTTAAGGTTTCTATTCTAGAAGGTTCTTATTGTTGATCTTGTCTATAAGTGAAAATTTGTTTTAGGGTTTGATCACCTTAAATTTTGTTTAATTTCCTTTTCTTTACAGAAATAGAATTGAATACATATATTCAAGGTTGTATGTAAATGATTAGAAACAAAGTGCAAAAATAGTGCTAATCCCTCACAGGCACTTGGTTTTTTTGATTTTTTCTTTAAGCAAAGGAAAGTTTTACATAAGCCACTAAACTTCTGCCAATTTATTGCTTGAAAATTGTGTTTGTATTTATGATGACCTAAAACTGGTTTAAGTTAGCCATACATTTTATATTATTAAATAACAGTAAATGTTGTAATTGTTTTAGAATGATCGTGATGAAGAGAGCCCGCCACCTTTACCTAGTCAACCACCACCAACTGTACCATTTAGTGAACCTGAGCGAGAATATACCAACCTGAGAGATATTAGGAGAGATAATCCGGTATGTAATGATTTGCTTCCTATGTCCACTGTGCATATATTTATCAAGATACCTATCATTTTGATTAGGATCACAGTCCAAACACCATTTATTGGCAATTTGTATATGCATTATATGTATTAATAAATTCATCAATTGAGATTTTATTATAGTTCTATATGAAAAGTAAGCCTTTGGGCATGTATTGTCATACCTTTGCAGCTTTCTGTTATCATCACATGATGAGTATCATAGATTTCATTTATAATATACATGTATTATAGAATCAGGTAACTCCACAACCACAGTCTGTGACTGTACACATGCCCAGTGCACAGGGAGATGCTGTATCACCCAGTAAATCAGGTCGACCTGGTAGTGGGAGGAGATCAGAACAGCCAAATCAGAACTGGATGGCAGCTGAAAGAGATGCCAGTATACACAGTCTAAGCTTTAGTGAGGAGACCGACGTACAACCTCCAGCTATACAGAGTGTTACAGTCAGACAGAAAACTGGTACAGTTAATGTTTTTTTCTTAAACAAAAGACCATTTCTTTAATTTCCAATAATAACACCTTATTCTTTTATTGACCTGCTCTGAATATTAAAAGATATAAGGTTATTCTTTGACAGTGTTAATTCTAGTTAGTACAGTTATGTTTAGTTATGTAATTTATTATCAGAAGTTTAAACTATATAATACAGAGCCTCCTAAACCTGTAGTACAAACAATGGAGCCAGTGTCAGATGAAGATGTGAGTGATTTTGGAGATGAGCCAGATTTACCTAGTGGTGCAGATGGTGACAGGGTAGACATAGTGAAACCTCCATCACCTGTACAAGCTGTAGTAGAGGAACATGATGATGATGATGAGGATGACACTGATCGGTATATTTCTGTTCAATTTGCAGTTTATGAATTAAAGCAATTTCATTTTTTTAGGAATATTTGTTTGAATAGTAAAAGAAATGCTCCATTTGTTTCTCTGACAATATCCTTCTACTATTCACAAACTACTAACTGTGATTTAAAGGATGATTTAAATATCATATAAATCCTTTTGCTTATTTGCAGACTTAAAATGTCGCTTAATTTAGAAATGTGTATCTTTATTTTACTTGTTTCAAACTTTCAAATATGCCAGTTACTATTGTTTATAAATACATTATACTAATCTGTTATGTACAAGTTATTAATGTTATGATGAAATCAAAGCATCTTAATTGCCTAATCACATTGTCTTACCTGATTATTAACAGAACTCCGTCCATTGTTCATCCAGAAATAAGTACATCTGGTCTGTTTCGACTTTTAAAATTTGTGGAAGAGGAACTGTTGAATGCATTGGCCCTAGAAAATTTCTACCGGACTAGAAATCCAGATGAGGCTACCAAGAAAGATATTATATAGTATGCTTTGTTTTGAACCTTAATTGTATGGTTTTTATACGTACAATTTCATATTTCTTTTTTGATAAAATATTTAAACTATAGTATGTTTTAGACAACAAAACATTTTATTGTAAGCATGAGGCAGGTTGTAGTCTTTTTATCCAATAAGCTTGCCTGATATACGCAGTGTGGAGTGTGTTTGATCAAGTGATTTCAGTTCAGTGAGCATCATGTTTATCTCTTTGGCTGATGACAATTTGTCATTTGCCAGCCACCCATGTTTCAATTTGAGAAATTCAGATTTTATTGCAAATAAACAGATACATTCTGACACAATATCCAGGAAGTTTTATAAATTAACACCCTGTAGATAGATTACTGAAGTACTGTTGTTATATTTTTCATCACCAAGAACATCAAGCAAAATGATATCAATATCTATTAAGTCGGCATATTTTCTGCAAAGTTTTTTGGGTATTATACCTGTTAAAATTCTTTAAATCCTTGATATATATTACTTGTAGTAAAGCGAATAATGAGAACAGTAGCCTGCAGTCTCTAGATGGTGAGTTAGTCAGTATGGTTATACTGCAACAACTAACACTTGTCGTCCGCAGACTTCCTGGAGGGTGTATGTTATCTGATACCTTACTTGTCAGGGGAAGTCACTCAAGCACAAATGAACAAATCAGGTAAATTTAATTACTGGATCTTCTGGTAGATTTTGAAAGAATGATGGTTAAGAAACAAGTATGTGGACAGCAAAGGAATATTTTTTTCTCTTTATTATATCATATTATACCTTACATCAAAAACAATTGTATCACACAATTTCCAGCTTTATCTGGAACATAACATAAGGAACAACTGTTACTCAAAATGCTATGTTTTTGTATTTATACAAACACTTTAAATAAATGGGTTATCAAAAAATGTACATTTCCTTGTTGAATACCATATTCCAGACAAGTATACAAAATTAAATAGTAATAGTGCAAAAAACTGAAAATGATTACTTGTTTAATGATGTATGTAAACTTAGTCTTATTTTTAATGTGAAGAATCTTCTTAAATGACTGGTTAGAAATGGAGGTTCCTAAAGCAATTGCTGAAAGAGCACTTTATTACAATTTAACAAGTTTTAAACATGTTCCTATTTCGGCTCAAGGTTATTGTCATGTTTCAATTAATTTTACATTTAAACTATACATTGAATACTCTAGTAACTTCCATTTAGAACAATCTGTATTTTATGTCATTTAATATTTTAACTATAAAACAATTTCTATAGATAAAAGCACAGTGGTCAAGTAAATAAACATTATATTGAACTTCAATATTGTAATTCATTGCTATGTATGTACAGGTGAATTTAAATTCACTATTTTATAAGTTAGTTTGTTTTTTTCAGGTCAAATTTACACAGAGATGCTCAAACATTATGGGATAAACTGATGGAGCATTTTATTCTTCTTGTAAAGAATCGTGTGATGGGGACACGTGAAGTGGCTCATGTGTTTGTACCTTGTCTTGTTCATGCTGGTTCAGAGAATCAGGCTAAGGTTATTATTTTATCTGGCATTCATATTTATATTTAAAATGGTAGAGATTATAAATATGAGCTGTAAAGTTACGCTGGAAATGTTTAAGTACCTGGAGCCCATTACATTAAAAACTATTTGTTATTAAAAACTATATATAAGCTAAAATTGATAAACATTTATTTAAAATCAATGAGATTGTTACACTATCACTAAGCCTTTATTAAAATGCCTTGCAAATCATTTGAATAATTATATGTTTCACTATATATTAATTTTCAGCTAATGTCTTTAAAATATATTTCATACCAAAACTGTTTAAAAAAACTTAATTGTTTCAAACAATATTACAAAAACTGTCATAATTTAACTACTTATTACACAAATATAGCAAAAGACCTTTATAAACTTTATAGTTTTCGGGTATATTCGTTCTCATACATTTATTTATATTTTGACAATGTATTACTAACATGTTGTATTCATTGTTTGAAATATATGAAAACTAAGTATTGTAGTATTGTATCATGTACATGTAGGTATAATTTTTGGTGTATCTAAAGTTTATAATTTTCTGATGGAAGACTATAAAAAGTATCGATAACAATGAATCAAGACCAAGGTGAGTTTTAAGTTATTATAAGGATATTGTTATGTGAAAGGACAGATATTACATTGAGAGTTTATGTTTACTGAGATATTGATGTGTTATACAGGCTGTGAGTGTTATAGAGGATATAATAGAGAATGCTATAGAGAAAGTTGACGGTAAATCATCTCCTGTACCACAAGATAGTTTAACAGTTGATACAGCACGCAGCAGCCAACAGGGTGCAGGTATACATTGATTTTTCTTCTCTATTGAATCAATTTTGCATGCTTTAATTTTTATTTAAAAAAATGTATTTATATCTGTATATTTTTTAATAAAATAATTTGTATTTTTTTATTTTTGTTTTTTCTTTAACTATTATGATACAATATGTAGTTAGTGAATTGAAAATATATAACTTATAGATTAACAATTCACCTAAAAGAAGACAGAAATGGTAACTTTTTATTTAGAGCTTATGAGTCACTGTTATTCCATTATCCAACATGCATTTTCAGAATTAGCCCGATACTAAAAAACAAATATCCAGGTCTAGTTTTGGCAGTCAAAAAACCCGTCATCTTAAGCTCATTTACCAGTAAGTCGTAAACATAAATTGATTTTCTTGTTTGACCTTGGCCTATGGCAAACAATTTCTACCCATTTTTCAAATAGTTTCATAATCATCCTGTGTTACAGATAAGAGGACAATGTGATGTAACTTGTTTAATTACATTTGTAATTTGTCTAATATTTAAAAAATTTTTAGGGTTTATGCGTAAAATATCAGCATACAAGCTATGTATTTACAATCTGCATGGCGTTTGGGTAACGTTAAGAATGGGTATAATAACTTTGGTTTCAGTCTACGCTCTATTTCCTGAATTACATCTATTTATCTCTTAGATAATGGTCTGTTCAACAATTGTAAATGAAAAATAGGTCCGATATAATAAAATTATATAATTACAATGGGTTAGATTTTATGTACGGGAACTACTTCTCTTCATACAAAATAATGGATAATTTCGGTACCCCATTTGAGGCCTCATAAGTAAGGGTTATTCTATGTTTAGAACATGATGGAATTTCCATGATTTGTGTTACGAGCCGAATATTGATGTGTAACATTTAAATTTTGGTGAGTGATCGTAATAAAAAATAATGTTTAAGTAACTATGATTTTTGTACGGGAACTGCTCGCATGCCAGTATATATATAATTAAGATTTATTACAATATTTACAACTAAAAAGGAAGGACAAGGAAATGGGTTGAAACTTTACACACTTATTTGAGAGCATTATAGGAGGTCACTGTCTAATACCCATATCCTAACATGGATTTTGACAAAATGTAGCCATTTTGTAGCTTAGAAAATTCTACATTATCCAGGCTCTTGTTTTACTATCAAACACACACCCGTCATACTTACAGCTCATGTTACAGTTTAAGTCTGATATAACTAATAAAATTGAATTTCTTTATTGACACTTGGCCTTTTAGTGGCAACAAATTCTACCCATGCAAATAGTTCAGACTCATCTGTGCTTTCTGATTGGAGAGAGAGAGAAAAATGTGTTTTTATCTTTACATACATGTATGTAATTTGTCTAAATATTTGAAAAAAATTGTAGGGATATATATGAATATCAACCTATCAGGTATACAGTACTGTATTTAACAATCTGCATGGCTTTTGTGAAAGTAACAGTTAAAGAAATAGAGTTATTAATAATTTTGTTGTTTTCAGCTTTCTTAGAGTAATTAGATATTGTGAAATTTATGTTTATACAACTATCTTAGACAATCATTGTGCATGAAAATTTATTAATACCTGATGCTTCACAAATAATTAAGATCATTTTTTTTTTGTAATAATATTAAAGAGTTGTTTAACTTACACGACTTTTGACTTACACTCCTTTGTACTGACATTTGATAATACCAGGTCATTCATTTTATTAATAGTATTGAAATACATCTTACACAATCAGTGTGTTTTTTTTGGTCATGCATAAAGTATTAGAAAGTTTGAAAGCTGTTTTGTTTTCTTTCTGACTAACATTTTATTCTACATGGTTTAAGATATGGTATTTTATTGACTTCTATAGAAGAATATCATAGAAAGTAAGGGGGAAGGTATTTACCTGATAATTCTTAGGGTTAAAATGAAACTAACAATGTTGCATGTCTATTATTTCTTACCTTTTGTAGTTTTATATTTTATCACATTTTCAATTTATATATAAAACTGAAGTTTTGACATAGAATAATTGCAGAAAAAGTAAAATCACCTTCTTTGGCGAATTTGCTATGCTATATGTCTCTTTAAAACAAAGAATGATTTTATTATAGTATTGGTAATTGATCACAATTTTATTTCAAACCACCAATTAGACTCTAAACAAAAGCCTACGTGGAAAATAATCCACCATAAAACATGCATACTGTTTCCATTTATTTAGTGAAGTAATATCATATAAAATGTTTTTGAATATGTTTTTTAATCATTAAGCAATTCTTCAGTTTTATGTATTTTCCACAAATATAAAGTTCATTATTTTGCTAAGGGACAAGTTTTTGTTAGTTTTGCATGTGATTATGATGTTTTATTAGAAGTGTGTAAGTGTTGTGTTTCACCTCTATAGTTCCTCCCCTGAAGTTTGGCAGTCTTGTTGATAGTAAACCATTCAGTGATGAGGAGTCCAGCATGATCACACAAAGTATGAATACAGATGTACAAAAAATTCCCTTAAATGGTAAGACAAAAGAATGAATACAGATGTACAAAAAGTTCCCTTAAATGGTAAGACAAAAGAATGAATACAGATGTACAAAAAATTCCCTTCAATGGTAAGACAAAAGTATGAATACAGATGTACAAAAAAATCCCTTAAATGGTAAGACATCAGTATGAAAACAGATGTGCAAGACAAAAGAATGAATACAGATGTACAAATAATCCCTTAAATGGTAAGACAAAAGAATGAATATAGATGTACAAAAAGTTCCCTTAAATGGTAAGACAAAAGAATGAAAACAGATATACAAAAAATTCCCTTCAATGGTAAGACAAAAGAATGAATATAGATGTACAAAAAGTTCCCTTAAATGGTAAGACAAAAGAATGAAAACAGATATACAAAAAGTTCCCTTCAATGGTAAGACAAAAGAATGAATATAGATGTACAAAAAGTTCCCTTAAATGGTAAGACAAAAGAATGAAAACAGATGTACAAAAAGTTCCCTTCAATGGTAAGACAAAAGTATGAATACAGATGTACAAGAAAATTCCTTAAATGGTAAGACAACAGTATGAATACAGATGTACAAAATATTCCCTTAAGTGGTAAGGCAAAAGTATGAAAACAGATGTACAAAAAGTTCCCTTACATTGTATGACAGTTTTATGAATACAAATGTACAAAAGTTTCCTTAAATGGTACACAGATGTACAAAAGTTGACAATAGTATGAAAACAGATGTACAAAATTGTCCCTTAAATGGTAAGACAGTCTTATGAAAACAGATGTACAAAGTTGATAACAAATAGTACAAAAGTTGATAACAAATAGTTGAATTATTCTAATTTATAGATAGCTCTTTGTTTCTATATGGTTCTGTATGCAACACTTTCCTGTCATTAACATAGGATTGTTACTTATTGTAGAAATTAAATTGTACTTTGGGTGTTAAATTGTAAATTCTTATTTGGTTTGGTGTAACATAGTAAAAAGTACTGTTTTTTTTAATATAACGTATACATACACTGATTTTTAGAGATGTGGTTAAAGGTAAAAACTTATATTGTTCACTCTTAATATTGTTATTTGCATGATCTAGATTGAAAATCAGATTTTATTTTTGTGATGAATGCATTGGTCATTACTACTTTTTTCATGTATATTCACCAATTTACACTTTTTAATTATCATTCACTACATGCAGTTTGATTTGTTTGGTTACATCTGTACATGTATATTACAAAAACAAATTTAATCAGTGTTATGCATTTTAAAGGTTTGATGTTTCAATTGCCTGTGCATTTTTACTTTTTTAAAATGTCATCTTACATGAGAAATATATTACAGAAACAGATGCGTATAAAAATCTGATAAGTGGAACACGTCCTGCAGTACGTACAATGAGCCATGACGACACAGATAATTCTGATAATGAGTTAGAAAAACAAATAGCTTCTACTCTCTCACCCCGAAGTCACGGAAGGTAGGTGCCCACCTTGCAATAGTTTCTACTTTATAGTGAAAAATCTCTCCTTTCCTGTTGTCGTATTTCCTTTAGGCACCCTTACTAAATCCCTACATTTCAGTAACATTCTAACCAAACTATTGAAGTCATCAATGTTTATGATTTAAAATTAGTATTTGTACTTCACATTGAATTATGCAAAAATGTAAAATATTGTGATACAAAAGTAACCTTTCTTTACAAAAGTATAACTCTTTAACATATTATTATATTCATGCCAGTACTTCTAGAATGTTTCTAATTAAAAAAGTCTGGACTAAATTCATGATGTTTCAAATTTAGAATGTGTAGATGATTTGAAGGAGTGGCCTTTACTCAATTTGTGAAATGAACATGCCAAATTCTAAAGTTTTGGAATTGTCCATTTGAAGGAATCTTGACAATCAGAGTCTGGTCAGTTTGCACAGGCTAATACAGACTGTTCTGCTGCTGGCATAGACAAGTCATTTGTCTTTAGTGTTTAAAAAGTCAGATACATGTACTAAATGAGGACTTACATATGATTTCTTCACAATAAAACTGTCTTATCTCAAATTTGTTCTACTTTTATAACAAGAAACTAAACAAAAAGCTTGAACAAATCTATGAAAAGTTTCTCTAGTTGCTTAAAACTAGCCTCTATTGTGTCCACACAAGCTATTAATGTCTATTCACATGTTTACATGTACTTAAAAAATTGAGAAACTTTTAATTTTCTTTTTACACATAGTACAAGTTTTCTCATCACTTTGTAATCATTTAATTTTAACATCACCGTGATACTGTAATGTATATGTTGTAGAGATATTTCACCGTATAATGTGTAGTATTTCTTTTATTGACCATTTGAATTCCTACATTGACAGATATTTCTATGTGTAATGTACAAAACAGGGTGAGAAGGCTGACTATTTATGATTTATTTTGGTTTTGCTATTTTTATAGTCGCAGTTTGTGCATGCTAATTTGATACTTCACTTTTGTAGATTAATTTCAAAAGATAAGATAGCCTAGCTTAAAGATTCAGTGGTTACATAATGAGTGTTATTTAAACATTACAAACTATAGTAGTCAGATTAAGAAAATTGAGCAGTTTTAGTGAGTAGTGCTATACTATAGTTTGTTACCATGGCATTGCTTTATAACTGAATACATCAAGTCATTTAAAAGAATCAATATTTCAGATATGCTTTGTAAGTAAATGTAGTATAGAAATTTCATAAATCTTGCTTTTTGTACATCATTTAAACAAGCGAAATTACATAAAAATGGACAGGGGATATTTCAATTATTCTTATAATATATAGTTACAGTATATTGCTTATATTATTGTATTCTTATAATGAAACATTTATAGCTTTACATATATATATATATATTTCAAATATATATCAGTATACATATTTAACACAATGTAAGTTTTACAGCTATTTATAATCAAAGGATGTAGATAATAACTTTAAGATAGATAGTGTTTCACATCATAATAATGACAAGTTTTATAGTGTATAAAGCTATATCTCTGCTGCCTCCAGTTTATAAAAAAATTATGTTTTGAGTTTTGAAAAGAATAATGCTGGTCGCAAACCCATTATGTTGGTTTTGTTGTGACGCGGCTCAAAGTGTGTTAAAAAATTTCTATGTTACAACTTATTTGATAATAGACCATAAGGTTATGGAAACAACATCATTACTGCTTTAAATTTTTGTATAAAAATCATTAGATAAAGCTGTATACACTTTATTGTGTATATTTTTATAGTGTAAAGGATATTTAATATTCTTGCTTTAATGCATGTTTATCATAGACAGTTGAAATATTGTATATCATGATTATATAAACATACATTTCTCAACAATTCAGCATATTTCAAATTTAAGTGACTAAATAGCAAATGACCAAAATGTTCGGAATTTTAATTTTTCCAGTTTCTCAACTTAAACAATCAAATGATGTTATAGTTTCACTTTCAATTTAAGTTATTGTATGAAGCTTTTATATTGTGCAAACATGTATTATCATGATGTACTAGTTTCAACTGGTTGTACAATATTGTAATGTTATGTTATTGTATGTGAAAGGGAGGAGAGGGGGGTATTTCCAAGTAATGTTATAGGCATTTAAAGGGTAAAAAATTTATAAATCAGTCACTGTTGAAAATTTGGAACAATATAAATATTGTTAACCACACTCATTGTATAAATTTCATTTCAGAAACGACATTTGCTTGTAGTTGTAATTGAAAACAAGACATTTTTTTATTAAATATTGATCGGGGAATCTTTCACATACAATTATCAGTGGCATTACAAAATACTTTCCTCATAATGAGCTTATGTATAGACTATATATCATTTGTAAGTTTTCAGGGCACTCTTCTGTCATTTTCCTGAGCAATACTCATTTATTAGTAAATTAGCATTTCATCCTTCTGTTAACATTTACAGTAAACCCCATTCTGACCCTCATAATGATGTTCCCTTTAGTGCCCCCAAAGATGCATCACATGATCTGTCACATGATAATGAGCCTCAGTCTGAACTCAGCTCACCATCAGCTGCACCAGTATATGTCCCTACAGGGGTAGAACAAAGGTAGTAATACATCCATTGTGTGCTTTCATACCTAGTTGTATTAATTTTATCTTAAAAATGCATGTTCTTGTTTTGTTTATTTTCTATTAAAATGTAGCACTGGGGAGGTTAAACTTGCACCATGTTCATGTTAATAAATACATTGCATCAATTATGAGCATAACATAAAACCTTGCAAAAAGAAATTAAAACTTTCTTTGAATTAAAACAAAAACAAAAAAAACACACAAAAAACCAATAACAAATAACAACTTTTTTCTGTTTTGGATGACTATTAGTAGAAGCCATTAATTGAAAGGAAATGCAATCTGGATATTTCTTGTACATGGTATGAGGTCCTATTTTTATGTCATTGCAAAATGCTGGCACTTGTGTACATGTTTTGTTGGTTTATCCTTGACAGGAGTTGGACAACAGGACAAAACATCAGAGATGAAAATCCATATGAAATAGTGCTTTAAAATAAAGCATGGTGCTTGAACTTTGTTTCTTTTGGCAGTGATTTGTATATAGAAGCTTGAACTCTTTGCCTGCTTGATTAGCACCAGGTTATCTCATGTCGGGTTATCAAGTGATATCATTGTGGCATAACTTATAGCAATACCCTGTCACTTATTTTGCTAATATCTTTGATAATTTTTCAATATATGGAAAATAAATATAGTACTATATTCCAGGCAAATATTTTCGAAGTCCAATGGTACAATAACTTTTCAATGTGGTTCTTTTACACTTTCTGTTATGCTTGCCTCAAGTATGCAATGTTGTATTATGTTAGTGAAAATATTAGGGTAACATTGTGTCACAAATTTGTACATTTAGTATCACTATAAAAAATACAAGAGCAACATTTGAAAGTTACTAACAGTTGCAGTTGAATTTTATTCCTGAAACATATCCAACATTGATAGATATATCAAAATGGCATAGCAAATGTCTTTGAAATCATGCTGCCAAAAGTGAAGCAGTGACTCCCAGGCTGTAACTGTAGACTAAAGTCATATGATCACACATACTGTTGTTTTCTAATTACTTCCTTCTATATCAGTCATGCTGCTCTTATTTCTTACATGTTTTAATAGCAAATTCCTCAATTATTGTGCATGTACAGTAGTTTTATAATTTCAAAAAATGATGTTTTTGTTTAATATTTTTTGTTATCATTGATACAATTTCTTAAAAAAAATTTGGAAAAATGTATTAATGTTATAGAAAATAGTAAAAAAAAACTTATAGTTTCAGAAAGTTGTTGATATGTGTAGGGAAGACATTGGAATTTCAATAATTAGTAGAACATAGAAGAACAAAGAATTGTATAATCTTTATTGAAACATTAAAATTTTAGTACTTTTTCACAAAGACAAAGAAGGATAACTTGAACTAGGGTAGATAATTTTCCTAAACAAGAATCATGTTTGCATCAAATTGATGAAAAACAATTTTGTGTTACAATACTTTTTGAATTATCTGCCACTGAAAGCGATTTTTTTTTTTGCTTCTAAATAATTGATGAATACAAGAAGTAACTCTTTGTTTTCAATATATATATATTTAATAAAAAGAAGTCAGTATTCATGCAATAAAACACTATTTTCTTTGGATATTCTGTTGTAAGTTGTTGAGGGGAATTTATTGATATGTCAATGTGACATTTTTTATTGAGAAGCTTCTATTATAAAACACATTTGCTTGTTGTCCAACTCATTTAATTGTACATGTTATTATTTTTACATTTTATGCTCAAACTGTAACCTGCGAGTGTATATTACACTAATTTGTTGGATGTTTTAACCAGCACATATTTGCTTTTTCTTATAACCTGCATTGATTTGCTTTACTTTGTAACCTGCACTAATTTGCTATGCACTGATTAGTACCTGCTAGTGACTATGTTACAATATTATTTGCTGTACACTGCAACCTGCAGGTGCATTCTACATTTCACACTACAGCCTATATATGACAGGTAACAAATTGTACTGTACATATACAATGTATTTAGTTTCAATATTTTTTAACTAAATAATGTTTAAACATTAAAGTAATTTGGTTATGATATTTTTACAAGGTAATGGGTATTATACTTTTATTCTCTATGGTAAAGTTTTATGGAAGTGATACAGTAGCTAGTTCAAGATGTACACTTTACAGTACACCAGTATATGTACACTGTACAGTACACTATAGTACACAAATATTTAATTTCAAATGTAATGTACAATGTCAATAATATATAATTATAATTACAGTAAACTTGGCTAAAGATTTGAACGATAATAACTTGGTTATAATTATCATATTAAAACCTGAGTAAATATTTACAAATTTCTTTCATATCGATCATTAACTTTTATAAATAATACATTTCTAGAATTAGTTTTGTGGTAACTATAGTAACAGTATTTGTTGTTGTTTTTCCAGTACTGCAAAATCTATCCTAGGGTCAACAGGAGGGTCAAGTCAACAGAGGAAGATTGGTGGGTATATCTATTATATAACATGTAGATGGTGGTAAAGGCTAATATTTGCCATTGTACATTTATTCAATTTAATACATGTATAATCAACATCAGCAAATCAAATAAATGAAAACACATGGGTACTTTGTTTAACTGTTACAATACATTTAAGTTTTCAGTCAAAGAAAATAGAATCATGATTTTGATGTTGATTATTATGAGGGAAAAAATGGTTTACTCCATAGCTTATTTATACACAACAAGTGAAATAATTTTGAAGGATACCTTTATGTTTTATAACTTATAGTCATCCAGTCACTTTCTCAAAATCACAATGTATTATTAAGAAGATGCCTTTCAAAAAATAAGAACAAATGTAAAATAAACATCTGAACTACACAATGTCACAAGAAACAGTAGGTCATCAGATAGTGTAGATATTTTGAATGCAGGTCAACATGAATCTGTCTTATTTAATGCTCTCTTCTTATGGCTTACTTATTGTTGAATATCCAAAATACACATAATTGAAATATAGTTTGATGCATACTAACTGCAGAACTGACAAAATGCAACATGTATAATTGTTTTTTTAGCTGGCATGATCAGTTCAGATTTAGACACTGACACTGAAGTAGATCTGGATCATATGGTACAGAAGAAAGAAGATGATGATGATGACTTCTATGATTTCTATGGATAGTATTTTATAGTCTAAGATGACACTTCTTACCTTTTTATATTGTGGATTATATCAACAGTGCATTTAACTCATGTTACAAATGCATTTTCTCTGCATATCAGACAAACCAGAAAATACTGAGACAGTACTTGCACAGATAGACACAGTTTAGTAAATGTTAATTAAAATAGCTTTATAGATATGTTCTATGCTGGTGTTACTTAAAACACCATTTAGATATAAATAAAATATTCGTAATTCATATAGCATATTTGTTGAAATGGATATTCGAGCATGAATGGTGATTACATTATTATATAGGATGTTCAAATACTTACTCTTTTGTTGTACCTCTAATTAAATAGCTGTAATGAATCTTAAATGCACCAGAAATGTTTTTAGATTAAAATGTGCGTATAATTAGTTACAAGTGTAACATAAGTATTTTCTATATTATTCACATAAATGTATTGTGTCTGTGATAAAAATTATGGAATTAAAATGTTGTAAAAAGAACTACTTGTCATTTTGTTCCAAAAATTACTTGTAAATATATGGACATTACTATATACTGATGACTGTTTGTATCTTTTTCATGAACACAAGTATGCAGCGTACCATATCATCACATTTTACAATGTTTACAACAAAAAATGTTGTTGTTTCTTTAGAAAAAACAATATGTAAATTTTATATTATCATTATAATTATTGAGCCTGTCTATAAATTGAAATAGATATTCTTCAGAATGATTCCAGTTGAAAAGAATGTCATCTAAAAAACGCAACCAAATAAGTGGTTTTATATAGCAAGAGTCTATAAAATCTTTTTGAAGTTTATCCATGAATAGAGACGCAAAGCAAGGAGCCATTTTAGTACCCATTGCTGTACCTAATTTTGAAGATAATTTGTTCCGTTAAATTAAAAGTGATTTTTGTTTAAGAATTAATCCATTTAAGATTGTAGAAAAAGAATTAATAAAACCCTGCGACATACTACCATTTTCCATGAAATATTTACAAGCATTGATACCCTCATCATGAGGAATGTTACTGTACAAAGATGAAACATCAAGTGTCACTAAATATGAATTTGTATCTATATTTGAGAAATTTTGCAACTTTTTGATAAAATCTGTTGTGTCTTTTATATAAGATGGCAATTAAAGATTCCATGTATGGTTTTAAAATTGTATAGACATTACAGGAAGGTTTCACGTATGGTTTTAAAATTGTATAGACATTATAGGAAAGTTTCATAATATATGGTTTTAAAATTGTATAGACATAACAGGAAAGTTTCATATATGGTTTTAAAATTGTATAGACATTACAGGAAAGTTTCATATATGGTTTTAAAATTGTATAGACATTACAGGAAAGTTTCATATATGGTTTTAAAATTGTATAGACATTATAGGAAAGTTTCATATATGGTTTTAAAATTGTATAGACATTACAGGAAAGTTTCATATATGGTTTTAAAATTGTATAGACATTACAGGAAAGTTTCATAATATATGGTTTTAAAATTGTATAGACATTACAGGAAAGTTTCATATATGGTTTTAAAATTGTATAGACATTACAGGAAAGTTTCATAATATATGGTTTTAAAATTGTATAGACATTACAGGAAAGTTTCATAATATATGGTTTTAAAATTGTATAGACATTACAGGAAAGTTTCATATATGGTTTTAAAATTGTATAGACATTATAGGAAAGTTTCATAATATATGGTTTTAAAATTGTATAGACATTACAGGAAAGTTTCATATATGGTTTTAAAATTGTATAGACATTACAGGAAAGTTTCATAATATATGGTTTTAAAATTGTATAGACATTACAGGAAAGTTTCATAATATATGGTTTTAAAATTGTATAGACATTACAGGAAAGTTTCATATATGGTTTTATAATTGTATAGACATTATAGGAAAGTTTCATAATATATGGTTTTAAAATTGTATAGACATTACAGGAAAGTTTCATATAATTATGGTTTTAAAATTGTATAGACATTACAGGAAAGTTTCATGGATGGTTATTCAGATTCCATGAATATTGTATTTCTTCTCCTCCTTTATGTTTATGAAATCAGGAAGTTCATTAAATGAGCCTTGCGAAAATTGAAAATATTATTCAAACCAAAGGAGGTTTTCATATAATGCTTGCTTGAATAGTATGTAACATATGTCCTAAAATAGCTGATTCTTTTGTAAATTTTAAGTCTTGTTTGGTTTACTGAGCGTTCAAATTGGACTATAAAGAAACATGTATCGCTTTGCCAAAGTAATGCATTAAATTACTGTCCGTTCGACCTTTTTACAAATGCTAACATAACACCAAGTACTTGTAAATGTCTGTCTTAAACAACACACACAATAAAATCACTTTAAATCACGAAAACAACAAAAAAAGAACATACGTACTTGACATTTTTTTACACTCTTAACTAGAAACCGAAAGTTCTCACGGTTCATTATAACTAACAGAGTAGATAATATTGCGAAGTGGCTTTTGCTCAATACCTACATATACTTTAGTCTGGAAATAGAAAACGATTGTTGTCATCAAGTCATTCTACAAATAAAAGCAATGATAACAACCTGTGAAAGAAACCGATGCTATATTTAACGTATTCACACAAGTTATCATTGTGTCGCACAAGAAAAAGGACAATAACCTACAATTTTGAGACTTATTTTTTCCATTTTTTTCCAATAACAAATATTCTCCATTACAAGAACGTAGAAACTGAAGCAAACACTTTGAAGTTAGTTGCATGCATATATGTCTACTGTAGCAGAGTGGCTCCCAACTGAAAGACAAGGGTACATGCCTCCTCGTGCTCAAATTAAATGACGTAGATCATACATATTTATAAGGTCAAATTTAAACCCAACAATAAGATATACTGTGACCACAACTTATTAAAGTGTAGCGACACTATATTAGTAGCAATTAAAATATAGCACAATTATTATAAACCCAGGCCGGGTCACAGTTTTAAAGCGTAATTTCACGAACCAAGCACATGTAACGCAGTAAACACAATCGGCATATTAAAATCAATACATATTCCATGTTCGTCATAAAATGATAACAATATCTACAAGGTAAGTCTTTGGTTAAAGCATCAAATCAACATTCGGTACATGACTTACTTGCCACCACTTACTAAACATATCATATATGAGACCCTATGATAATGTTGTGGTCACAAGATGTAGAGTATTCTATGCCAACGTAAAATAGTAATTATAGATTTATTATTACATTTTTTGGTTGCCCCAGGTTGCTATTACTATGGTTAATCTAAGCCGTATAACATTTGCATCTGAAATCCTTTTAATGCTTTTTAATTATGGTACCAATCGATGAGATATACATAATAATACAAGTGTACCTTTTTTATTCCCTTGTGTCGCGTTTGGATTTTATGAAGAAATTCTACATATTTTCCGGACATCCCTCGTAAACATATATGCACTTAAAATGTCCTCCCTTTTTTAGAGAATCAAGAGAGGCACAACAGTTCCAACAACTAAATCAAATGCCCTTGTGTTGGACAGGTAATAATTTAACCCTTTCCCACATGAGCATATTGTGAAAAATGGCCGTTTTCAGTGAAAAGCCTCCTGTTACAAGTTCAAACTGCTATGAAACTATGAAAAATGCTTCAATACTAATCAAACTTGGCACAAATGTTGACTGGACCATTGCCTTTGTAAGGACATGCTCAGTCTTAAATTTCCTGTTACCATGGCAACGAGGGGACATCTCAAAATTGCCAAAAATCACTATTTTGCCTCGATTTTTTTTCATCAAAATTTATTTCAAAGTGCTGCAACTTCTCAAGGGAATGAGATAGAGTCAAAGGCTTTTCAGCGTTTGTTACACGTTACCTTATGATCGACCTGGGGTCATTTTCAGCCTCACACAAGTCCAAAATTTTCTTGGCGAAAACATGTGTTTAATTGGGGCCCAAATAGGACATTTTTTCACTATTTCAGGCCTAAAAAAGGGGGGGGTCGAAAGTGCGTTGTTTCGCGTATATATGAGGTAAAGGGTTAAGACTTCAACTCAAAACATCTTCTAAAATATATAAACAAGTTAAAAAAAATTGAAAAAAGCCATAGAGACTTTGTGCTACAATAGTTTGACTTCGATACTTACAGAATTTTGTTTGGACGGAATTTCTGATTTGCATTGAAACATATGTCATTACATTTTTTTTGTTTTAAAATATGTGTATGCTTCTTTCTTATCTTAAAAGTGGAAGGCCCAGAACTTTATTATTTGGTATACTAAAGGGCACGTGAGGTCTTCCACCACCAGTAAAGCTGGAAAGTCGTCATACGACCTTTACATCGGTGGCTGGTTCAAAAATGGCCATGCCCCTGGAGGTCACATGTTTCCCTTATCTGTATTAAGCCTAGTGGTTAAGGTGTCTGCCTCTCAACCCAGAGATCATGGGTTCGAGCCCTACACGGGTCACGACCATGTCTCTTCATATGACACCAGTACTGGTTGGTTCCAGGAAGCGGACTCGAAAGTGATTGATATAAGTTGCAAGAACTTGTTTCGCAATCGAGCTAAAATAAATATGTTTAAACCAAGTAAAACTTAAAAGTCTTCTCTGAAAGCCCAAGAGCAAGAGCTGAGTTATTTTGCATGAAACATTATATTTTGGACCTCTGCCATTATTGTTCAAATTATTGTCCTGTGGTCAAAATTAGCGGATCTTGGATTTTCCTTTTACGTATATATCAAAATAGAGAAAAGCGGAAGCCCTTAAGAACGCCCAAAACTACAAAATTGAAAATGTTGCAGGCTCGGTTTGATTACGCCTGTCAATGGACGGTAATAGAAAGTGCAAGTTACTGCCCCCCAACCCAGCTAGCACCGGCTTCAGCAGAATTCAACATTTAGACAAGTAAATGGTGTGTTCATACGGCGGTTATTATATTATGGACTCTTCAATGTGACAATTTTCATTGTAATTAAAAGCGGCGTATGATCCCAAGTAAGAGTAAGACCTTCCAAGCCCTAAAGCTAGAGCTTGGATATTTTTTGCAAAGACATCATCTTGTGAACCTCTATTAAAGTTGCTGAAATGGCCCAAGGTCAACATTAAATGTGGCGACATGGCCGATGTGGCGACATGGCCGAGTGGTTAACGCGTCGGACTAGTAATCTAATGATCGCTAGCCGCATGGGTTCAAACCCCGTCAGGGGCAAGTCGTTGTTTCCTTGAGCAAGAAACACTCATTGCTCAGTACTGGTTGGTTCCAGGAACGGATTCGAAAGTGTGTCTATAAGCTTAAAAAGCTTCCTACACAATCGAACTAAAATAAATTCTGTATAAACCAACATTAACTGTCGTTTTCTTTATACATGTATGTATGCATCGCGCATCACCAAAACAAAAGACGTGACCCTCCGTGCCTACAAAAATGATTGCATTCCAATGCCCCTGAGAGACTCCAGCCAGCAGGAAATAAGTGT